TCCACCTCACCTCCTTATATTCTATAAAGGGTGGCGTGTCTTTCTCGGAATGAAACTAGAAATAAAATGTTTTTAATAAAAAAAATTAGTATAGTTATTCATATGACTTTATTGGATAAATATGCATTCTCTGTTATTTCTATAGATAAGTGATATAATCCGCAATATTTAGTGTAATTGCTTATTACACTTCCAGACTTCTATTTGTCTGCCTAGGGATAAAGTACATACAACAATTCTTAACTGTTAAATGGTCAATTTTTCGTGATTTTTAAAAATTTTTGTTACAGATCATAGGACCAAGTTGCTTCAGTGTTTGAAAGGCAGTAGCCGTGTATCTTCTCGCTATTCCTACTTTATGTCAGCCTGATTGTGAATGGGGGAATAGAGGGCCCAAATGCAAGGATAAAAGGTCAGGGAATGTCATAGGGTACAGAATGGCAGATATGGCTTCCACAAACGACCGATATCAGGATGAAAGACCAAACATACAGTAAGACATATATCTCCAGATTTTTTACTTGGCTTGAACTGCAAGACATAGACCTTATAGTAACATTTGATGAGGACTATCATATATATTATTGAAGTAAGCTAGATATCAAATAAATACAGCTTAACCAGCTGGTCCTTTAGCCTAATTGATTAAAACAGCCATAGAGACAGTATCTATGATATAGTATAATAATACATGTAGTATGTTCACCTGTTGCCCTGCCCTAGAAGTATGCTATTATAAAAACTCAATACTCTGGTATAATTGAAATTACAGAACATTCGTTGAGTTGCATAATTGCAGCATCTTACAGAGGATTTTCAAATCATTCATGGTTTTCAAATTCCCATCCTAAATGTTTGTCAAATAACCTTTGAAATGGTGGATATGGCTACATGATGCACACATTTGGTAGATTTTTGGGGGAATTATTTTGCATACATGAATATTTAGAGAAAGCGTTGGACAGGAACTTCTTTGAAGATATGAAGTAGTATCATATCAAATTTCTGCCTCCTCTTCCTTATTCTATTTCTCCACCCCCATGTGTGTATTGAAAAGAATGTTAAAGGGGGAGGGGTCACACATTGTTAGTATAATATAAACTTTACTAAAATATTTGTAGGGGTTCACTTCCCTTTAAATAAATTAATTAGATTCATCATAACTTCCTTAATTCTACTAAATCCCAAGAATGAAAACTAAATAGAAAATTCAATAATGAAAATGATCAACAATAATTGCGACTTGCCTTAATTATTAATAATATTTTGAGACTACAATTTATCGAAACACTTAAGGTTAGAATAATCTAGATATGAAATATTTTTTATAAATAGCTTGTCATGAAAAGAACAGTATCTACTAATTAATGTGACATTAAAAATGTGATAGCTATACATAGTCATGACTGCTTAATAAAACCACATTAACACCAAGCTGTGTTTCATCATAACGATTATCTCCGTTTACTATATGAATAAAGATGTCATATTGACAGCGTCAGTTTTTTAACTCTTTGTCTTTTTTTAGGTTATGGATGAGGATTTCTAATCAATTTATATTTATTCTTCGCCATATATTGTTATGGCTTCTGTATGAATGAAATATCCCTTGGTGATATGGTCCTGGATTGTGATAAAAAAACGTTAGTGGTTGGGGAGGTTGGGGGTGGTTATTAGACATTGCTTCTTTTCACAATGGATTATGGGATCCCGGATTTGGGATAGTTGGGGTTTACTTTCCTTATGGCAGGTGTACTCTTGGATCTTTGGTTTTTCATGCTGTGTTCTGTATCAATTTTCAGTCCTTTCCATTTGGCACTTGTACATACATATCTAAAGCCATCAGTCTTTCCCAAATGAGTGAAATATTCTGGACATTTATAATTCAAAACCAATTCTCGAATGTCTAAAACTCATGTTAGGATAACAAGTTTTATGATGCAATGGTTACTTAAGAAAGGTCAATTAGATGAAATACGTCAAATTATTTTCTGACAGCAGAGTTTCTTCAAAAAAGCATTCAGGAGGCTATAGTAAGAGTACACCTTTCCTTACGATACCAATCAACACCAATACAAAATGAATACCCCCCATTAATCATACAGCAAATGAAATGTACATAACTATCTAAATCAAAATAAAATAGACAAATAGTTCAGTACATGCACTAATCCATTCATGTTAACTTAAAAAAAACTCAATTGTATATTTTAATAATTTATGTGTAGAAGTTGAATAAGAGCCTTCAAGTAGACACTTAGAAATTCCAGGCACGTCATCAAATACTCCTACAGATAGTAATATTAGTACATATAGCAATAAGAAGCAAAGAAGTTGAAATTCAATGATCATAGTGAGGTACCCTTTGCACATACAATAACATAAGAAATAATCTCCCTTTACATTGACTTGACAATGACAAGGAAGTATGTTTAACAAACAGTTCAACATACCTAAATACACAGTGACAGCATTATTTAGGATCTGAAGGAAGGATTGGAGCAAGTAAAACTTAAATGAGGTATTGTCCTTAAGTTTGAAGTCGAAAAGCCCAATGAGAATAGGAACTATCATTATGGAATGTCAAATCTAGTGATTGCAGATAGAACAATACACACAGCTACAGGGGGTTCTCTAGAATTTCTGACAATAAAATGGAGAATAAAATACAGGAAAACTGTTTGTTTATTATTTTGAAATTCCATCATGGAGACAGTTGTAGTTTTGCTTTAATATCCTGGACCCCTCCCCCTGATGTACTTCACTGGTGTTGCATGGGCGTAGCCAGAGGGGGGGGGTGCCCCCCCAATAACCAATAAGAATAGAATCCATAGATAGAAGAAAAGAGCTTTAAATGCTTTTTATTTGAAGCTTCTGGCTCAATTTTGAAGGAAGTTACATCATTGTTTGTAAAATTCAAAACAAATCTTTTTGGAGCTATCGCAACCCCCTGGCTACGCCCATATGTTATATTTGTGAAGTACATACACCCCCAAAATGCAATCTGATTTTCGACGCCATTTCGGTGCCAAATTTCGGTGCCGTTTCGGCACCAAATGGACTGACTAGTCCGGTGTCGAAAGGTGCCAGAACGGTGCCGAATTTGTTCGATGCCGAAACGGCGTCGAATTATATTGGCTGTGTATAAGTGGAGGGCAGTTGCAAGTTGGTATAAAAATACAGGAGGAAATGGCGTGCTGACTGTACCGATGAAACCTCGTTTCTTTAAAACAGAAATGATCTGTAAGAGTCTCATAGAAGACTGTTCAAACTCTTCATTCACAAAATAGAAACATCAAAGTCATTAAAACTCATGAAACACTATGTCCCGAAGGCAAATCTGGAAATGACGAATGAAGCAGTTAGATATATGATAGATGATGTATCAAACTAGAATTGATCTGAGCCTAGGGAGTTTTCAAATTGGGCCGGAAATTTCCAATCTTTTTTATGATTACATGATTTATGTAGAGTTCATCGTGACAATGCTAGTCTTTGAATGGTTTTGCTTAATTCTACTATCAAAGGAGTAGTATTTTATTTTTATATGAATTTATATTTTTGCTTGTGGTATAAGAAGAGCAGTGGGACACATTATCGGCAGAAATAGTAATCTAAAATGTTCCTTATGACCTTACACTCTTGTATCAAGCTATTGTACATTTCCTTCTAAGTGGAGGTAAATATATATGGACAGGTAGGGGAATCGATGCAAGCCCAATAATGTCCACTACATTTTATAATTATGATTTGCAAAATTTGAACAACTAGACCAATTTTATGGGGGGGGGGGTCACTTCTAGGGAGGTTTCACATTTGAAAACTTCGGCCAAAAATCACTTGAAAAGTGCTCATGACAGAATATGAAAAACTGCATGATTTTGAAATAATTTTTGACCAAGGGGGTTCACTTTTTAACCCTCCCCCCAGCTAGGAGGCCTGTCCAGTTAAAAAAATGTATGCTGAAAGTACAAATACTTGATCAAGGGTCAATCAAGATTCAAGATGAAAATGAGAAGATAATAGATCATAATAAAGACCTGAAACTAGAGCCATATGTCAAACTGACATTAATGATTGGCCAATACCCTAGCTGTGACCATTGGCATGCAATATCTGCACTTAACATTGGAATGTGCATAGTCCTGAGACTTAGTATAGGTACATGACTGCATGTATTTAAGTATAGTTACTTATAAAAACAATCAAAAACATAAACCAGCCTAGTTAACAAGTACAACTGATGGTCTAATCAGTAGATGTTATGCTCAGATTATTTTTGATCTGATTATAAAAGTACATACTGTGTACCCGGACTGTTTATATGTACTTGACCTAGTTCTGTAAATTCCTACATGGATTTTACCCTTAGCAAGAGATTGACTTCAGCTTCACTCTCAAAACTAATGATAATTCTCTTATCTAGCCTATGATATACAGTCAGAAAATCATGACACTAAATATTTTTTGTCTGAGGGTAATACAGCTAGCTGGATTTGTTCGTCCACAGGGCATACATGATCAGTGATGAATCACTAATCAAAGTTATCTGAAGGTAAAGTGACTAACTGATTTGACATTTTCCCCTTCCAAAAGCTACTTAATATTATCCAGGGAATAATCAAACATTCACTACTTTTGTTGTTCACGATAGATTAGAGATATACTGTTGATCTTGATGATAAACATTTTTAAATAATTTTCAGGAATGATTATAATTACCTAAAATAAATGAAATAGGTCTTTATTTTTCAAATTTTAAATGGATATTTACTTTTTTGGGGCAAAAACATAATTAAAAAACAACAACTTTGAAATGACATTTCACCAATGTCAAGTTTTCAACTTTTTGCGAGAAAATGTAAAACTAAGACATGACTAGTTAAATATCTATCCCATGAAACAGGAAGTAAAGGTATGTAGATATATAACAGGAAGCAACATGAATATAAAGTAAAGGTGTATAATTTATATAACAAAATAAATAAAATATATCCTACCTTGCGGCTTGACTGTCTTTATATGGACTGGGGCCCCGTTTTGACTGACTTGTTTTAACCAAAGCAGGGCATCACGTAAAGTATATCCAGCTAGTTTTTGGCCTTGCACTTCCAACATAATCTCATCGGGTAATAGTTTACCATTGTGATAGTTTATTTTATCCTGTTTAATATCTCCTATATAACAGTATTGACCATTATCAGCTCCACCTTTTATTACAATGTTTAGAAGGCCGTCTCTCGATGTGGAAACAATGCTTTCGTGGAGCTTCGATGTCCAATGTTTCATATCTTTCTGACCCGAAGAAGGGGACGGCTTCTGTTGCTTTGACTTATGCATTTTACCGGGTCATCAAGATATCACCTAGATTTAGATCTTGATGTTAGAAAGTTAAATCCATCCATTCTACTAAAATCTCACACCCAAAAAGTGAACATTTCTTCTGTAGGCCAAGTTTGTGTGTTTTTCAAATGATGATATCCCCGATAAACTATCACCTGATCGTCGAAATCATAGTACGTACATATTCCATGTAACACGTTAAATATAAATAAATCCAATTTATTATGGTTTGGAGAATAATAACAACGAAAACAATGTAAAAGTGAACAGGCTTCGAAAAATCACAAAATGTTTTTGAATATAAGCGCTTAAATGCGCATGCGCGAGTTTGATACCGAGAGTGGGTTGGCGATGTCGTAAATATAGCTAAGTGCACGTGTACTTTAAATTAGTGATATCAATTTATTCTCATAAACTGCTTTGACATTTTTAGCACAAAGTTATGCAAAAGATCAGTTCTCAGCCTTCAATTCTTGTTTAAGACAAAAATTTGTCATTGACATGATGATCAATAATCTTGAAGAGAGAGGGGGGGGGGGTGTTAAGAATTCAAATTGGCCATGTCCATATCCCCTCAAATAGCTCACTTCTGCAATAAGGTATAGGAGATGCAAGATGTCATACTTAGAATTTATGCATTTTTAGTTGAAATGTATAGAAATATAGATTGAAGTTATAATATGTTATGATTTTTATGAGATCTCAAAAGGATAGGGTACAGAAATTATGTTTGGTTTTATGTCTTTTCTACTAATCGCAATGTTATATAAGTTGTGACGGCTATTTTGAAACCTTTAATTAATAAAAATGACAGTCCCCACTCAGTTTCTTTATATCTACTATTTACTACTGTCTATGGGCTGTTAATTGAGAACTTCTTCAATTTAATATTTTATTTGAGTGACATCTATAATATAATATATGTTTTATTCGCATATCTTTTTCTCATCATTCAGTCATGGGCAGAGACAGAGTAACATATGATAAAAATTTCCTTCATTTCACAAATAATCTGTAAAATTTTGGTGATCAACTGTTTTGTCTTGATTTATAAGATTTCAGATAGGCCTACTCCAAATTTACCTGGTGTTACCTTTTGACTCAATACTATTGGTTACTGAGAGGCCTCACCAGCAATTTATTTTGTCTCCTTTATGAGGATAATCATTTTTTGTGTTTCCCTTTTCATTATGATAATCACTTATTCTGAAATCTTACCCACCAAGGTTATCATCAGTTGCAGTTGCTTTCCCAATTGATATTATTATGTAACCACCACAAGTGGTGACATTGTCATGGTCGCCAACTTTTTTTGTGGATGGTGTTCGGCAGTTGGTATTTGGTGTCTGTAACAAATGGCATGTGGTGACATTTTGCATAATAATGCCTTGTCACTTATTGTTTTTCCTCTTCCAAAATAATAGTAGTGGTTCCTTCTCTAAAGTCACTTCTCTAGGCATTTATTGTCCTGCGTTTTTAACAACAGCAAAGAGACAGAAGCCAATCTTATGAAGAAATATTTATTTCACAATTATATATACAAAATGTGCGATGAGTATTTACATAATTTCTAACATACAAAACCTAGGATCATAATAAATACATGTATCTTTTATAATATTGAATAATGAAAATGACTGCAATACTATTATCACTTCTTTTCATGGATTAGGCTATAATCTCAATCTAAAAAAGTCAATTTTGGACCTGCCAAAATCCTCATCTCATGAGCCTTCTCTAAAATATCACGTATCACATTATTCATGTCATTTGAATAAAGAAAGATAAGTAATTTCAAAAACAGTATATACATAGGAATTATTATTCACTGTTTTCCTTATATTTTTTTGAAATTTTACATCATGTATATGTACATAACTTTACATGTCATTTTGTATGTCACCACCAGAATTTTGTTTTCGCTGGTTGGTATTCGGCATTCAGTGGTTGGTGTTCCACGCTTGGCATCTGTAACAAATGGCAGGTAATGACATGTTGCATGTTAATGCCTTGTTATAAGGATGCAATGGAGAAAACTACACCACATGGTTCAGTACTACAATTTATAAAGAACTCTAATATAAATTACTCTCTCAGTTGTAATCATCTAACAACTATATCACATATGCTCGTAAAATATGGCAGATATTACCAAAATATTTACATGTACTTTTAACAAAAATATTAACAAGTCATGTCCTTTATTTGGCACAATATAAAAATAATGATAATTACCAACATCAAAAATGTCTTGTCCTTTCTCACAGTCTCACTCAATTCTATTATATCAGTAAAAACTAAAAAATACACAATAATGTTTTACATACCCTGTTAATTCATTTTCTTTTAATTGAATCAGATGCAACACACATTTTATACTTGAATGACACTTTTAAATCTTGTTCACAAAAGACATGCACATGAAAATACTGTATCTTTATATTTATATCACAGTCATTGATTCTACAAAGGTTTTTACACTATTGTCTATCTGAGCATTATATGGTACCATTTCTACTTAAAATACAAGTAAACATACATGTACAGTGTACTTGCTTTTGTATTATATTTTTACTTTAATTGACCTCTCTTCTATGTATTTATTCTATGTCATGGGATCACCTCCTTGGTTGGGACATGGGTCCTCAACTCTGATGTCCATGGTTAGGAGTTTTATACATATGATTGGTAGAAGATATAATATGTAGTCTTCTCCCTCTATTTATATTTGTCTCGTAGGATGGGGCTCGTTGGATGGTAGTTCTCTATAATGCCTAGTTTGCAGTGAACACCTAGATTAGTCAACTAGCTGACAGAGTAGGCAGCCCTCTATATATCAAAAGCCCAAGGGATGGAGCTCCATAGCTGATAGTTCTTATAATACATACTGGTGGTTGGAAGAGAACTGAGTAGTTTAGTCATCTAACTGACAGAGAAGGGCAACCCCCCCTATTTATCCAATGCCCCAGGGAATGGGGCTCTATGATTGTTAGTTGTATAATTCATCGTTGGTAGTGAACACAGAGTAGTTTAGTCGTCTAGCTGACAAAGAAGGGCAACCCCCCTATTTATCCAATGTCCAGGAGGTTCCTTGGTTGGAAGTTCTATAGATAATACATAGTTGGTGGAATGTCCAGTAGTTGATAGTGTTCCCCTCCTAGCACTTGTTTTATAAACTGAAAATAAAAGATAAACATTATGAAAGTAATCCTTGACACCAAGACTCACCTTTTATTTTTGCAGCATTGTATAGGTATACTATGAGATTATTTTTACATTTAAAGTCCTGAAATATTATTTTCTTAAAAAAGCTGACCTTTGTGGAATTATCAGTCTTTCATTCTTTTGACCTTTTCCTTTGACCTTTTCCTCTTCATACTAATTTTTGCTATATTTATTTGGAAGAAATGAAACCATATGTTAAAATGACTTATAAAGTTAAAATTAATCAAAAATTTTGAAAGTCTGTGTTTTTTTATTTACCAGGGCAAGTGTATGTTTTCCGCTCCTCGAACTTTGCTTTCTCCCCAGGCTTCAACCAGACCTGTAGCTTGTTAAGGAAGCCAATACACTTCTTATAAACATGTTAAAAACTTATGAACTTTTAATGTTTTAAATATGTTCTATATTTGATGACTTGCTATGACTAAACACTTATTTGATAACTTTTACAATTTAGGAATAGAGCATTTTCCTGTGAACTTACTGAATGACCTGGTATGCGTATGGAAAATTGTGGAAAAAATATAAACAAACATCTTTTATTTTGTACATTTGGTATTTTATACCAACTCATTTCATAAAGGATACAATAGGGAGTGGATCATATAGAATCTTAGATTTTGACTCAGCAAGTGCCATGTCCTCTCTGCCCCACCTAGCACCCTCAACAAACAGCCCTTTGATGTAAGCTCCGTTATTCTGAAAAAGAAAATGCAAAATAAATTATTTTGTGGGCACATGCGTCTTATTCTTATGGGAAGACAGAAGTACGTACTACTGAAGTTCTGAGAGAAAAACTGATTCTTGAATATAGATCTACAACTAATAAACACAAATGAAGTAAAGATCGACTTCTAGAAAGTACAATAATATTTTTTGCTTTTGCACGTCAGTATAAATAAAGATACAGACCATGCATTCTTTGTTCATAAGGTATGAGCACAAAGCATCATTTCCAATAAGACCACAAACTGGATAATTACATCACACACTAGACAACAATCTCAAACATATGCTGTCATAAAATCACGTATATAGGACAATAATATCACACATACTTGGTAATGACATCACCCATAATGGACAATGACATCACAAAAAATGGACAATGACATTATGGACAGTGACATCACAAAAATAGACAATGACATGATGTGTTTTTAAAATGACATCACACAAATTGGAGAATTAAATGACACCCACTTCACAATGATAAAACATAAAACATAATTCAATAATGACATAATACTTATATAGAATTGTGCTATGGAGATCATTCATACAAAACGTGTGAATGTAAAAATATCAACATTTTCAGAAAACAAAATAATTCAGATGAAATCGACAAATAAAATATAAAACACTCAATGGGAATGTTTTCAAATATATTGCACGCATCATGAACTCCAAAATATATGTGCCTCAAACAATTTCAAACAATATCATTTAACAATGTGCATGATTACCTCTTCCTGCAAAAATAAACAAAATATGTTTATTTTGTTCTTTATTTAAAGTACATGCAATATATAACACTATTAAGATAAAGAATTAATAACAAACAAATAAGATACAATGAGTTTTGAAATAAGAGATTGGAAGATATTCATGCTGAATTTGTATTTGTTATTTATATGGCGTTATTCAATTTAACATTTTGTTATTTTTTGTAATATTGAAGTCTATTTTGGAGAGTTTTAGTATTACAGACATAAATGTATATGACACATAAAAAAGCTTATAGCCCTTCAGGCAAGTTAACCCATAACTGTAATATGTCTGATACAAAGAACACACATTTTGACAACATGACCTACTGATATTTTTATCTTATTTAAATAACCAACAATATCAACATACCGGCTTGCTTGTCATTGTATTTTCCTGTTTCATCACCTCAAACTCAAACCCAAGATGGTCAATGGGGATCTTGTATCGTCGAGCATAGTTCTGAGTTACGCCTGTCATGAAAGATGGCGTGAAGTAAAACCCTGAGATCCAGAATACCACAGGAATACCATTCATTATCCATTCCTTCAATAAAAAATAAAATATTTTAAAAACACATGTAGCTATTGTGTGATTTTACGAATATTAATCTCCTTTTAGCAAGCAGATATGTTTTATGCTATCAACCCCCACTGCATAATTCAGTAAAAAGTATGAACTTATTTATTTACCTCTAAACTTTATAATCAGGGGTCGCTTGACTTGATATAAAGCACATGGACATGTACTGCCCTAATTGAAAAGAGGAGTTAGTACATGGAAATGACCCTATGATAATTGCTAAGAAAAACACCTTTTCAAAACTATAAAGGGACTTGGTTTCTTGTACTCTTGTTTGAGAACCAAAGGTCAAATATCTTACACAGGTGCAAAAGGGGTAAATAAATCAAAAAAAGTAAAATAATTTTACAATTGAAAACAAACCTGGAAGAAGTGGATTCTAGCAATGAGATCAGTGACGTAACTCCCGAGTGGTTTTAAGGATGGGTAGGACTTGGCCGCCCACATTGCTGGCACTTTCCCCACCATCATGCTGTCAAACACATCCTCCAACTCTGATGACATCACAACCAAACCTTTTATAGCCTTGCGGATATCTATAAGGCTTTGACGAACAGTTGTGATTAAGCGGTTGAACCTGATGAGTTCTTGGACTAGTACTGTGTTCATGGACTCTTCATATCTTACGGGATATTTTGCCTAGAAATATAAACACAAAATATATATTTGCTACATTTAATTGGCATTTCTGTTGAAATCAAGTCATTCATTTAAATGTCACCCTATGAGCTAAGTTAATTGATACGGCAATACATTTTTTGAAAATTGCAATAAATCAAAATGATTTTTGATTTATAAATCTTGATGTCTGAAGTACATTTTAATGGTAAACAGGACATAACATATGGGCTCTTGTTCAAAAAGTGCATCTTATTATGAGGATATTTCCCCAATGTAGCAATTATGAGAGAAACACAACAAGGATTTTGAGAATAAAACCAAATACTAATGGCCCTCCTAAGTAATTTGAAATGAGGAAACAAATATCTCCTCTTTACATTTGACTAATCAAAATTCAAGTTGGATTACATAGTGATGCCATAAAACTTTATTTTAGATCTTAGGTATTTTTAAAAAGACATATTGACATATTGTCAAAAACCATTAAAGACCCTGCCTGATGTTTGAAAATGCTATTCATCTCTTTAAAAACGTTTATGGCTTGAAAAGTTCTTTTCAATAAAATGAATTTAATATTAACATGTACGAGGGTTGTCCCAGAAGTAATGCACTATATGCTCTAATTCTCTTCAATATTCTTCAATTCAGCTATAGCAACCATTTCAAGATTTAATATTAATGTATGATGCTAAAACTTCAGGATATAACAGATAAAACTTCAATTGTTGTATACACCAAATTTCAGCTGAATTGAAGAATATTGAAGAGAATTAAGAGCATATAGTGCATTACTTCTGGGACAACCCTCGTACATGTACATACTGATATCTGCTTGTTATTTCACTTTGTAAACTTAGGATGTTTGATTAGACATGACATTTTTACTAAGTACATGCACTTAAAACTACAGGTGGTACTTACACCTATATTTCCTGACATGACAAAATTCAAATTTCCCCTACATGAACATTAATCTAATCGTGAATCACACCAAACAACATTTCTGTGGTGACTTGATTGAATTGTAGAAAATATCTAAGATTTGACACATTATTTAGTGGCAAGATGAGTCTAAAAGTTGGCCTCATTATATGTCTATGTATGTCTGGTATATTGCTGGAGAAAGGCAACAAGAAATCATTTGGGGAAATGGAGACTAACACTGAAACAAACACAAAGCAAAATGATTTGGACGACTATTTGGAATTCAAAGAAAGCAGAAACGTGACTTCGTTTGAACATGAAAGTGATGATCAAAAAGGCTCAAAGAAGCATGGAATGATGAATCAATGAATGGAGATTTTGTAACATCACAAACGTATCCAAAGGGTTATACTGTAAATGATGAAGGTGTCAAAGAACAACTGGTATATGAACAATGTGATTTGTGTGAATGTAATGGTGATGATTCATCCTACTTTTGCGAGTGTCATCAATACATGTCTAACAAGACATTTACAACTATTCATGAACTTGTCTCCTGTCTTCCACATTTCCCTCATTCAGTTGATTTAGTTATGGAACTTAACATTTCCGGATTTAACTTTGGAATCATACCGAATGGATCATTCAGCAACATTCCTTATGTGCAAACCTTATCAATTAGAGCATGTAATATTACGAAATTGGAACCAAATGCCTTCAAAGGCCTTAATAACTTATCTGAGCTTGCAATAGTGGACAGTGGAAAAGATAAAGAAGGTATTTCAATCCTTAATTATCATTTGCTACAGCACTGCCAGAAAACTAAGATACTAAGTTTGGGAAAAGTAAGAAACATTGCAAATAACACATTCTTCGCTCTACCAAAGCTTATTCAACTTACTTTAGAAGACAAAGGCATCTTGGAACATCACCAAATATTCAAATCATTGCATAAATTGCAAATTCTTATACTCAATGGGATAGGATTAAACCAAATCCCTGGTGCCATTTTACATTATCTCCCATTCTTGACAGAACTCCATTTGGCTAACAATGCAATAAATAGCCTTCAGTTTGATGGGAAGCTTACGACCAATGGTCATTTAACTCTTGATCTTCAAGGCAATAATATCAAGTCAGTGACGAAAACTGATATGTCCCAGTTTAAAAAGGTCGCTAATTTATCACTCAATTTAGCTGACAATGATCTGGAAGATATTGAACCGAATTATCTTCAAGACATCAAGGTAGTAGATATTCTCTCATTTAATAAAAATCTAAAATTGGGTAAAACAAATGCATTAAAGAACATGCTAGAAAGCTGTAAGGGAAAGCCTATAAAAGATCTGCAAATTGCAGGTTGTGGCATTGTAATTGATAAATTTAATTCATCTTTCCTTGAACCCCTTAAGAATTCAAATCTTCAAAGCTTAAGTATTGGTTATAATTTGATAGACAGATTTGAAACTGATGCATTTGAGCCTGTGAAATCATTGCGAGAACTAGATATTTCAAACTTTATGCATATTTCCAGTGAGACATTTGCACCACTACAAGACCTTTCAACTCTTAGAATCCATGATATGTCTGTTCTTCCAACAAAAAAAGATGCTATGAATGTTAGTTTGATTGAACTAGAAAATTTAGATACTCTCTTTCTGTACAAACTTGATTTCTCTCGTATCATTTTTACTTTAAGACGTTATATATACTCTTTAATGTATTTCAAATTGACGGATATGGGGGAGGCATTTGAAGCATATCATGATCAAGTTTTGAATTTGATTACAAATTCATATTTATTCTCTCTCGACTTATCTGGAAATTTACTTTTTCGCTATTCAGACACTGCTCTGTGTGAATTATTTAATGGTGTCGACACTTCTGAATTTCGTTTATGTGAAAACTATTTCAAAATACTTCCAGATTGTATATTTCAAAATATCCGTGCACAGTTGATAGATTTAAGCCAAAACAGAATCACTTACATTCAAGAAGGTTTGTTTAAAAACATCCCTGACATAATCAATTTAAATTTAGCTGGGAACAGCATCAGCTTAATTGATGGAACAGCACTTACTGTAGTTGGCCAAGATATACAAATAGAAAATAATGTGATCGAATGTAACTGTGCAACACAGCCCTTTACAAAATGGCTACGACGAAGAAAGCATCAAAGGGGTTTAGTCACTCATGACAAATTTTGTGCTTCACCGACAGGACCAACAAATGAGGAACTGTTGAAATTTGAATTAACATGGGTGCAATGTAACATGGAAGCCTTTGTTAGAATCATTTCTCTATCAGTTAGCAGTGTCATTTTGATTGGGATATTAACTGCTTCACTTCTGAAATATTTCTGGAGAGACATTAAGTACATGCAGCTGGTCAGGAGAGCAAAGCAGCACAATGGGTACATTCCAATTGTTGATCCAAATGATAACCAGAATGATATCCTAATTGATGATATCCAAGATGATGAAGTATATGATGCTTTTATCAGTTACCATTCTGAAAAGCGAATATGGGTACGTGATGTGATGACGCCAGAGCTCACCAAAGGGGATGTTCAATTCTCACTGATACATGATGATAACATAATACCAGGACAAGAGTCATACTTTGGTGGACTAATGTCACACATGGACCGTAGTCGCCATATCATATTCCTGGTTACAAGAGGTTGGATGCAGGAGGGATGGAATGAATTTGAAATGGACTCTGCTATAGATATGCTCACCCAGACCAAACGCCACACACTCATAGTTGTTCTGATGGAGAACATACCACAGAAAGAAATGTCACACAAGCTTAAACTGATGGTAAGACACAATGTCTGTCTGAAGTGGAGTGAAGAAGAGAGGAAGCAGAGGAAATTTTGGAGGGACCTTAAACTGGAACTAGGAAAAAAGCGTTATATGTGAAGCCAATTCCTCTGAAAATAATGATTGTGCAAAAGTGATTTAATTCAAATGTTACAAACAGTTCATTTTATTTAAGGAAATATCTGCACATCCTTCCCAAGTAATATCCCTTATGAACGGAGGATAAGGCATTTATTTCTCTTATCATTGACAGGTGTGCTCTAAATCGAAGTAAATAATTGTTTCAAAACAAGTTTCTCATTCTGTTATTTCATGTATGTATTTCACTTTCGTAATTAGTGCCTACAAGCATGGTGGAGAAAATGACATCATGTTTTTTGTCATGTGATCTCTGTTACAAAATATAGAATAAATAATATGACAGTGAGATACATTTGATTTGTGTTATCTTATAAAGGGACCATCTTATTTGTAAATATAATGAGTGGTGTTCCTGGGTCTGTCTTTCATTCATTGTATGTCAGGTGCAGTGTTGGAAACGCCAACAAAATGCAATTGGTGAACCAGTTCCAAATATATGAATTGTATAGTAAGATTTCAAAATACTTCCAGATTGTATATTTCAAAATATCCCTGCACAGTTGATAGATAATAACTGTACATCAAGTACATGCAGCTAGCTATAGTAAGGAGAGCAAAATGTCTTAATGGGTACATTCTGATTGTTTTCCAAAATACAAAATCACAATATAATATGAATGTTTATCAATTGTTTAGTCTGCATAGACAGATACTCAGGAAACGTATTCATATTAAGAACAAGAAAACAGCAACTCCACTGAGTTGCAAATCCCACCAACCGAAACATGCTTTGATAAATAGTAGCTCCTTTGTTTCTAGGTTATCAGATTTAATTTTTTCAACAAATGGCAGTCATTTTGATATTTTGATGATAGTTTGATGGTATTTCAGTTATCAAAGATTATGAAAAATGGAGGCCAATTTGAAATTCAGGTGCCATCCTGAAATAAAATATTGATTTAATTTTAAAAAATAGAAAATCCGTTATATATAGTCTGCAAATTTCATTTTGATAAGAGCTTTGAAAAATGGTTTTGTCTTTAATTGACTTTGATAGGTCATTCCATGCCCTTATTTTGATAGAAATTACTTTATTCTTATTTAGCTGAAGGTGTATCCATAGCAATTTTGGAAAACTTGTTTGAATATATATCAAGCTATACGAAACTGGATATACTGACATAAACACAAAATTATATCACATGTGCCCAGACTACATGTAAGTGGTTGTGACATAAAAACAGAATATAATCTTGGCTTTTCAGACAGTATAGCCTTCTAAGAGGTCTCCGCAATGTCGTACTAACTGATTGTTGAATAGAGTAAACATTTACACATCTCTCTAAAAAGTGCATTGATATATTATATTGACATTCAAAAACTAATAAAGCCCTTGCCTAATAAGTTTGAAAATGCTGAAAATTAACTTAATATTAAAACATCTTCCAAATGATTTTAACAAAATGCTCATCAAAGCATTTTTGAATATGTACATGTGTATACTGGAACCTGTTTCTTTTATATATTGAGTAGCCAAACTATAAACTTGGGAACATTTGGAAGGGCATGATATTTTAATCATTATTTTACAGATTACATGCAGAGTACTCACTCTTATCTTTTATATTACAAAATGTTATATTGACAAAATTCTGTTTACCATTGAACTGATCTTAAATCACATCAGACAATTTAAAACATTAAACGAGCTATGGATATTTAAGTGCCATCTAAAGATGCTTCTGAAAGTTGCCTTTGTTATGGGCCTATGCCTGCCAGGTATACTGTTGGAGAGACACAACAAGATATCAACTGGGGAGCTAGAGAGTTACACTGAAACAAACACAAAGCAATATGATTTGGAAGACCATTTAAAATTTAAGAAGAGAAACATGACATGGTTAGGGCATGAAAGTTATGAACAATGGGTCAAAGAAAAGTGGAATGAAGAATCAAAAACAGCAAAATTACAGATATATCAAATGGATCACAGAAATGAAGATTTTGGAGATCAAGTGGAAAATGATCACTGTAGAGACTTATGTGAATGTCATCAAGATAACAAGTACATTCCCTATCACCATTGCGTCTGCCACCAAAAAATACCAACAAAAACATTTACAAATATTACTGAACTTGTCTCCTGCCTTCCGCACTTTACTCAATCTCGAATATTACGTATTTCCCTCAACATTTCTGGATTTAACTTTGGAATCATACCAAATGGATCATTCAGTAACATTCCATATGTGGAAACTTTACTGATTCGAGAATGTAATATAACAAGATTGGAGCCAGATGCCTTTAAAGGTCTCGTCAACTTGTTCCGTCTAGCACTTGTGGATAGAGAAGGAATATCAACCCTGAATTACCACCTGTTTCATTGTTGTCCTAAAATAAAGGTATTAATTCTAGGGAAAGTAAATGACATTGAAGTTGATACATTCTCAGCTCTTCTAAATCTTGATCAACTTACTTTAGAACATAAAGGCATCTTAGAACACTACGAGCTATTCAAACCATTACAAAAACTGCGAGTTCTCGAACTTAAGCAGGTGGGATTAAACCATATTCCCAATGTCATTTTATCATATCTGATTAAATTGGAGTATCTTGATCTGTGGAACAATAAAATAACTAGCCTGCAATTCAATGGAACTCTTGAGCCACGTATTTATTCTCACTTATCATTCCAAGCAACAATATCAAGTCAGTCTCGAAAGCTGATATGGATCAATTTAAAGGTGTAGCAATATTGACACTCGTTCTAGATGATAACGACATTCAGGAAATTGAACCAAACTTTCTTAGTAACATTACTCAAATAAAACTTTTGACTTTTGATTATAATCGTAAACTGGGGAAAACAAATTTGATGCATTTGGTAAAAGGTCTTGAGGGAAAACCTATTGATAACCTTCAATTATCAGGATGTGGCATTGTTATCGATAAGTTCAATTCAACTATATTGGAACCTCTTCGGAAATCAAATCTTCAATTATTGGCTCTTTCAGATAACTTGATAGATACTTATGAAGCTGATGCATTCGAGCCAGTAAATTCCTTGAGAGCTCTTGAGATATCAAACTTCATGGTTATTACTAGTGAGACATTTACACCACTCAAAAACCTTGTCTCCCTAACAATGCATGATATGTCTGTGCTTTATGCAGGATCACCAAATGTGAATGTTAGTTTGAATGAACTTGGAAAATTGAAACAACTTATTTTGTATAAACTAGATTTCTATCGCATCATTTTCACTTTCAGTAGTGTTACAACATCTTTAAGTAATTTCAGTTTGACCGATCTTGGCAAGTCATTTGAGGCATATCATAAACAGGTTTCCAAGATGATTGCAACAGCATATTTCAATGACCTTGCCTTATCAGGAAACTTATTGTTTCATTATTCAGATACTGAATTGTGTGAACTTTTCAATGGAGTCCGTACTCAAAATATCTTCTTACGTGAAAACTTTTTCAAAATACTTCCAATTTGTATGTTTCAAAATTTTTCTGCTAGATCTATAGATTTAAGCAAAAACAGAATCATTTATATTCAAAAAGATTTGTTTAAAAATGTAAAAGTTCAAATATGGGGTATAGATTTAGCTGAGAACAGTATCAGCTTAATTGATGGAACTGCACTTGCTAAAGTAAAGTCATGGATAAACATTGAATACAATTTATTAGAGTGTAACTGTGCAACGCAACCTTTTATAAATTGGCTAAAACAAAGAAAACGGCCACAAGTCTTTCATGACCCATTTTGTGCTTCATCAACGGGACCAACCAACGAGGAACTGGTGAAATTTGAATCAACTTGGGTGCAATGTAACATGGAAACCTTTGTTAGGATAATTTCTTTATCAGTTAGCAGTGTAATTTTGATTGGGATATTAACTGCTTCACTTCTGAAATATTTCTGGCAAGACATAAAGTATATGCAGCTGGTCAAGAGAGCAAACCAGCACAATGGGTACATTCCAATTGTTGATCCAAATGATAACCAGAATGATATCCTAATTGATGATATCCAAGATGATGAAATATATGATGCTTTTATCAGTTACCATTCTGAAAAGCGCATATGGGTACGTGATGTGATGACACCAGAGTTGACCAAAGGGAATGTTCAATTCTCATTGATACATGATGATAACATTGTACCTGGACAAGAGTCATACTTTGGTGGACTAATGTCACACATGGACCGTAGTCGCCACATTATATTCCTGGTTACAAGAGGCTGGATGCAGGAGGGATGGAATGAGTTTGAAATGGACTCTGCTATAGATATGCTCACCCAGACCAAACGCCACACACTCATAGTTGTTCTGATGGAACACATACCACAGAAAGAGATGTCACACAAGCTAAAACTGATGGTAAGACACAATGTCTGTTTTAAGTGGAGTGAAGAAGAAGGGAAGCAGAGGAAATTTTGGAGGGATCTTAAACTGGAACTAGGGAAAAAGCGATATAAGTGAAGCCAATCCACCCGACAGGAGGATATATAACTTAGAACCTCATTTTCACAAAAAGTGATAGACGATATGATTATACAAATATTTACTTCTATTTAGGGAAAAACCTGAGCACCTTTCACCAACAATATGTGTAATATATGAATTGATTTTACAAATATTTCCTCTTATTAAGGGAAAACATGTGGACCTTTCCTTCTATTTAGGGAATATGTGTAATATATAAATTGATTTTACAAATATTTCCTCTTATTAAGGGAAAACATGTGGACCTTTCACAAGTAATATTCTCTGTGTGATATATGATTTGATTTTACAAATATTTCCTTTTATTTAGGAAAAACCTGTGCAACTTTCACCAGCAATATTCCCTGTGTAATATATGATTTGATTTTACAAATATTTCCTTTATTTAGGGAAAAACCTGAGCACCTTTCACAAGTAATATTCTCTGTGTGATATTTGATTATACATGTACAGGTACAATACATTTCCTTCTATTTAAGAAAACAATCTCTGTTACTTGGGCAAGAGAATATTCATTGTAATTGTTTCTCATTCTGTTAGACCATACATGTATAACATATAATACATCAAATGTGAGTGGGACAAACTCAGGATATTGAGAAATAATATGTAGGAAGTTTTCACTCTGCAAGCCAAGTTCCTAGTGTCTCAAAGCTAAAGGGGATCAATATTATACCATTCACAGAATGAATAACCTGACAATGAGATCAATGCAATTCTAATAATCTTATTTGTAAAAGACAAAAAGTCTTAATGAAAACTGATAAATACTATGCTTAACAATAAGTTGCTTGTAATAATTGCACTAAATTGAGTTCCAGTGCCTACTTTTGTACATACATTTATGATATTGTTGAATAAAGGTGGAAATCAGAGTAAATGTATTGCTAGAGAAAATTGGGCCTGTAATTCAAATATCATCAAATAGATGGAAAGGAGGAGGGAAATTAGCGCAACAGATTTTGGAAAGTCATATGTTGGATTTTGGCCATTTTCTGAGGATTTAAACAATTGCATATGTTAGGCCAAATGCATTACCTCCAGGAAAATCACTTCTAGAGATGATAAAATAATTTTGACTTTGAGACAGGGTAGATGCAAACAACCCACCCACATGTTTTTTCTGAAATGTTTTCCTAATTTTCGACCCCTTCCATCCCTGCTTTTTTAATTTTTCTTGCATCAATATGTTGCATTTTGACACATAGTTAACCACTTTAAAGGAATTAGTGATTAGTTCAGGGGTTTTAAAGATACCCATTATGGGTGACCAAACTTAGCTGAAAGCAATGATTTTTCCTATGGGAAAATAACATGGGAAATATTGTTTTCCACTTTATCTAAAAGGAATCATTTATTCCTTTTAAGGGATTAACGGTGTATCAAAACGCAACATATTGATGCAAGAAAAATTAAAAAAGCAAGGATGGAAGGGGTTGAAAATCAGGAAAACATTTCAGAAAAAACATGTGGGTGGGTTGTTTGCATCTACCCTGTCTCAAAGTCGATATTATTTTATCATCTCTAGAAGTGATTTTCCTGGAGGTAATGCATTTGCCTAACATATGCACCTGTTTAAATACCCAGGAAATGGCCAAAATCAAACATATGACTGTCCAAAATCTGTTGCGCTAACTTCCCTCCTCCTTTGTATTCTGAATGGTTCAATACGTAAATCTCAAAAAGTTTCATTAAAAATGAGACTTTATTGAGATTTCAAAGCTATATGACAAAACCTCTATTGTGTATATCTCTAGCTTAATAATATATTGGAATACATTTTATAAAATACATGTAATAACATATTAGAGTTGAATAGAATAACTTGTAAAAAATTACAATTATTAATGAAAATTTACCTGTACTTCATCCAGTTCAAAATCTGGAGGAATTTTAGAGAGAATATCACAGGCGAGCTCTTCAATTATTTCCTGAGAGGATTTACCTCCTCCTGATGTCTGCAAGAGAACACATTCCATTTTTTAATATTTAATATATACAAACTTTCTCTTCTCAAGGAACAATATTGATTTACACAACATATAATAAAGCAGAAATGAAGAAAAGAAAATTGAAACATTTAAAGTGAAAATAGTTTCTCCATCTTATGAGAAAAAACGTTAGAAATCAGAAATAATGTGAAGAGAAAGAATAAAAAAATATTGTCCAAAGATAAATATTATAAGTTTTTTTTACATGTAAATGTACTGGTATATGGAAATAATGTCTTATTAAAATTGTTCACTCTTATAAATTAAAGGAATACATTCTTGTCAAGGCTTTCAGATGGATTAATGATCACGAACAAAGTGAACTAAATCCAATCAAAAATTTAAACAAGCTCAGAAGAACAGTGGAAAACAACAAGAAATCACATGAAGAAAATTTGCAAGTCATCATGAAAGATGACATACTTGCTTTTCTTCATAGATTTTTCCTGAAAGAATTCTATTAATGATAATCACAAACAAATACATGTATTTGGAAAGTAGGGCATATGTTAGAATACATGAAAAGGTTTTACATATTCACTGTAATGTGATGCAAAACTGCTCAAAACACACATGATTAAATTGTGCATTCCTTATTCACTTTAAATGCCATCTCTTATTTTTCAAAGCCAAGAGATGTAAAAATGTAATTTTATCTCTAATTTTTCAAAGCAATAAATATTATTTGCAATTTTATCTCTTATTTTTCAAAGCCAAGAGATGTAAAAATGTAATTTTATCACTAATTTTTCAAAGCAAATATTATTTGATATTTTATCTCTTATTTTTCAAAGCCAAGAGCTGTGAAAAATGTAATTTTATAATCTTATCTCTTATTTTGCAAAGCCAATATTATTTGCAATTTTATTTCTTTTTTCAAAGCAAAGAGATGTCAAAATGCAATTTATCCAAATTATCAAAAGCTAGCAGATGAGAAAAAAAACTCATTGATTCTTTTTAAGCAAAATGCATTAATCACTTAAACATAGACATATGAGTAATTGTCAATATTATATCACAGAAGCTAAAAAATAAATGTCAATTTTATTTTTATTTTCAAAGCCAACAGATACATGTGAAAATAAAAAACTCCTGACTCAAAAGTGGAATCAAGTAAAAAATTGCAAGATTTAAAAAAATGTGTACACACTGCACAAAGTGTAGAATTAAAAAGTGCTGAAAATAAAATTGATATATTTTCCAATTTAGATAAATGTCTGTAAATTAGTTTTTTCTAAATTGAAAAATATTATGCTGCAGAGTTGTCACTTAGCCTAACCGCATTGTCCTAAAAATAAAGCGATAATATTCAATGAATTATGGGAGCCAGTTGAACTAAGATGGTACATGTATTACTATACTTGAACTCTGATCTTCTACAGCACTGTAGATAGGCGCTTCACCCATTTGAGATTTTGAATACAAGTCAGCACCTTCTTGAACACCCAATTGCACCCAGTCAATATACAACAGCAATTCCCCAGCGTAGCAAAGACCACTTAGCAAATCTGGCAAAATCTACATCCTTGACACTCATTTTAAGTTTTCAAAAATTAAATTTTTAAATGAAAAATGGTGGCCATTTTGAATTTAGCAGCCATCTTGAAACTCCTTTCTTGAGCGTACATGATAAAAATCAAAATAACTTCACCATCGATGATATCGAAGAACATTTACACATGAAATAGTGAACTTGTTATCGCATTAAATACATGTGGAATATCGGAACTTGTGAAAAATATGCATGAAAAATTCAAGATGTATAATAGTACAATTGTGAATTTTACAGTATCAACCTCATGGATGAAAACAGATATAGTATGTAAAATAATATTTTAAAAATATTTTATTCTATTGAGGTGAATACCTGTGCATCTTTCTGCTCTTTCACTTATGTTCCATGAAGCCCATATGGCTAGCAGAATAGCATCTTATGATATCACAGGTATTCAAAAAATAGAATGAAATAATTGTTTTATTATATCACTGTCAAGTTTTCCACCTTCACAATATTATTATTAATTAAAGTGTTTAAACATTGATGAATACATTTATATAGGTTTGATGTTGAAATCAGCCATGAGTATAATATTGACCTACAATGTACACTGAATAAGAAATAAATATATTTGAAAACTTCCGGCAGCAGCAAATACCACTAGCCTTAGCTATTCAACACTTTTCTCAGGGTTCTCGCTAGGCTTTTAGACTCCGGAATCTAATGTCTTAAAACCCTCTTGCTCCAGAGTCTAATAGCTTTTCCGGATTCTAAAGTGTTTTTTCCGGAGTCTAATATTACATTTTTGTCACATTATATGCGGTAAAACTCCGCGATACCGCGAAAAAAGTAGTCACAATACCGCTAAAAATCCGGGGTCTAAAAATTTCCTGGTGAGAACCCTGTTTCTAATTCCATAAGCATGGCCATTGAATATGACCTGATAAATTTTGAAGTTTTTAGGCTACTTGTCCAATTATACGATTAAAAACTTGATATTGATATAATAATCTGTAATAATTCTTCAAATATGTTTTTCCTAAAGGCTAAGGGATGAAAATATCAATGGGAAATTCGAGAATGGTTTCTTATTCATTTAATCTATATGGTGTTATTCTATCATGATTCTCATAGTTTATTCATTATGAACAATTGAATCATGGGAAGTCCACATCTGATTTTGGTAAGGTGCCGTAGTAACAGATTACTAAGTTAAACTCATTGCTGACCTACCCCGATATATTTCGTCTATGATGTCATAATCATATGTGACCAAGGTGCTGTCCAGTAATTGTCACATAATCTGTACCAGTTATTTTACCAAATATTCTAGTGGTCACTAGGGGAACCTGGTAGGGTGCATTTGAAATATTTTGTCATTGGCTTCACAAATGACAAATAACTTAGCGCATAGGGTGTTGATACAGTCTATTTTATGCTAATGTGAAAACATGCAATTTTCCATCAAAATTGCCAGTCACCAACAGAAAACCTCCAAAACTAGCTTTGGCCAACAATGAGTTAAAATAAATCATGTGAATTTTGTGACATAAAATGGCATACTCTAGCACCTTACCAACAAAATCAGAAATTGGCATGCTTGGTGAATGACACAATACTGTACATGTATTGTAGCTATATCATCAAGTAAATATATTCTAACTAAATATATTATGCTACTTGTAATTAGACATAATATATCACAGGTTTAACTCAGGTTTATAAATACAGTAAATTAATTACCACTTTAGGCACCTAAAATAAAGCAGGATATAATACCATTAAAAACCAATAATAAACACTTATTCTTCAAATCAATTTGGATTCAAAGACACCATATAAGAATTTGAACTCATCAATTTGACACCAAACTTCATATATCCTCACTAGTGCATGCAACAAATACAAAAATTTAATCGAAAATTCTAAAAAAAATAATAATCAATCCCTCTACAACATGCACTAGACATGTATGTATATGGACAAAATAATTTGACTAAATGATACACAAATACAGAACAATAATCAACTGATATGAGCAGTACCTGTCTTGGAAGAGTCAGCAGAATGCCATCAAATAATGTGTTAGTCTCCTGTTGGTCTTTGGATATATCAGCATTCTCATGGAGGCCAAACACCTAAAAGAAGTTTTTTTTATTTTTTGTTCCTCAAGAAACCTACATGTACTTTTTTTTGTATTTAGGTAAGGCATTTCTGTATTTTTTTTTCAAAAAGCATTTTCTGTTCTTTTAATTTATTTCTGGTTTTTTGTGACTGTATATTTTTTGATAACAAGTTGTCTGTCATTACATTTTGTATAATTCTAGTAACTAAAAGAGAGAAGAATTACTGATGAATATATGATAAGCTGTAAATTATCTTTTTTTTCTTTTCGTATTAGTTTTACCTCTGGATGGGGAATAAGTGGAAGACTCCTTATATAAGCAATATAATCATCATAAGACCCCTTAGCAGGTGCGTAATATAACCCACTCTGCGAAAACTTGTAGTTAGGGTCGTTAATAACGTCAATATGGTAGAATATGTTGAGAATGCTCATGATGAGCCGTCTGTCTCGTTCATCTGTTACACGACCCCCATAGTTGCATTCACCAGTCAGGTAGGCCAATGCCTCGATAGGGGGATCTTCATAGTCATTGTTGAACATCTACAATTATAGAGCATGCATTTATTAAATGCCTTGTAGTATAGTAAAAAATATTAGAGATTACAAGAATGAAATGTGAGTATCGGTAAAAAAAATCCTCCAAGGAATTTTTTCTGAATATACAGTTATATTATGATTTGTACCAAACACCTTATCATTGGGCAAACAATAAAAAATAAAATTTGACACTAACCACTAATTGTCTGACACTTATTCTGAGATCTGACTCGTTGAACTCATAGGGAATGTTCCATCCAAGGGGTCCAAACTTGCGCCTTTCTTGCACCAGAGCATGGAAGAAACACAGCCCAAATAACATTTTCTCGAATACCTGAAACAGATATATAGCAGTCAGGTGCCATTTCACATTCATGTTAAAAAGATGAGTTTCATTAGAACTTCCCTTTTCTGATATGTTGAAGTATATTGATAAATGAATTTTTTTTACCTAATCATCTGAACATATTGTGATTTAAAGTAAATTTTTTATGATTCTTGAATTTTGTGCCATTTTCTGCTTTCTCATTATTGACTCCATGAGTCATGTTTATGTTACATTTCCCTGATATTGTCCTTTGAGCTTTAACACTATATGAAATACAAACAAATGTAAAAGCAATACTTACTGCTGGTTTATTACAACTATTGAAAAATTCTGGATCTGATATCGGATCATTGAGGTAAGATCGCAAAAGGTTTGCTCGGAGTCCCTTTGGAGGCTCATTTGTCATCTTAATACCATTCTGTAGCACAGACACGGGAAAATCAGGAGATGGGTAACTCGTCAACCATAAACGGAAGGTTTCCTTCACACGACTGGGGTCAGTTATGACAGTCTCGCAGATGCGTTCAAGTTCACCAAGCCACGATGCTGCCAAATGGCAATTTTGTAGTACAACCCATGTCCCATCTTCAATTGCCTGTAAAATAAACATTTGTTTATTTCCGAGGGTTGTCAACATTTTTTTGTGTTCTCAGTTTCTTCCAAAACAACACTACTTTTTCAAATCAAATGGTATAGTACACTATACATGTAGTACACATGTATTTGTGTTATGCATGTATAAAGTATGCTTCATAACTGATTCTCTTCAGCTAAATAATCATCTAAAATGGAGCACCATTGAAGATTTTGGCTTGTAATTATAGTTCCGATTGATTAAAGAAGCAATGAGGGAAACTGATCATGGGATATATAGTAACATTTACTAGAAGAACTATTATGTTTCCTTACGGATTCAATCATTTTCTCTGCAATGGGACCTTGGCCTTGTCCTAGAGAGATGGTCTGAAGTCTGTTACCTCCATACCCTACAAGGAACAAACAATACATAAATTAAGGCACAAGCAACAGATACAAGAAGAAGCAACAGAAACAACGTTACAAGGAACATTTAATCTGAACAAAAGGGAACATTCTACATTATGCAAGAGAAAGGTGAATCATGATTTCAAATATTGATATTAAAATATGATTTTTATGCTAAAATGTTACGTGGATTAAAAAAATTAATAACTGAACAATGAAATAAATCTGCTTTAATCTTGCATTAAAATATAATAACAACATTTGATATCCTCTTTAAAATTGAAGATAAATATATAAACTACCGCCTAAAATAGAAAACCCAACCACCTTGGTTTAACAGAAAAGGGGCTCTCAGCTAACATGCATTGGGTTCTAAATAGTCTCTAGCGAGTAATCTCCAACATACATATGAAGACTACAACAAAGGTTATACATATATCGTAGTTCATGCGTGTAAGAGTAGGATTATTCTATGGAGTGGATTTTCTAAAAAAATTCTCGAGGCATCCAATCATATTCTCAAGTTGTGACTTATTACATATTAACATGCAAAGATAATTTTAAGCTCATCATTTTCTCGTACATTACAGTCATTGATACAAACCCCTGTATTAAAATAGTTCATGCAATATGAAAATACATGCATACACAACGAAAATATTACAATAACATTGAAATATGATGAAAATGAGAAGGTTACAGTACAATATTGCACTGTACGATATATGCGTATAATACCACATTGCTAAATTCAACATAGGTATACACATAGACATTCAAATCCTAGACACTATCTGTTACCTTTCTATCCACCAACTACATTTAAAGTAAAGAACTTAACCCAAATGTACAAATACTACCTGTAGAGGGGAGAAGGAGTGGGAAAACTGAAGATTTTTGTGCAACTACAATATGAGATCTCAAATGGTGCAATTCAAGAGCTACTACATTTAAGGAGATTGGCAGTAGGATATAATGTCAATGTGAAATGCAGGAGAATGGAGGAAGAGACAATGGGACATAGCAACGTGCATAGGATTTTTCAATGTGCCATGCAAGGGGGAGGGGGGGGGGGTTGAAAATAGGATTTTTCAATGTGCAATACAGAGACAACTAAATATATAATCAATGTGAAAATTGAATACATCAATGTGCAATACAGTGCGGAGTAAACAATTTAATATATTTGCATGCTTGTTAAAACATAATGTCTAGTGGCCTATGTAAAGGTTTAAAGTTTACACCTATTAAAGAATGCAAAAATCAGGTGTTAGCAACTGCATGCAATTGGCTGCATACTTATAATAAAAATGTTTTAAGGTTGCATGCAATACAATGTTTAATAACAAGCAGGAGTCAATTTCTCCAAACACATTTAAGTTACAGATCAACAAATCACATTTACCAAATGGTTTCATTAAACAAAAATCAACAAAAAAGGTGAATAAAAAAGATAAAAGTATGGAGTATTGGAATCAACAATTGAGACAACTGATTTATGAATCTGTAACTTAAAAATGTTTTGAAAAATGAGCTCCAGGTTGGAAGAAGTATGGGACTCCATAGAAATGCGAGAAGGTAGAGGTACACTGGTTTTTTTTTGACTATACACATGCTAGGAAAAGTACAGGTGATGTATATGAGGTGATACCACAAAACTCATTTGTGACAAGACTCATTTGTGGTAAAGGAAATGTCACATACGGGCATACTTCTCGCTCATCATGTTCTGTTGTCCAACTACTTCCTGTAAGCGCCGCCATTGCACTTTACGTGGATCATCGATAATCTTTTGTATAACCCCTTTTTTGAACAAATTTTAGATTAAATAAAGCATAAAACAAATCTTATTAAGCAAATTAAAAAGAATTAGGATGATGAATGAGAGCATTCAAAATACAAGCTAGCAATATAGAATACAAAGCATAGATAATTCAACCAAACATATCATAATATTAAGCAACATTAATGGAAAAATAAAACAAATATTCCATTTAGTTGAGATGAATACATTAAACTTTCCCTTTATATGCTGTAATAAAAGTTAAAATATATTCACTGAGTATTGTCAAAAATAGAATGGAATATTTGTTTTATTATTCATTGTTTTGTTTCACTTGAATAAACACGATCAGGCAATATATTGGATGGTATATAACATGGGATTTATAGTTGAAAACAAGTCTAAGACAAGTACTCCATCCATCCAGGACTTTCTAATGGGGTACTCACAGTATATACATTTGACAATGAGGTTCTACATAGAGACTGCATGTTATCTTTTAAATCAATGTTTCATAAATGTGTTGTTACTATGGCAATGAGAGTGAGAAACTTTCCAATGATATATAATAAATATCAACATAATCAGGCTCATCATGTATTATCTAACTTTTTTAGGTATGATGTGATGCATTGTCAAAACTTATTTTGATGGAAATTGATGCTTTGCCAACTTGACCCTTGCAAACAGTTTCACTGAAAATATGTTATTTTAGTGATTTTGTATCTTGAAGGTGATTTCGTAGAACATATTTTGCAATGTGTGAAAAGAATTTAAGCCCAAGATTTGATGCATTGTGGCTGATTCATTCCACTCAGGCATTATTTCCTAAACTTCACACTCAATGTTGCGCATCTCATGCAAAGGTTGAAATAACACCTTTTTGAGGAATGGTTCAGTCCACATTGCACTAAGTCCAGGGCTTAAATCCTTAAATGACAACAGGGTGACAAATACAATTGAACCATGAAACTTATGTTTGGTAACTGAAACACATTCACTGTCACGGGAAATAATAAAGCAATGCTAACTATGGGACAACTAATAAATATATATAGATTTATTTCATTTTTAACGTAATGATGTAACTAATGGTATTTCTAATGCTCAACTATGCTTCTATATGTCTATACCTGATGGTGGCTCAACTGTAAAATGTAGAAAAATGGTGAGACTGTTATGTTTATTAATGAAATCACAGCAAACATATTTTAAACTTTCAGGCTATAGAAACCTGAATCAGGCTCAAGATTGCTTGAAATAAGAAAATATGTGCACATGCTGAAAACATTACCACACAAGCAAAATATACAGGAAATGTCCTAGTTATATGTTTGCGATGCAGCAACAAGATAAAATACGATGCATCTTGTTCAAACATTTAAATCAAGACAGGTTTTGTATATTCCCAAACCATGTTAGCAAATTATAAAATAAATGGTGAAATATCAAAAATGCCAAACATTAATAACAAATAAAGCCAATCCACAATATTAAAATGTAATGTATTAAGTGCAAATCAAATTATATCATCTATTAATTAAAACGCGGCAAACACAATTTTAAAATTACCTTTTTCTTCCGCAAACTTATACAACCCTGCCATTGGATCTGCTCCAGGGGAGAGCACGAAAATCAGGGGTGAAAAATAATGCGAATCGCTGTAACTTAGAGAAAGGTCAAAAGTTGGCGGCTCAATGTATTTCTGTCCGATGTGCTCCACGATAAAAGTCTGTACTGCTGGCACCATCTATACAGAGAATAAAAGAACCCTTGTAAGATATAATAACAACAATGAATAAGAATGAACATAATCTTTTTACAATAACTATTTACAGTTAAAATCTTAAAAACGTTACTTTTCCCACAGGTTACAGATCCTTTAAAGAACTGGATACTTATTTGGGTCTATTGTAGGTAGGAAAAACATTTTTCCCATACTAATATCTCACTTACTTTATCAGGTCTCAGACAGCGTAGGGTGATCAGAGTTTCTATACGATTCAACTTCTCTTTCCAAGGTTGCGGAAGACTCTCTTCTTCAGGTTTCAGTGAGTCATAAATCTCCTTCCATTCGTGAATCTAATAATACAAAATCTGGTTGATTCTGGTGTTTTTTAAGTTACAGTATGAATCGAGGATGAGAAAAATCTGGTTGAATCTGATTGTTTTTTAAGTTATATTCATATATCAAATTTCTGAAACATGACAATTCTGACATGCTTCCATACAGACATCTAAACTTGCAGATTTTTTTACTCTATTTTCTAAATGTGGAATCTACTATACCATGACCCATTCCTGAACTGATAAACAGTGCTATAAAAATCTACTCATTCCTTGGATGATATTTCTGGTCAGTTGGGCTACGCAATGAACAAGACCCCATCTAATGATAATGATATAATATAACTCACATGCTATAATTCACAAAACAAGCCAGTATGGTTGATACATGTAATTAGACGTAAAGGAAAACCTAAAATGGATACATTAAGTACATTTGAAAATGAGAAATTTTACCAGTAAATTTTCTATTAATTACAATACAAACCTATTCCATGACATATGCTTACTCCCCTTATTTGGAGTAATTGGCAAGTCTAAAAAACACCCCTTTATAAAAAAGTGGACTGGCCCAAGTGGCCAATATCGATCCCCAACTCATTATGTATTCATATTTAATACGCTAAAAAAATAATAAATAACCTCCATTTTCCCAAAGGCGGGGAGGCTGGGTGGGCCTCTGGTCATGGAATAGGTTTGTATTGTAATTAATAGAAAATTTACTGGTAAAATTTCTCAATTACATACAATCCAACCTATTCCATGACATATGCTGAATAAAAAGTTAAGGAGGTGGGGACCTCGTTACTAAAAGTACAAAAGAACTATATTACCATCCTAATGAGATGTCACCCAAAGAATAGTACATGTACCATTACCCCCATCTGCTAGTTGGATCCAAGACGGAGGCTGTTACATGTCCAACTGGAGACTGTTATGTCCTATCAGAGTGAGCAGTCTTAGCCATTTAAGGGTAATGACCAACTCCTATGAATAGAGACTGGTTAACCAAGAAAGGGCCGTTTAAACCAAACGAGGTAACCGTTGCAGTTCTGCAAGGGTCCAGGTCACAAGCTAGTTGAGTTGAACCCTTCTGCAAAACAGTCGAGGCCAAGCTTCCCACGTGAATCCATCTGCAGATATATAGTGAGTGAAGAACACTTACGTCTAAAAGTTGCAGAGAGTGCCAGCTAGTACCACCGGGCCCAGCTTGTGCATGCCTTTCTCCATTACTGTCACATCTCTGAGGTAGTAACTTGTGAAGGTGTTGTGGGATGCCCATGAACAGGTCTTGAAGAGTGCTGTTAATGAGGCATTGGCTTGTAGAGCTAGTGAGGAAGATATGGCTCTTGTCTCGTGTGGTCGTATCTTCCCTTGTAACTTGCTTTCTTCTGAGGCATTCTTGTAGACATAGTTCAACAGTTGTTTCACCCAACTAGAGAGAGTGTTAGGGTGTACATCAGAACTGCATCCTTTCTTGAAGGGGATGAAAAGTCTATTCCTGACTCCTCTGATAGGAACTGTGGCTTGAAGATAATATCTTAGGGCCCTCACAGGACATAAGAATTTATCTGGCGTTTCATTTCCAACGAAATTAGCTAGAGCCTTGATAGTGATTGGTTGGAATCTGGACTGTCCTTCTGCGCAATTCAATGATTTCGGCAGGAAACCAACAAAAGGGAAAAGTACCGCTTCCAAGTTGTTTCTAGTCCATTGTATACGCCTAATGTCTATGGCATGGATGTCAGAACGTCTTTTCCCTGAAGCTAACAGTAGAAGGAAAAGTGTCTTCCACGATACGTGTTTGAGATCAGCTGTAGACATTGGTTCGAAGGGAGGTTTGGTTAACTCGTGTAGTACAAACACTAGGTCCCACTTAGGCATCAGATCTTTAGGCTGAGCATCTTCTAATTTGAAAGAATGGATCAGATCAGAGATTTCTTGAGTCGACGAGAGTGATGTGCCACTTGAATGTTGAAGGACTTGATTGATGACAGTTCTATAACCTTCAATGGTACTCACTGTTAACTTCTTTACTGAATGAAGATAAAGTAAGAAGTCAGCTATTTCTGGAACAGAGACTGTGCAGGGATCCAGATTCCTCTCAGAACACCAAATAGAGAACTTCTTCCATTTGGCATCATAGACTCTGTTGGTGGAAGGTCTTCTAGCATCTGATGCGATTCTTTTTGACACTTGTGTTGAAAAACCCTTCTGAGTGAGAGATTTCGTGAGAGTTTGCAAGCGTGAAGATGGAAAAGTTCTGGATTTTGATGGAAGATCTGACTTCTTGGCATTTTGAGAAGTTTCTCCAATGGGGGGATTTCCCTTGGATAGTCCACTAGAAGATCCAATAGTTCTGGGAACCACGGCTGATTCTGCCATTTTGGAAGGATTGCTAGAGCTAAACAGTCGTGATCCTTTATCTTTTGTAGAACTAATCCTATCACTGGCGTGGGGGGATAGATGTACAGATGAAGATTTTGCCAGCTTAGGGATAGAGCGTCTGTTGCCCAAGCTGCTTGATCTTGTATTGGTGAGACATACACTGGTAGTTGGTTGTTGTAGCATGTCGCCATCATGTCTAGATTTGGAGTTCCCCATATCTTGAACATCTGTTTGACAACTGCTGGATGTAAGGACCATTCTGTCGCAACTATCTGATTTCCCCGGCTCAACAGATCTGCTCTTCGATTCAGTCGACCTGGCACATGTCTTGCGCGAAGACGGACTTGATGTAAATCGGCCCATAACCATATCTGTCGAGATAACTCTGTCAGTTTTGCTGACTGTGTTCCCCCTTGTTTGTTGAGGTAGGTTGTCGCAGTTGTGTTGTCTGCACAAATTAACACCATCTTTCCTTGGAGGTGAGTCTGAAAGTGTTGAAGGGCTTTCTGTATGGCTTTTAGTTCCAGCCAGTTTATGTGGTTGTTGGATTCTGATTGGGACCAGTTTCCACAGCACTCTTTCGATATGTTCAGATCCATGTGAGCTCCCCACATCGCTGTTGAAGCATCTGTGAATATTGTCACTTCTGGTGAAAATGGAGCTAAAGTCATCCCTTTCTCCAGATGCTGGCCTTGATTCCACCACAACAGGTCCAATCTTGCAGTACGATCTACTGTTATCATCTTGTCCAATGGATCTCTGAGTTGAGACCAATTCTGAGACAGGCATTGTTGGAGGAACCTCATGTGTAATCTCCCCAGTGGGACTTGTTTCTCTGCTGATGCCAGTAATCCCAGAAGAGACATCCACTGCTTGGCTGTTGCTCGACTTTCTGTGAGGAACCAGTCTGTTAGGTGTAGAATTTTGTCTATTCTGTCCTGGGGGGGATAGGACATCCCTAGATGAAGGTCCCACCGTACACCTACATAGTCGAAGATCTGCAACGGAATCAACTGCGATTTCTTGTGATTGATGATGAAGCCAAGATTTTCCGTCACCGTCATCACAATCCGTAGGTGATCTGAGACTTCCTGTGGCGATGCTCCTCGGATTAACCAATCGTCTAAATACCGGTGGAGTTTTATCCCGAGCTTGTGGAAGAATGAGGCTAGGGGTTCCAGGATCTTGGTGAATATCATCGGTGCTGTTGCCAGACCGAAAGGCAGTACTCGAAATTGCAGAATTTTCCCGTTGACGACAAAACGGAGATACTTCCGGAAGTTCTCTTTCATCATTATATGAAGATAAGCATCCCGAAGGTCCAAGGATACTGCCCATTCGCCTTGTTGGAAGGAGGTCATGTACTGCTGTACTGTTTCCATTTTGAATTTGGGAACTATTAAGACTTGATTTAAAGTTCTCAAATTGATGACGGGTCTGTCTTCTCCATTCTTCTTCTTGACCAAGAATAGATTGCTGTAAAACCCTGGAGAATGTCTGTTTAGAACTTCTTCTACAGCATTCTTTTGCAGAAGGTCCTCTACCACTCTGCTGAAACGAGCTGCTTTGCTCGATGTTGAAGACTCGAACTGGTTTGGTTCGGTGCATAACGTCACAGTTGAATTCATCTGTGGGATGTATCCTACCTGGATCATCTTCAGTATAAACGGATCTTCCGTTAACAGCTTCCAATTCGGAAGGAAAAACATCAATCTTCCCCCTACAGGTCCTGGAAATGGAGGAATTGTGAAGACTGGGATCATAGAATGGTCACTTCTTGGAGAATCTGTTGTCTTTGTTGAAGTGCTTACCACCTTTATTGTCGTATTTCTTCTTGGAATCACGAAAATCTGACTTGGATTTGTCTTGTGATTTGGACCAATCTTTGTTAGAAGATTTCTTCCTGTAGTCAGACCTGGATTGGCGTTGGGACCTGTCTTTGTCTTTACTAGATCTAGAACTGGACTGGGCCAAGGTAACTAGTGCTTGGTTTGTCAGATTTGAGGAGGCTGAGTCAACCAAATCTTTAAGTTGTGACTCTGGATACAAAGTAGTAGATGTATGCTCAACTGGTAGTACCCTCATAGATTCGCGGAAGCGTGTTGGTACTTGTTCTTGAATCAGATCACGTTGAAGTAATGCTGAGTTGGTGAGAGTCTTGAGAATACCTTCAGTAGCAGTAACAGAGGCTGTCGAACCCCTAAGGAGTAAATCACCCATGGAATCTAACAACTGGGTAACTAGTGGATCCGTGTTGTTGGATAAGTGTGCTGTGAGTTGGGTAACTAACTTTGAAACAGAACCTATATACCACTCTGAGTACACCAAAGGTTGAAGGACAGCCCTCAAGTTCTCTTCGAGACCCTTCCAGTTTTTATTGGAGAGTTGAGTTTTAGTATCAGCATTCTTGAAGAAATCACTGAAGGTTTTATCATTTGGGACTAAGTTTCCAAGTGAATTATTGAGTTTGAGGGGCCGTACGACTGAATCATCTCCCTTGGCTAATCTATAATTTGAAGATTTGATTCTGAAGAGTTTTCCCTTTGTGTTGAAACCGGAAGTGGCAGATGAGATCTGATTATTGATATTCTGCACCAACTGATGGAACACTGGGGGACAAGGTAATGAAGCTTTAGTGACTGAAGATTCATCAACTTTCTGGAGAGCTACCCTAGTCAAAGATTCTTTAGAATTAGTGGAGCTGTTGACTTGGTCAATTTCTAAGGCTGATATGGTTGAATCCCATAAGGAACGAACTAACAAGACCGCTTCTTCTTCAGAGGACTTAGATTTAGACGGCTCGTTGTCATCAGAATCCAAAATACGAGGTTTAGAATCTGAATTTTGAGATTGTGAAATTTTGGAACTAAAATTGTTGATAATAGATCGTGAATTCTGAGTTCCCTGACGTGAAGTCCCGGAAATCCTACTCGGCGAACTATCAGAGGGTCTATTAGTGTGAGAGTAGGAGTGGTGAGACAATCTAGAAGGGCTTCTAAGCTGAGAAACGGGAGATCTTGAACGATTTCGAAAAGTTGACCTACTTACGTCCACGTGGTGTGTGGCGGAATAGTTGTAGTCACGAAATTTGGTGTCATTTCGGTGCGAATCGTTACCTCGTTTTCCCGTCTCTACGGCCTTCTTACTGCTCCGGGGGGACTGCTCTCTCGGAAGCGAGTATTCCGAGTTGTGTAAATAGCTTGAAGACGGGCTTCTACGGTCAGAAGGAGGTCTCGTTGGTGGCCTGTTTCCAAGGGTAGCCATTTTCCTAGTCACCGCCTCTTCCACTAAGGATTGGACATAATCTGTGACGGATGTGGTAGCCAAAGAGACGTCGTTTATCACTTCATTCCCGGTCAAGGTTGACGAGGTCGAGGGACCGTTCAAGTTCAATTCAGAAGTAATTTCACCCTGAATAGAGCCCTGTTCTGCCATACTAGACTAATGTTATGACTATGATACTCTCTATTCAAAAAACAAATTCTGACTTATAAGTAACAGAAATTTGTTGAGTGAATAGATCGTACGATATATATTGACTTGAAAAATTTTCCAATTACTCCTACGTGGCAAGAATTAAATATGAATACATAATGAGTTGGGGATCGATATTGGCCACTTGGGCCAGTCCACTTTTTTATAAAGGGGTGTTTTTTAGACTTGCCAATTACTCCAAATAAGGGGAGTAAGCATATGTCATGGAATAGGTTGGATTGTATGTAATTGGCAAACTCTCACCTTCATTCTAAAGTGCTCCATGAAACCATTGAAGGCAGGTAGATCTGATGCCCTAACGATCTCACCCCATGACTTCTCTATGAGCCACTGACTGGCAGGGTTGGGGAATGGGTTCTCCAAAGCTACACCCCCTGTCAGGAGGAATCTCCACTCACGGTCATCTACTTGGCCCCTGAAATAAGCAATGAATGTCAATTAACACATGTGCTGTTAAGTAACATGCCTATACACAATAATTTTTTTATGGGAAAAGACACAGGGTGCGATCGTCCAACCAACCACCTTGGTGTCCATCTTCGCCATTTTCAATAACTTTGCATTTGATCAGCACTGGGTTCCAACAAAATTTCTACAAATTTATGAATGAAATAACCATTGCATGGACTGCTTTATTTTGTCCAAATCAAAAGTTGAAAAATATATTGTGCTAAATTTTTTACTATTTCTTAGTATAGTAAAATGTCATCCTTCTGTACGACCCCAAAATTATTCCATCACACCCCGTGAGAGAGCAGGATGCAAATTGCATTCAATGAATTACTATGAAAGTTCCACTTACTTTCCCTTCAACAGGCCTATACAGAGAAGAAATGAGAAGAGAAGCTTGTCTTTCTCAAAGAGGGACCTGCAGACATTCTGGTATATACTGTATGTGAAGTGGTTGTTCAAGTTTTCAATTCTTTCCTCCAAATCATTGGATGGAGTACTGTTGGAGATTGACTGAAAAATAAATACAGTAATGAGTATATACAGAATTATACACGTTCCGTATAATGGGGCTCTGAAAAGTGTTCTATTTCTAGAGGTGTTTCACTTAACAGGTTTCACTGTAAATTATCTTTGTGATTTTTGATATATGATTTCTTGTATAGTATGGAGAGCAGTAAAACTAAATAAATATTAAGATAGAAGATTGTAATAGCATATATATGAAGATCCTTAAAGCAGGACCAAATCTAGCTAAACGAAATATTTTCAAAAAACAAACAAATTCATGACATACCTGTAGATAAAGGTTGATGAACCAGTTGAGACTGTACTGGTACATGGGGTCAATATTGGCAAGATCAGAAATGGTAAAGAACAGAATACTGCTATGATGGGCCACAGGTTTGTAGCCATTGCGGACTTCATCAATTTCCTTCTCAGTAATACTAGCAATCTCTTGTTTCTCCGAGATCTCTTCTGATAGCACCTTACTAGAGGAGAGGACCTCAATGGCTGTTTCATCCTCAAGAATGTTACCCTATAAGATGAAAGTAAAGTAATATTGAAGTCACTATATAAACATAAAGGTAAGCCTGAATGTAAAGTAAAGGCTACACCCTGTAATGTGAAAGTAAAGTCACATTGAAGTCACTATATCAACATAAAGGAACCCATGAATGTACAGTAAAGGTCACATTTCTATTTAACTTAACCAATTTTCTCAATTAAGTTTGTTCTGCATACAGAAAGGGTAACACACCATATTCTCCCTATGCACAATGCATCTCCTAAGTTCTCCTGAAGGGGATGTCTTATATAAGAAAACTCCATCCTCTCGCTGAACACAAGCAGTCTCATTCATCATATGTCATTTAATTGTCATCACAAAATAATGAAAGACGAGTTTCAAATATTGGTGCAGAGAGTAAGAAGATTCATACTGTACTGTATTCCCCATACCTCAGATGATGATAAGACCTCCAGAATCTTATCCTCGATCTGCTTCAGTTGACGTCTGTTGTTAGCGCCATCTAGAATAAGTTTGTTTTTCTTCTCCTCTAGTTCTGGCTTTTCTTTTGCAGCAACAATACCAAGAAGTTGGTCATCTAGACCTTGGGGAGTGATCATAAAGTTTAGTAGGGTCACCTGGAATGAATGAAGTACATATAATAGAGGCTTTGCTACTTATAGCTTTGAAACCTCAAGCTTCATATGCCATGCAGCAGATTACATTATTTAATCATTTATTGATTTGAATAGTCTTAGAGACATCATTTGAACTCATTTTACAATTTATATATTTATATCTATTTTTTTAATTTCAATTCATGAAATTCATTTCTCTTTCACAACAGCAAAATAAATACATCATTAAAGACAATTGATGAATATCAAGCTCCAAGCATCCTTACCTTAACTGAGACTTCAGGAAGGTAGTGAGGATTTCTCAGACTTGTGGTGATGTAGAACTTGAAGTCCTTACTATATTCAATAACATGGTCTCCGAGTCGGATATAATCCACAGAGTTCTGAAATCATTACACATCAATTACATATCTGAATAGTGTAAACATATAGCACTACATGAAAAATATAAAGTAGTTAAATAATTTTGTTATGTTCACACTTTTTGTAACACTAGGTGTGGATTATTAACACATGATTAAAAATCCTCTGAATGCAGAGCTATGGAAAATTTCAACAGATAGAATTTGTTAAGTTCTGGAACCCTGCATTTGGAGGAGCACAAAAAGTTAACATAATTAGATGTAAAACACATAAACATTAAAACTCAAGAAAATCAGTTAGATAAAGTATGAAAGAATAAAACACAGTTGAGTATCAAAACAAAACAAAGGAGAACAGAACAAAGGAATAAATTGCAAGTGAGCAACAGAACAAAGGAATAAATTACAAGTTAGCAACAGAACAAAGGAATAAATTGCAAGTGAGCAATGGAAGATCAGAACAGATAGCAAGTGAGCAAATACATGTAAGAAAGGAATACATATACATGTAGATTGCAAACGAGCAACAGAAAGGAATAAATTACAAGTGAGCAACAGAACAGATGAATAAATTGCAAGTGAGAAAAATAAGAAAAACACTCAAGTTAGCAACAGAACAAAAACAAAAAGAGCAACTGAAAAAGGGAATAACTATAGATTAAAGGTTACTCCTCCCTGTTTTCAAAATCAGCTTTAGACCAAATCAAACCAAAAAGACAAAACTTAAGATATTTAAAATGATGTTCGGAAAACAAGGATCCCAATGTCCTCCTCAACCACCAGATTGAGCTACTCCTGCAGACCAAAATGTGGAATATGAAATTAAATACCCTTGGACCAAAGTAGTAGCTTCTATGACAGAGGCAATGGGATTCATTCAATCACTCTTTTATACTAGGTGTTTCACAATGACCGTGTGGATCGGAATTGTCATCATTTAACACCCTGTATGTAGTTAAGAAAACTATAATAGCTTTGCCTGGTATGGAATGAAACATAGCATGGCACTCCAAAATATCTAAATCAAGAGTTTTTTTCATGAATCTGGAATATGTCACACTATCATCTACTCTTAAATACCATTTTGCATACATTGAATTCACAAATTTTGAATGGCCAGAAACAGATGATAGGATTATTATCTTTTTTTACAAGTTAATCGATGGATGGACAAGCTGACTGACTAATGATTCACTAATGAATGATGAATCATTTTTGTTGGAATAACAACAAATGTAACACAGCATCATTTGACATAAGATGGATACAGTACATTTCAAATTGCAATGGCTTCCATCCAAAGCACACATTTACAGTATATTGCAAGTATATCTTGTGAAAAGCCCAAAGGACAGGAATCAATATCATATAGACGAGAGATTAACAAAGCGAAGGAAAGGAATCAATATCATACAGACAAGGGACTATGACAGTACAGACAAGGAATCAATATCATACAAACAAGGGACTAATCCCAGGAGACTAAAACAGCACAGGAAGGGAATCAATATCATACAGACGACTAATACAGCACAGCCAAGGAATCAATATCATACAGACAAGGGACTAATACAGCACAGGCAAGGAATCAATATCATACAGACAAGAGACTAATACAGCACAGGCAAGGAATCAATACCATACAGTCAAGGGACTAATACAGCTCAGGCAAGGAATCAATATCATACAGACAAGGAACTACAGACGAAGGGACATCACAAGTACAAATATCTCAAAACAACATGTAAAGTTCTTAATCCCAAGTTTCATGATAGAAATAAATTTCTATTTTTCATATTCCTAAGGGAAAGCTTGACCTTGACCACCATGTTGGGCTCTGAACAGGGTGACTCATAAATTGTGACAAAGCACTTTTTTCAAAATATATTTTCATGATACTATTGGGTATTGGGTCACCCTGTAGATAGTACAGACATACACAGGAAACAGTTTTTAGATACACTTACGTCCAAACGAGTTGGCCCGTACTTAAAAATTAAAAAAATATTAGTTTATGTTAGGTGATTAAACAAACAAAATAATCAAAATCATTTTTAAATTCTATTAAAAATGCAAATCTAAGCAATGTGTATTAGATGTATTAATTCACAATGCACTCTGTGTTAAAAACATTAATAAAAATAGATTTTATTACATGAAAATATACAAAATGCATGCAATTATACCATATTCTTACGAATGAGCATACCTTCAAAAAAGCAAGTATGTGACTCATTCAACCAAAAGATGCCGGAAATATGATAAAAATTGCATTTATTGGCAAGAATATGGTAAAAAAATTACAATATATATCTTTACAATGTTTATTCATGGGATGAATTACTGATAGAGAGTGTAGATAATTTAAGACAATACGTGGGGGAGTGAATACAGTACTCTGAACAACCTTAAATATCAATCTTAACAACCTTAAATATCTGAAAGAAACTTGCATACCTGTTTAAAAGTCTGTCTCAGTAGAACAGGCTCTAAAATAGCATCAAGTTCTTCTCCTATGCCTTCCAGTAAACATGGGTTACCAAACTGAAGGCAATAAATGTTCATATTATTTTGCAATTGATTTCTATATCGCTACTAAAAATACAAAAGGTTTTTAGCAATGCAATCTTCTTTTTTAAAGGTGTTTTCTTCTATTTTTACATATAAAAAAATCATAGATGCTCTAAATTGCTAAAACTGTACTGACTACTGAGCTGTATATTTTTTTATTAAAAATCTAATGCTTGGATTAATTGCTGGTTGGATTAATACTGAATAGTTGTACTATTTTAGCAGGGACAGGGCTGGGCCATTCTTTATATACATGTAAGATACCTGCCACGAGTACAAATTCAAAATGTCATGTTACCTGTATACAGTTCTCTAATATTCTGATGTAGTTTGGATCAGATAACTTAATCACTTCCAGCTTATTGCTCTTCTCCATGTTTTTAACCCACTTGTTGGCTTGGCCCTGGGGGTCAATCATCAGAGGCCACCTGTTTGCACTGTACACAATGATGGCGTTGTCTGTAGAGAAACTGAAGAGGAAAAACAATTTTATTTTCACATTGTCACCTTTAAAAGGATTAACATACAGTACTAAACTCACCCAGATTTTGAATCGTTGACCAATCAAAATGCAGTATAACCATGTCTCTTATTTCTTGAACAACATTTCTTGCATCTGAGCAACATTTGACAACACAAACTAATCGAAAGACTGATATGTAAAAGGAGCAGATTAGAAAAACAAAAATATTTTCATACTTATCAACAGGCAATCCTGCTATCTGCCAGTCACGGATCTTGACAGGTTCTCCTAGAGTATTTGACAGAGAGAACTGATCGTTGAGGGGGATTCCCTTGTCCTTACACATTGAATACCACTCTGTCACGCATTCCTGAATAACATATGTTTGTTAAGTTATTGGTGGTTCCCCGGGGTGGATCCGATTCAACACAAAAACATTCAAAAACTATACAGAGCCTATAATTGACTCTGGATCATCAATTTTGAATTTATTGATTATCAAATGGTTAACCAATCATTAAAATGATGAGAGGGCAAGATCAAAATGCTTTATTACAAATGCAATTTTGTGACAGAGAATGAGTCACCTGTTCCAATTATATTTATTAAAGTTTGACTCATCCAAGGAAACAAAGTATTCAGTGTCTAGGTTCTTATATATCTACAGACTGGTCTTGTTTGGCTTATAAACTGTACACAAGGGCCAGGTAGTATAGTAAGGATGGAACAAAAAAAATTGAAACAGAATGAAATGGTATATGGGACTTTTCGGGCAATAGTCCCATTCCCTACTGGGTAGTTTATGCTTTAACACTGTCCCTTAATGATAAAAATGTCAGTACTCACTGTTCTATATGACAACTCAAAGGGGCCTAGGTATGCCACAACACTAGCAGACAGTAAAACATCACCCACAATATTGTTATATGTGTCTGACAAGTTGGCAACATTTTTATTCCAGCGATCCTTCTCTCCCCCAAGACCACTGATCAGTTTATTGGCTCTCTCTATCTTCAGCTTTGTTAGTTCTATATTATCCACAAGATTCTGGAAACATATACATGCATTATTAAAGGTCAGGCCTACCCTTAAGGTAATTTTATGAGTGTTTCCCTTAAGGTAGTTCTGCATAATGAGCATTTTCATGATTACAATTTCCAATGTTGAATAAAATTGGTAATCTTTTTTCAAAATTCTATATGGATATTTACAAATTGTAATAGATTATATTGTTCAAAATTGAGATATTTTGTTAAAATTATATTCAAATGACCTTCCCCCAAATTCATTCTCAGTTTTGTTCTGAAAGCGCAGAACTACCTTAACTTAATGTCCCAGCATCAATTTGGTCATCTAATTTAGTCCAAAATGTTTTTTTTATCGGGAGGTAGGAAAAAGTGGATAATTACTTGAATTTCCAAATATATATGTTAAATCAACTTATTCAAACATGTTACAAAACAATATACTTGTTTTATCCGATTCATATTAAATCTCTACCTTTTTCTCTGTCTGTTTGTCATCCAAATTCTCATTCAGTGCTGCCAGTTTATCAGTGACCTTCTTCAATTCAGCTTGCTTGATCCTAAGTTGGGTCATTAGACCATCTAGCTCACTCTGAGCCTTCTCCAGGCTCAACTTCTTAGGGGCTACAACCTGAAATATATACATGTGTAATAAATTACAGGTTCATAAATGTGGGTAGGGGAAAACGAAAAAGTACACTAGACATAGATTGTGAAATCTGAATAATTGTTTACAAGAGATATACCATGATTCTCAAGTGGATGTCCAGGCTACTGAATAAAATAAATTGTGACCTCATTTAAAAAACTCTAAAATATGAAAATCATTTCATTTTATTAAATTTTGTGAAGCAGGATAGTAATTGTAAATATATTAGTATGTACCATGTTTGTCCTAATACACAGTCATCATTGAAAGAATAATAAATAAATTGAAAATGAGATACATACCTTGGCTACCTTGTCATAGACATCAAGGGCCCGTACCCACTTACACAACCCTTCACAGGCGGATGAAACATTCTTGATCAAACTAGGGTCAAAATCTGGATTACTGATATACGTTTTGCGAATTTTTGTCATTATAGCCACTGGTATATTGTCTTTGTCATACTCTTTGAGAGATTCTAAGAATTTCAGGTCTCCAAGCATTTTCTTTGCATTCGGCCAGTAATCTTCTTTTGATTTGCCATTTTCATCCGTTTTCTTCTCAGGTTTAACTCCCTGTAAAGAATAATTTAAAAAATAATGAAGATTTTTAAATCTCAACAAAGTCTAAACTTAATGTATTATTGATAGAAATTTTTTTATTCAGTGAAAATGACTTTTAGAAATATATTTCATAAGAAATCAGTGGTTAATTTGAAAACTATTTGAATTATTCTACACGGTGATCACATAGTGATCCTAAGTATAGTGATTTATTTCATTAAAACATAGTAACATTTGTACAAATTCTGGGGCCATGACACCTATATGGCTGTATATTTGACCACATTCAAAATCATAAATCAAACATTATATATTTTTAAGTCACTCTTGCAGAAAAAACACATTTCAGTTTTTAAGTAAAACAGAATCCCGTACTGTACATGTTTTCTATACTGACCTTCATAATACAGACAGCCTCCATGACCAGTTTAACACCAGCTGGTGGGTTAGCCATAGACTTAACCAAACTAATATCATTCTGTTTAAGTGTATTTAGAGCAGATATAGCAGCATTCATTGCAGGCATTGCCTCAGCAAGTTTCTCCTCACACTCTTCCTATAATACAAATTGGTGTAATGACCCTCGATAGAAAGTTGCTACTCAACTCAACTGTTTGATTTAAGTCTTGATGGCTGAGGGCTAGAGCATCGGACTCTGAACTGGAAGGTCCTGGGTTCGATTCCTGCATACATGTAGGACATTGAACTTGCCACACTCCCTTTCATGCCCAGTAACTGGCTTGTTACACTACAGCTCCCCAGAGGCGCCCTTGGTTTGTTACACTATTTTCATAATAGCTTTTACATAATTACATAAATTCGACCAGTGGTGTTTGAGTGGTGTTCTCTGAAGTTAATTTAAATGGCTAACTAATAATAGAGTTATTTTTTATAGTAAGCTGTATTACCTTAATTTCTTTTGAAGCACTAGCTGCCTTATTTGCAATAGCCTCCTCTGCTTGAACAACCTTCTTAACTTCTTCAGCATCAATTGTCTCCTTCTCAATAACTGTAATAAGCTCTTCTGTTTCCTTACTGGTTTGTATCAACATGGGTTGCAGATCCTGAAGTTCCTTTTGCATAACAGCTACCTGAAATGTGGTACCGTAGTAGCAATGATAAACTGCCAATGACAGGTTATTACCCTCAGGCCATGGCCAGACTCTAGGGTAAGGAAATGAATGGTTATATATTTTGGCTATAGTAGTATCATAAAATAGTACATAAAATAGTGCAACTCATGACTGTACTAGAAACACAGATGCATTAAATATCAATCAGAAATAATGTTTTAGTATTATTAACACTGTATATCTTTTCTTTCTTTATCTTTATATTATTTGATTGTTAGGCTGTTTGAAGGACCTAAATACAAAATATTGCTATTTCCTTTAAATTTTACAATTTTCAAGAATTCTATCAAAAACAATTCATAAAAACTACTTACTTGACTTTCTGAGAATTCCAACTTCTCCAAACCAACCACATATCTGTCTTTCAGGGTCAGTAACTCTAAACGTTTCTTATTCAGTAAATTCTTAAATGTCTTTATAAGCTCTAAGTATGAGGTAGGTGTTACATAGTTCTGGCGACGCATTGTTTCAAAATACCTAAAAAAGAAATGAAACTGTTATTTGATAACTGTTTTTTCAGAAAGTGGGTACACATGTTCATTTATTCATATATTGGCCAACAATATATTAAGACATGCCATAAATCCATGCCATAAAAATACCATTCTTAAAAAAGCAACTTACTTTAAAGACAGAGCTCGAACACTCTGATGAAAATGTTTACACATAACGACTGTCTCCTCTCGTACATTCTGAGACATTTCAACATCATCGAGGTATTTGAAGGCCACCAATTCTAGGGCATCTACTGGCCAAGGCTATAAGTTCAAGATTATGCATCCTTAATTATACACTGTATATTCTATATACACCACCCTCCAAAAGTTTGACAATGACAATACCCCTACTGGACCATTGTTTAAGCCCTATTATGTTTGACAATTTCAAAAAATCATCAAAAGTCATTAATGCCCTTTCTGATGAGGAAAAATTGAATTTCAATCTAAAGGTTTACATTTTACTTGAGCTAATTAATCATGTATTTATATCTTACCTTCAACAGATTAATCATGAACTTATATCTTTACTTTAGTAAAATAATCATGCAATTATATAGTATCTCAAACAAACTATTCTTGAATTCATATCTTAATTTTCACCAATTGACCATGTATTTACGTCTTACCTTGAACCAATCAATCGTGCAACAATTGATTAAACTTGGGAACATTCTCATTCTATTACGGAAAGCGTCACCTATTGGACTGAATGCTAAGACAACATGAAGATGGCGACGTATTCTCTCAATAAACTTGTTGTACATGTTGAGTGGTGTTATCTCCACTTGGGCATTCTCCAGCTGAGCAAGGGTTTGCATCTGGAAGGTGAGGTGGAAATTAAGAATAAATGAAGATTGAAGAGATAACATAGTCTAGGCTTATTTAAGCTTTATTTCAGTTGACATAATGTAAATATTGAAATTATGAAACTAAATTGGTTGCAACTGAAAATATATTATACACTGGTTTTGTGTGTTCATAACGGAGAAATTTTTTCCCTTGCACATAATAGCATAATAAAGCAATGCCAAAGCGTGCCGATTTTACAGTTATTTAGGTGCAATATGTTAAACTGTAATAGCAATATGTTTTAAATGTAAAAAAATATATAGGACATTAATAAAGCTAGAAATGTAGATATTAAAGAAGCACATGGCAGCCATCTTGAAAAATGGCAGCCTTTACTCGTTATTTTACGATTTTTGCTGTAACTCGAAAATTAGTAGAGCGATTTTGTTCATATTTGGAATGTGAATACTCTAAGCATGGCACACTGTCTAATGACACTTTTGGTAGAAGGTGGCCATTTTGAAAAATGCGGCCATTTTGATGTATGATGTTATATCAACTATCTTTACGCTTCCTATGTATAAGCATGGCACACTGTCTAATGACACTTTTGGTAGAAGGCGGCCATTTTTCAAATAGGGTATATGTGTACAAAATATGAACAAAATAGGGCCAACGGTATTTGAGTTATTGCCCAGACGGATGGACAGACAGACGGAAGGACGTACGGAGGTGTTCCCTATTTCCCTCTGAACTTCGTTCGATGGGATAAAAATACTACATGTATCACAAAAACTTAATTTCTTAAACTGTCATCGAAATCCACTCAACTCCATTAAAATGTGCAAAATTTACTCTATACATCCCTATCAGAAGCAAAGCATACAAAACATTGTTTCAATATCAATTATGTCAAAAACATACTTTTTCAATGATCTCTAGCCTCTCCTCATTCTCATACAAATTGGGAATATCAGCTGTATTCAAGATCATATTAACATCCTCTAGAAATGACTCCTCCTACAAATGAAAATCAAATGATTATGTTTGGATGGAATATTAGTGTTAACATTAACAAAATCTGAAGCATTGAATTCATATCTGGATAAGTAGATATGTGTCCCAGCTAGAACAATCAACTAATATATTCCACAAATAATCCATCAAATATGTGTGGGCTCAAAAAGCTATAAACTAAAATCAAAAACAAAAAGTACTCCATGAGCAAATGGAATATCTTAACATTTCGGTGTTCCTCACAAAAAATCATCATGGGCAATACAATGTCTGATGTAAAATGAATACATTGTAAGTCTATATTGTAAAATGAATACATTGTAAGTCTAATTTCTTATATTTTTAGCCCCATGCATTTCAATTGTTGTCTGTACCTTTATCTGATGATCTCCAAAAAGGAATACAGTTGAGATTCCCTCCTCTCCAGCTTTACGCATCATTCTCTTAATGTCATCACGCCACTCGTTCTGGTTGTAATTCTTCGAGATTTCAATTTGGAAAAGTTCAAAATCTGACATAAACCCTGCTAATTTTGTGGCACTCTGGCGACCAGAGCCCCCTATACCTGGAAGATAGTAAAAACATTTGATTTGATAATTTTCATTAAACTGAGAACAAATGAAGCCCATATAAAAAATTAAAAACTAGTCCAGCGAAAAATCATTGGATTTATATATATCTGTGAAATCTTTACATTTATCAAGTTTACATACGACAGAAGACAATTTCTAACTTTTAAAAACGGGTCCGATAAAAAGTTCAGAAGTTGGCAATCATGCAGATATAAGTTGAGTACTGTTGTGGTTACCACTGATGTTTGGCTACTCACCCACAAGGAGACAATGTCCATTGGGCTGCTTCAAGACACGGCTGATCCTAGAGATGTGCTCTATAGCAAACCTGAACATTACAAGATCCATTGGTGCCTTGCTCATCAGGTTGAATTCATCTAACTGACCTTCTATTACCTACAAGATCAATTACCGTAAGCATATGAATTATCATGTGGAAACAAAACAATATGGTACTTAATTCTATTGAGGCTTCAATTCATTTATTAACATTCGCACAGTGATGAGAATTAGGCCAAAACAAGGGCTTGAAATTGAACTTCACAAATGCATGCATTCTTAGACCTATCTTTGTATCATCTGAACTACTGACCAAGGAAATTCAATTGACTGTTGCAATATTGCTGTAGTTAAAACATGAAAGACGATAAAAACCCATGAACTATAATCAGATTTAAAGAAAAAGTTTCAAGTCTGCGTACCTCTCTTAGAGCATCAAGATCTGTAATTTCATCATAGTTTTTCTCTTCATCTTTGTTTGACATGTAGTCACCAAACATGAGGCTCCTGATGTCATCATCGCACACCATGTCATCACCCTTTCGCAAGTGAGCAAATAAGTTGTTGGGCTTCTCCTTAAAATTCACCTCCAAAGCAGTCTGTAAAACATGCCATAAATATGCAAAATGTCACCACCTGAAATTTGTTACATTTTGCCATTTTGATGGCAACAACCGAACACCAATTGCCAAACACCAACCACCAAAATTATATTCGCTCTCAAATTTCTTCATTGAATAGGAGGCAATGGATATGAAACATGAATGGTGGATATAAAGATTATCCTATATCAGATTCAGGATATGTGGATTATCCAGAGGCAAATATGATATACAGCTGTAGTAGTATTTCTTACCTTGACCATATTAAAGAAGGTTTCTCTATCAGGTTCATCAACGAGTCTGTCATAGAAGACCCTGTATATCTCATGTACCCATAATCGCATAACCTTTTGACCCCCCTCCTGGCCTTCCGGTGTCACTTCAGGTTTCATTAGCAGGATGCCCTGAAATGTGGAGTAAAAATGTATACAGTGTATATATATTAATGGGAAAGTGGAAACCGATGATGGCAGCGGGGCATGTAATGTAATCGGATGTAATACCATGGATTTCATTCTCTGTGTTAGCCTACAGTTGGCATTGAATTTGTTAATGCTACCTTAGCTACAGTAAATTTGTTTTGAAAAGACAAGTGGAAAGACATTAGCTACCTGTATTACTCTTGAGAAGTCACGCATGTTGAATAGATAGTGAGATTTCGATGGAGTTGGCAGGAAGTCAGTTATTGCATTCTGGTAAATCTCCATTGTTGCCACGACGATAATCTGAAACAATCAAATATTCAATTAGTTTACTTCAAAGTTGAATACAATAGGACACGTTAAAATGTACAAATAATCATTGAAGGAAACATTCAGATCAAGACAAGAGTTACTGTACGTTGGATATGTATTTATTTTTGGTACTTTATTTCTTGTAACAAACTACATACCCGAGCATATTTTCTCAAAGCAGCATCAAAACCTCGTGTGAAGTGCCAGTCTGTGATGGTAGAGAAAATATATTTCATTGTTTCCTCATCAAATGATTCAATGGCGATCATGTTGAAATGGCGGAGAAATCTTGGCGTGATCTCATTACGACCTCCTCCTGGAGGGCCCATAGCAGCAACCATTATGATATCAACCAATGTCAAAATACTGGTATCTTTCCTGAAAGATTTTAATGCAAATTCATTAGCAGCAGGTAAAAACGCGATATTCTATTGTTTTTATAAAAATCACCTCTTTTTAACGCCTGTAATATAATGCAAGGGGTATTTCTTAACCCATATAAAATGAAGCGAGGAGTATTAACATTGATCACTGTGATTATTGAAACATTTTCTCTGTTGTCTCATCTTCAATGTTACTAATCTTTTAAAAGTGATTTGAAGGTTCTTAAATCAAACATAAAATAAGGAAATGAGCAATAACTGAGCTTTTGAACCTAATTTCATTAATCTAATAAACTCTTGAAATGACAAAAGATTTTACCATATAACGGAATGCAAATCTTCTACAGTAACACCTGTCTATAAACTGAACGCCTCTTGGATTGGCCAAAAGTGTCCAGAATAGCAGGTGTTCACATTTTAAGGTTTTATAAACATCTAAGCCAATGGGAGATAACAAATTCCGGACCCGGAAAAAGTGTTCAAAATGAGAGGTGTTGGGATGAAATAGGAGGGTAGGGCTGGCACGGAATGGAATTATTCCGAATTCTGAAGGCAAGTTCCGAATTTCGTTCCGTTTCGATTCCGTTCCGTTCCGTGCCAGCCCTAGAGGTGGGATATCCATACCTGTCAAACCAGTATCCATGGTCTATCCATTGCCTTAGGACTTCTATGGGTGGCTGGGCTCCATATTTCTCCTTGGCTGGCATGTTCAGGTCATCAACAAACACACACAGCTTCTTGCCAGTTGAAGGACCATAGATGCCTTTCTTCCGTCTGAAAATGAGTTAATGAAAACACAGAATGAAATCCTGTGCTAAGGGCTGATGTGAAAAAGTCAGTCCACCCCAGTGGGGATCAAACCCACGACCCCTCGCTAATATACTCTTTGAAATGAGGTTAGGTACAGATTAAGGGAAGTATATATCACAAAGATGATTTGTGATTTTTTAAATGTAAATTGAATAATCAATAGGAGAAATAAAGGTAAATTAGGATCTTGAAACTTTTATCTCAGATCCATTTACCTTTGATTTATTCTTTACTGGTACTATTTTCGTAAAGATTACCAACATGCAGTATTCAAAAGTGTTTCAAGTGAATGTCATTTTAATGTTTTATCAAACGATGTTTGATAAAGAGACCTCTCTTGGGCAAAACAATATCCTCACTTTAATAAGAAAGCATAACCCACCTGTCTAATTTGGCAAATATGATATCCTGAGTCTGGTTAGAAGTGGTCCTAGCTGAGAAGTTCAAATTATTAATGATGTACTTGTCCTTCGACAGACTGGTCAAGAAGTCATTTGTAATGGCTGATTTTCCAGTCCCTGTTGGTCCGACGAATAGGACTGGTTTATCCATTGTGACGAACTTTTCTAGAAAGTAGCGTTGTCGCACCGTATCGGCCGTATTAATGATGAGCTCATTTATCTGAAAATGTGTTCGATAGACGATATATCCTAATATGAGTTAATAACATGATGTTTCAAGATGAGTCTTCTTAAAGCAAGGGTGCAATTTGTCAATGTGGAAGTTAAAGCAAAGCAAAATCATTTAACATTGTGTAGCACTGAAAAAATTGTGTAGCACTGTAAAATTATGCAGCACTTTAAAAATTCTGTGGCATTGCAAACATGTGCAGAAAAGTGTATTCAATCAAATCAAATATATATGTTGAATTTCAACATACAGGCATTAAGCAAAAAATAATTGGTTCAAGGCAGTATTTAAAGTTATGACTGAATGAAAATATCTTACCAATACTCTCAGATCGTAGTCCCTCTGTTATTAAGCAAACACACAAAAATAAAAAATATATCATTAATAAAACATGTGCAACACAGTGATGTATTCAATTAAAACAAGGCATTAACAAGCAAAAATGTCACCACCTGCCATTTGTTACAGTTGCCAGACACCAACCACTGAACACCGTCACAAAAAATTGGAGACCATAACAGTATGTCACCACTTTTGGTGGTGACATAAAAACTTTTTCTGTAAAGCAGCTTTTAATACAAAGTGCAAGTATTCCAATTGAACTAACAAAATGTGTGCCAAGATGAGGAACTGGATGTTAAACTTCAAACACCCATTCTTGTCTTGGTACACCATTGCTATATAATGTCAGTTGCTTGATATAATGAATAATCTTTTAATTATCAAAAAGTGCCACATTACACACACATAAAGGTGCTTCAAATACTGGGATATGATCAGATCTGTTATATATGACATTTCATATATTTCACCACTCATTGATCATTTCAGTATTAAAAACACCATGTGCATACACGGAAGTGATACTTTTATGAATTTAATTTTGTGGCATATTTCTAACATTAAAAATTTTCAGATGGTTGATGATGGTGCAAAGTAAAAATGATCTGTTCAGCATTTTATTTTAATTGATAACATTGTCAGAATATGAACTATAAGCTTAAATAGTATTTGAATGATGTTAGAAAAACAGATTCAAAAGACACTGTTGTTTTGTACAGATATTTCAACACAAAACAGAGAATAATTTTGCCACATCACAAAGCAACAGAAAAATACACACTCACAGAGGAAGATTTCTACAATATTCAGAGGCACGGCGAGGCATGAGACAAAGAAAGAAACTCTTTCAAAATATGGAGAAATATTCCCCATGTAACCTTATGAAGCAAAGGAGGAATATTCCCCATATGACCTTATGAAGCAAAGGAGGAATATTTCCCATATGGCCTTATAAAGCAAAGGAGGAATATTTCCCATATGGCCTTATAAAGCAAAGGAGGAATATTTCCCATATGGCCTTATAAAGCAAACGAGGAATATTTCCCATATGGCCTTAAGAAGCAAAGGAGGAATATTTCCCATATGGCCTTATAAAGCAAAGGATGAATATTTCCCATATTGCCTTATAAAGCAAAGGAGGAATATTTCCCACCTAGACATAAGAAGCAAAGGAGGAATATTTCCAATACGGGGTTATAAAGCAAAGGAGGAATATTTCCTATATTGCCATAAGAAGCAAAGGAGGAATATTTCCCACATGGCCTTATGAAGCAAAGGAGGAATATTTCCCATATTGCCATAAGAAGCAAAGGAGGAATATTTCCCATATGGCCTTATGAAGCAAAGTATGAATATTTGTCATATGACCTTATGAAGCAAAGGAGAAATATATCCCATGTGACATTGAGAAGCATTATATAGAAGAGTACCAAGCAAGCTTAACTAATATTAAAGGCTGGGAAATGAAATCGCAACTAATATGATAATGTACATGTACCATAGAAGAAATACATGTACTGTAATATATCTAAACCATGTAAACTGATAGGATGACTTGGGGTCGAGTTGACTAAGGGTCGAGATGACTAGGGGTTGACTTGACTTGGGGTTGGGTTGACTAAGGGTTGACTTGACTTGGGTTGAGTTGATTTGGGGTTGAGTTGACCAGGAAGCTAAGAATCATATTCATTCAGAAGAAAAAACATGATGTATGACAAAATGCATAAGTAAAAGCTATATTCATGCATAAACTGAATATTCAACTATAGCTGTTCAATTTGGTATGTGAACAATAAACTGTGTACACATGATGTATGCATACTGCATATGTGATATGTGCACAATATACTGTACATAATGATATGTGCATAATGTATACAGATGATATATGCATTATATATGCTACATATACACTATAATTACTGCACAATGAACAACAAGAACACAAATGTGTACAAAATGTCCCCACCAATGGGTGATCCCATGAAATGGTTATCCTGAAAATGAGTAGACAAGACTTTACCAACACAATTTGAGGACGGAAAATCCAAAATGGCCACCTTAAAATTTACCCAGAATGCCAAAAATTTAGTCAGTTCTAGATTTTCAAACTAAGAACCACCCCTGAAAATTTTTAATTGATCAGTCACACAGTTAACTAGAAAACATGTAAACAAGACTTTACAGACAAGATTTTAGGATGGAAAATCCAAAATGGCTGCCTTGACATTTATCCAGAATGCCAAAAAACTAATCAGATCTAGATTTTCATACTAAGAAACATCCCTGAAAATTTGAAATTGATCTACCAAACGGTTCACCTAAAAACGCGTAGACAAGACTTTACAGGTAAGATTTTAAGACGGAAAATCCAAAATGGCTGCCTTGACATTTATCCAGAATGCCAAAAAACTAATCAGATCTAGATTTTCATACTAAGAATCATCCCTAAAAATTTGAAATTGATCTACAGAACGGTTCACCTGGAAATGCATAGACAAGACTTTAGAGACAAGATTTTAGGACAGAAAATCCAAAATGGCTGCCTTGACATTTGCCCAGAATGCCAAAAAACTAATCAGTTCTACATTTTCATACTAAGAATCATCTCTGAAAATTTGAAATTGATCTACCAAACAGTTCACCTGAAAACGCGTAGACAAGACTTTACAGACAAGATTTTAGGACGGAAAATCCAAAATGGCTGCCTTGACATTTACCCAGAATGCCAAAAAACAAATCAGATCTAGATTATTATACTAAGAATCATCCCTGAAAATTTGAAATTGATCCACCAAACGGTTCACCTGAAAACACGTAGACAAGACTTCACAGACAAGATTTTAGGACGGAAAAATCCAAAATGGCGGACAATAAAAAAGTGATTATGTGTTTTTGCTGATTTCTTCTTACAAAATTATCACATATAACTACTGTTAACAATAACAAAGGCTTTTACAACAAAGTACATCTGAAATTATTTATAAAGCTACTAAATAGTTAAAGTATGAAAACTCAAAAACACCATTCAATATGATACAAAGTATTATCGTGCGCTAACTTTTCTTAAGACATTCAAAATGGCTGACATGACTGAGCTAACAGGTCCAAAACCTAATCAGATCTAGAATGAAGTGAGCTGAACAAGATATTAAAGTTTTAAAAGCAACTGTGAAGCCGTTTTTCTTAAAGTTTGCAGACAAGGATTTTAGCATTTGACTTCAAAATGGCCGACAGGAAGTAGGTATCGACGTGAAACTTTTTCATCCACATCTGTATGCACTCATAAGTTATCCCTGAACATTTGAAGGTGATATCTGTAGCGGTTTTGGAGGAAACTCCCGGACGTACGGACAGACGGACGGACAGACGGACGGACGGACGGACGTACGGACGGACAGACGGACGCGCCTAGGCCGACAATATGGCCCCACACTATGTGGTGGGGACATAATTAATACAAAAGCTATATACACAATGGACATGCATGCTTCATGAACATAATATGGTGTGTGCGCACAATCTTTTGAACACATGTACATGAAAGCACTGTATATATAATATATGCTTGAATGAAACCTGATTTAACTATCCATAGACCACCATGTTACATCTTACTATGCAGTTTTCTAATCCTATCCCAGCTTTTACAAGATGCAACAATTCACCAGAGGGAAGCATTACTTTTTGAAAGCATGCACAGTAAAACCTGTCTAAAGTGAACACCTGTCTAATGTGAACATGTCTAATGCGAACACCAATGGGTAATAGCTGAAGTGTTCAAATTTCAAGCTATTCATGTTCAGATGGTCTGTTCCATTGAAATCAGCAAGGTATTTACATTGCTGATTAATGAAGAGTTCGCATTAAAGTGTTCAGATTCATTGAGGTATTCAGATTCATTGAGGTGTTCACATTCATTGAGGTGTTCACAATATTACGGTTTTACGGCATCTACAAAAATCTCACCCATTTTTTAGCCTCAAAAACATCTTCATATCGCTTATTCTTAGAGAAAAATTAGTGTGTTAATCTCAAACAACAAACAGTTAATTCACACACAATGTACTGTGCCAAATATTTCCACATCTACACATAATCTGGGAAAATCCTTTTTTAATTGATTTTCCTGTTTATAAACATACCCACCTCTCAATTATATGCCTTAGATTCCTTTAGCAATCTCTGTATGGAGTCCTAACACCCCTCTGGTTTTACTGATGACATTAACTTGGACGCGTCCACTATTGAATAAAGTAGTTTGTACACGTGCCAACGTCCTCAATTTCCCTATTCCCCCTAATGAATAGTGGGGAGGTCGGGTGGGACTTTGGTAATTGAGAGGTGGGTATGTTTATAAACAGGAAAATCAATTAAAAAAGGATTTTCCCAGTATTATTACACATCCCACCTCTCAATTATATGCCTGAATGTAGCCGAAAAGGAGGTGGGTGAATTCAGTTAAACCAGAGGGACCCACAAACCAACAAGTAGAACATTCTAAATAATTTACATTATAAAATCATAAGAATGTTTAATGATGATGACTCACCACAAGGCTGTTGAAGATGCTATATGTTGTATAGTGAGCCTGCAACCATCATAGGGCCTAATTTCCGCAGTTCTCCCTCGATCACTGATGTATCTCGTAGGTAGAAGCTGGTGAATGTGTTGTGATTTGCCCATGAGCAGGCTTTGAGAACTACAGTGACTGACAGATTTGCTTGAACAGCAAGGCTTGCAGATAAGGCCCTGGTTTCGTGGGTTTTAATAGAGTTGATTTGGTAATCTGTTTCTTGTGAATTTTTGTAAGTATACAAGATCAGATTTTTCACCCAAGAAGATATAGTGTTTACGTGTATATCTCCAGTATATCCGGCTTTGTATGGTATAAACAGTCTATTTCGGTTGCCCCTTGTTGAGACTGTGGCTTGAAGGTAGTAACGTAGAGCTCTGAGGGGGCAAAGTGTCCTGTCTGGAGAGTCTCTATTCACCAGTGTGGTGAGAGCTTTAATGAGGATTGGTTGAAAGCGAGATTCTCCTTCTGCAGCTGATAGTGACTTTGGTAGAAATCCTATGAAGGGATACATAGTTACTTGGTCCCTGGATTCTGACCATTTTAAACGTCTGAAGTCGAGTGCATGTATATCGCTTCTTCTCTTCCCTGAAGCCATGAGTAAAAGAAAGAGTGTTTTCCATGATGTGAATTTAAGTTCCGCTGTGGCCATAGGTTCGAAGGGTGCTTTGGATAAAGCATTAAGAACAAATACAAGATTCCATTTAGGTACCATGTTCCTTAGTGTCAGGTTTTCCAGTTTAAAAGATCTGATAAGATCGCCTATGAGGGAATTATCAGTCAGGTCGATATCAGATGATTTTTTCAGTACTGTATTAATGGCAGTTCTGTATCCTTCAATGGTAGGAATTGAAAGTTTCTTAGTCTGGTGAAGATATAGTAGAAACTCTGCCACTAGAGGAATATCTGCTTGGCATGGATCTGAATTCCGTTCATAACACCAAACAGTGAAGGTGTTCCACCTGGAATCATAGAGTTTATTTGTGGATTTCCTCCTTGATGATTCTGAGATTCGAAGAGACACTTCTGTAGAAAAGCCTTGTTTTTTGAGGGTGTCGTTGACAATTTGCAGGCGTGAAGGGCAAATATTTCCGGAGTCTGGTGAAACATGCTTGTCTTTGGCGTTTTTAGTAGTTTTTGAGACACTGGAAGCGTTCTTGGGTAGTCCGTTAGAAGTTCCAGAATTTGCGTGAACCAAGGTTGATTTGGCCATTTTGGAGCTATCATTATGGCTTCGCAATTGTGTGTTCTCATTTTTGTTAGAACTTTGTCGATCATGCTTGTTGGTGGGAATATGTAGAAGTTGAGATTGTCCCACGGGATTGACATTGCGTCTGTTCCCCAGCTGTTTTGGTCTGGTACTGGGGATACATATAGTGGTAGTTTGTTGTTGTGACATGTCGCCATCAAATCTAACTGAGGAGTCTCCCATATTTGCCACAGTCGTTTCACTATTTGTGGGAGTAGAGACCATTCTGTGTTCACTATCCTGTCCCGAGATAGTGCGTCTGCCCGTCGGTTTAGGGATCCTGCTATATGTTGAGCTCTTATGTTTATTTGGTGGTTTTTGCACCAGATTAGGATTTCCTGGCTTAGGGTCAGAAGACTTTTCGATTTTGTCCCGCCTTGTTTGTTTATGTAGCTTAGGGCTGTTGTGTTGTCCAGGCAAACTAGAATGTTTGCTTGAGGTACCAGTAGATGGTTCAGTTTGTGTAGAACTTTCAATACTGCCGCTAGTTCTAGCCAGTTGATGTGGTTTCTCATTTCCGATGGGGACCAGAATCCATTGATTTCCACAGAGTCCATGTGTGCACCCCACATAGTCTCCGATGCATCCGTGAAGATTGTGTGATCTGGGACAAACATTCCCAGAGGTTGACCCATGAGTAGATTCTGCTCGTCCATCCACCATTTCAGTGTGTTTATTACTTCTTGGTTGATGTAGATTGGTGTCTCTAGTGATTTTGTAGGAGACATCTGGCTGGCTAGGCACTGTTGAATTGGTCTCATGTATAGTCTGCCCCAGGGTATATTTTTCTCTGCTGAGGCTAGTAGGCCTAGTAGTTTCATCCACTGCCTTGTTGGTTGAGAACGGGTATTGGTGAATAATAGTGCGATTTCTAAGATTTTCTGGATCCTGTCTCGCGGAGGATATGTTAGGCCTAGTATTAGGTTGTATTGGGTGCCTATGTACTTGAAAATCTGTGTGGGGATCAGTTCGGATTTTTCTCTGTTGATCACAAAACCGAGTTTTTCCGTCACTGATAGTACTGTTTGTGTCCATATTTGGCACTGTTGTGCAGATGGGGCTCGTATTAGCCAATCGTCGAGATATTGGTGTGTTAATATCCCTTGGAAGTGTAGGAAGGCACCGATTGCTAATGTCACTCTTGTGAAAACATAAGGGCTGGTTGACATTCCGAATGGAAGTGTTTTGAATTGGTACACTTTGTTGTTGATCACGAAGCGAAGAAACTTCCTGAATGGTTTGGCTATCGGTATATGGTAGTAAGCATCCCGATAATCGATGGATGTGGCCCATTCGCCCTTTTGTAGAGAGTTTGATATTTTGGCTGAAGTTTCCATTTTGAACTTTGGGCATATTATGTGTTTGTTGAGGAGAGACAGGTCTATTATGGGTCTGTAATCTCCGTTTGGCTTTTGACGTAAGAATATGATGCTGTAGTGGCCCGGTATGTTGTAGTCTGTTTCCTCCACAGCTTGTTTTTGAATTAGGAGATCTACTATGTTTTGAAGCAGTAGAGCTTTTGTTTTTGATGCCGATTCGAAGTTGTTGAAGTTTTTTGTCAAAGGTGGATTGTTCACTAGTTGTGGCATGTAGCCATGTTTTATCACATTTAAAATCCATTGGTCCTTTGTGATGAGTTCCCAGTTTTTTAAGTGTAGTTGAATCCTGCCTCCCACTGGTCCCAGCTGGGACATAGGTGAGAACGGGGGGAGGCGGGGCTGGGACATTGATGTTATTGAAGTGTCATTTACGCTTCTTAAAGCCTGATTTGTTGTTATTGTTGTTGGATTTTGTAGAAGTAGAACGGTCAGAGAAGTTTCCTCTGTTGTTGTTTCTGTTATTGTTTCTGTTGTTGTTGTTGTTGTTGAAGTTGTTCCTGTTAAAGTTGGAATGTTGATTACTACTTCTGTTGGAGTTGTTATTACTGGATTTATCATAATTCTGTTTTTGATTTTTCCAGTTTGAAGCTAAATCTTGTAGCGCTTTTGAGGTTTTAGATTTATCCGACCCTTCACAGATATTTTTTAAATCCTCTTCAGGAAATAAAAATTTGGTGTCGATGGGGAGATTCCTAAGGGCTTCAGCGTCTGACTTCCTGAACTTGGAGCTTACCCTGTCCCTTTGAGTCAGTATGACATTTGTGACATTTGATATGGTGTCCCTTGTAGCTTTATTTACCATAGTTGAAGCTGTTGTAATAAGATTGACGAGATCCTCATTTTCAGGGAAATTCTCTGCAATGATTTTCCCTGTTGTCCCTAGAATCCATTCAGTGTGAGACAGATGACGAAGAGGAGCTCTCGCTGATTCTTCCAACAGTTTGTGATGTTTGGCTGGAAGCTGGTAAGAAGTTGAAGCCAAATCTGATAGTTTCATGGAATGTGGAACAAGTTCCTTAGTTGTCCCATTCAAAATGGATTTTTTATAGAAGTGTTCATCTTCTTTGAGGGACGTGAACGATCGTTTTGGTCTTAACAGGAAGTTAGTGTCATTCATGTTTTTCTTGTTGGCTAATTCCTGGTTAATGTTGGCGAAATTCTGTAGCACTGAAGGCCCGATCGGTAAGCCTTTTGTTGTGTCTGAAGAAGTAGATTTCTTACCCAAAGTTTGAAGTCCTAGCGGTCTATTTTCCGTTTGTGTTTCTGTGTTATAGTCTGTAGTTGTTTTAAAATGACTCGGAAAGGCATTTTTAATTAGTTTAACACAGTTCTTCCAACAAATTAAGTCATGATCGTTGTCGGAATTGGAAGAATCCGAGTCTTCCGGGTTATTGCTGTCACGGCGCATGTGCGCAGGAGAGGTCACGGGCAAGTCCACTTCGCTGTAGGGATGATCACTTCTTGCCCGTTTGGGGCTAGATGCCCGGTCCGGGGAAACATACTGTAGACTAGACGGCGAAACAGTTCGCTTTTTCGCTCTTTGTACCTCCCTTCTTTTAGCGGACCTGCTTCTGTTGGTTGTTTCACCTAGAAGTTCAACGTCAAGTTGTTTGTTTGCTACGAGCAATTCAAGAGTTGGAGTCAGTCCTTTGATAATATCTTGGACCATATCTGGCGATATACTTGAGGCTAGCCCTGGTTGTTGATTTTGATAGGTCCGCAGTTCGGAGTGTTGTTGTTGTTGAGATTTTGAAAACCTCTTAGATGGTAAAGTGTTTGTTGCTCTGAATCCTATTGAATTCAGACTATTAGACTGTATGAAGTCTCTCCCTGTTGTAGGGTGCTGATGTTGAAAGTTGGATGTGTCCTGCACCTCAGTCCCGGGTAGGGAGGTGAGCCCAGAATCACGAGTATCCAAAATAGGGTTGAAATTTGACTGGCAAGTCAAGTCCTTCCCTTGTGAGTTCATATCATGCCCCTCATTTCCTGGTGGAATGAGCCCACGATTCATGAAGTCACTGTTGATGTTGTTGTCAATGTCTATGCCGCTGGTGATGGTGTGGGATGGCATGTTACCCGGAGTTGGATTTTCCTCGCCAGAGAAAATGTTCCCTTGCAGCAAATTCGAACTATTCCTTTGAAGTTGACTTGAAAAGTCAGGAATTTGTCCATCTTCCAGTTGTTCATTGACATTGTAGTTCATTGTTGATTTAAGGTTGATATCCTTTACAACTGACGACTTGTTGTTCTCCATATAAAATTTTTGTTTCAAACAAAAACGGCGTGTTGATTGCACTAATGTATGGGGAAATTGAGGACGTTGGCACGTGTACAAACTACTTTATTCAATAGTGGACGCGTCCAAGTTAATGTCATCAGTAAAACCAGAGGGGTGTTAGGACTCCATACAGAGATTGCTAAAGGAATCTAAGGCATATAATTGAGAGGTGGGATGTGTAATAATACAATAATATTTTGAGGGTGGGGGATATAGACCACTTTCTAAAATAAATTGCAATTCCAAATACAGTAGAACCTCTGAAAGGGGGACAGCTTAAGTCATCTAGAAAGTGTTTAATATGAGAGGTGTTCTTACAGAGGTTCATTTAACATTAAGTCAATTGGGCATGAGGCTATGAAAAATGTTCCAGCTGACATTACAGAGGTGGTCCACATATGGAGGTGTTCAGACAGAAGTGTTCCACTTATGGAGGTGTTCCACTTCAGAAGTGTTCCACTAACAGAGGTGTTCCACTACAGAAGTGTTCCACTTACAGAGCTGTTCCACTTAAGAAGTGTTCCACTTTACAGGATTTACTGTAGTTTGATTTGTAGAAAGGGGAATATGTGAGTTAAGCAGTTAAAGACGTCGATTATGTGTATAATTTATTGTGAAATTTTTGAGATGATCCCTAAGTTAATAATGAATCCCTTCATATTTCAGAACCAAAATTGGTCTGAGGGAATATCGATAGCTAAAAGTCTACTACATGAACATGCATTTAAGACATATATCCAAAGTTAGAAATTAAATTTGGAGATATTGTCTCATTGAATACAAATTTCTGTTCTGCATTTTTTAAAATAAAGTTTTGTGGATCTTAAGAAGTTTTTTTTCAAAATAAGATTCTTAGAAGATTTTGAAATGGATACATGTCTTAAATATCACAATGAACAAAGTATATTTTGTTAGAAGTACAAACTTTCATGCTGTAAATTATTGGATTATTGGTCAGATTTATAGATGACAAAAAAGAAACAAAAGTTTAAATACTTAGTGGATCAAAATGTTATTTAATTGATGAAAAAACTGATAATATACAAAATTGGTAAAGTATTATATAATCTTGCATAAAGTCCTTGTGTTATTTCCCCAATTGTCCCCACAGTGCAAATAATAGGTGGGGACAATAGAGTCTGAAAGGACTATAGGCTTAATGCAAGACTAATGTGGGGGGGTGTTATTTATTCTTACCTGTAAGAACTGCACTCATGTGGTCAATTGGTGTATCACACATAAACAGTGATTTAAGTTGCGAAGTAAATGGAAGCAAAAATACAAATATTCATATATTAAAGCAAAATACAAGCATATTATGCAAAAATTCAAAATCTTTAAAATTCAAACAAAGCAACATCGAAAATGTAAAAATCGAAAACCAAACTTCAAAATCAATTATGGTATTCATGTAAAATTCATGTGCAGAAAATTGTGCAGAAATCTGGAGATAAGTCAATTATAAAAGAATTGAGCCAAAAGGCAACATTAAAACTATGTCTGACCAAAGAATTCCACTTCATGATAATTTTAAGCACTAGAAACATCTATAAATTATTTATCTTTGGCCAATATTACTAATATGTAATTCATCTAAGGAGAGGAATAGCATAATCAAGACCTCTTTTTAATCCCTTCACAGTTTAAAACATATTTCATTGACAATGTGCATGTCTTTCATGTGAATAAAAATACTTTTAATACCCTTTTCTTTTTCTGAATCAAATACAGTAAGTTAAGGACCTACAGCCCCTGTTCTCATCCTGTGCTATATAACTCTGCATTAACAAAATGTGACTTTGTGACATTGAATAGATGGACCAACTGACGGATGCCCACCAAATCTGATAGGCTCATTGAGTGAGCCACAAAATCATGTCATGCCTCCACATACCTTGCATTTATCATCAATGTCTATCTTCTCGATCTGACTTTCCCAAGTGTACCAAGAGCCGTATTGTTTCCTCATGAACACATAGTCAAACACTAATCCTTTCTTGGGAATCAACAGGTTTCTGGCAAACTTCAGTTCTGGTGGTCTGAAAAATAATTTGGTAATATAATAATTCAATGATGTACTGCATTATGGTGTGAAGAATAAGTCAGTCCATATTGGTGTTCAACACAGGCATATGCCAGGACTGTGACTTAACCTGAAAATTCATGAAATGTGTAATGTACAAGCCTGAACCATTACTGACACATGCGAGAGAAGTCTTCACTTGCATATTTTTTCAACGTTAAGTCTATAATCTCACGAGAGCTTTTAATTTGTATTCACATTACAAAAGTCTATAAACTGAAGCAATAAGTTCAAAGTAAATCGCCTACTTTGGATATTTGGACTTCTCTCCCTCCATTTCACACAAAGTCCGGTAAAAATCATCAAACTTGATCCTTGACGGCCCATCTACCGTGCCTGCTGTTGACCAAACAAGGGCAAAGAAAAAATGGCTGATGATCATGACGGTTCGTTCTTCAATAATTTTTGAGTCAGAGAGGACAACTTTTGGCTCTTCCTCTTCTCCTTCTTCATCCTCCTCTATAAAGTCTTCGTCCTCGTCTTCTTCAGCACCCAGTGCCCTGAAATGTTTAAAACAAATTAATATACTAGTGGTTTTTAATGCTTTTAGGGGGGAGGGGGTACAGTACATACCAAAATTAACAATTAACATGGAACCTCACCGAAAAATCATTATTTACTAAATTTTCATATAGTTTTAAATACATGCATCACACTACTAATGTGAATTGAGGAAACTAGGAATTGTCTCCACATTTAAAGGTTTAGTGGCGTTAAGATTTAATTTTGATTTGTACTGTATGTAATCACATTGCATGCATATGTAATCACATTGCATATATATGTAATCATATTGCATACATATGTAATCACATTGCATACATATGCAATCACATTACATACATATGCAATCACATTGCATACATTGATTAAAATCAGACCAATTCAATATAGCATGCAATAAAGGAGAAAAACAGGATTCATGAAAACTATGAATTAACTTATAAAGCTAAACTAAATATGCTAAAGCCATGCTATTTCACATCTATCATGCAGGGAATTTAACTCAAAAAATCAATTAAAATTTCATTCTTACCAAAATACAATATATGCTAACACAGCACTATTTCAAAATTAATTTTTCAGAAATATATTCTATTCAGTTTCCTGTCTAAAACTAATTCTACATGAATAAGCAAATATACTAAAACAATACATGGAATTACAACGGATTATATGTTTAATATTCAATTATATGTTTAAATATTTAATTAGCAAATATTAGATCAAAATAAAAGTACAATTTTGTTAACTGTCAAAAGTCAGTGGTGCTGTCATCAAATTGTTATTCTAACAAATATACATAGTCTTAGCTACAAGCCTTTGTGGCCCCCACGCCACTACATCTGTGTAGTCAAGAAGAGGAAGGGGGAGGGCCACAGGGGCTTGTAGCTGGACTCATATATACAATGTACATGAAACTTGAGTCCAAAGCTATTAGGCACACAATTTATACATGTACAACTATGAAACTATGAGCGTTCATGAAAAAATGGTGAAAAACAGACAGGTGTTTTTACAGGGTGTTCTAAAGTTACAATTACTGTTGTACTGTACACACATATTCATTAAAACATTACAATGTGACGGGACAAAGTTATAGGAGGCACTGGGGTGGTATAATCAGAAAGCACACAAAATGTTATTAGGAATCATGCTGCTCCCTAATTTACCCATATTCCCTTTCATATTACTTTTACTTTACTTTGCTCTGTAAATCTCTGGATTCCAATTATTTGAATTTAAATTTCCTAGCTCATTTAAACAATTTCAAAAAATGAGTACCAACCTCAACGAAAAGTGTCTCACATACCTCCATTATATCTTTTCAACATATCTCCTCTCATTTAGATCAAGTTTATTTATTTCAAAAGCATGTACAGGCACATGCACCACCAAAATACTGGGAGCATTTTAGGCTTCGCTTGAGCTGGCATCAAACAGGTGTGTTTGCTGATACATGCAGCCTGTGCTGAGCTTTGATACCACCGAGAAAACTCACTACCATGAGGACTGGCTAGTTCCCTGGACATAAATTTCCCAGAAAGTTGGCAATCCAGAGACTAATGCCTCAGTCACATTTGATCTATGGATCCCGTAAATCTTCCCAAAATCAAGAGAAATAAGTGGCCAGCATAAAATATAGGAATTGGCAGAACAATGTAGATTTCTATAATAATTTTGGGAAGCTATGACCACTGTATGGCTGCAGTAGAGCAAATGTGACAAGGATTTACAGACGATGATTATCTAACATAACAGGGAGTTTTAAAACATAAACATGGCCCAACACTCAGCTGGGATATAATTTACTTTAATTTTTCATTTCTGTTTTTCATTTTGCTAGTCCTGATAGCCTCTTCTTCGGATTCAGAAATCATAGTGCTAAATAAAACAAGACACACAGTGATAAATATCGCACTTTGAAGAGCAAACTGGCCACCATGCAATTTACCCAGCATGGCCAAAACCTAATCAGACCTTGGCACTAGTCTGCTCTTGCATCTGTAAACATTTCAAGTTGACAAGGTTAGCGGTTTTCCTGCAATTTTGATGACAAGAATTTATTTGTAGTCTTGAACTTTGGGAAAATTTAGATAACATTGTGACCTAATTTGATGACTTTCGACCTTGAAAATTTCACTTTTTCAGACCTCAGTAGGTCTTTTGTAATTAAGCTGACCTAAATTTAAATGCAAAATATCAATTTAGAAAATCAAATTTTTGACCTTTTCAAGGTCACTGAAGGTCAAAGACAGGTCAAATCTGAAATCTAAGGTCAGATTTGAACTTCTGAGAACTTGTAGATGTTTTTAAAAAAACAAATTTGGTCAATTTGGAGCAAGTTGAAAAATTCAAAATGGCCGCCAAATTTAAAAATTCAAAATGGCCACCATGTAATTCAGCCAGCATACCCTAAACCTAATCAGATCTTGGCAATAGTTTGCTCTTGCATCTGTAAAAATTTCAAGTTGAACGGATAAGTGGTTTTCCTGGAATTTTGATGACAAGATTTGTTGAAAAATTCAAAATAGTCTGCTATTGCATGTGTAAAAATTTCAAGTTGAACAGGTTAGCTGTTTCCTTGGAATTTTGTTGACAAGAATTGATTTGTAGTCTCAAACTTTGAGAAGGTTGGATAACATCATTTGTGACCTAGTTTAATGACCTTGACCTTCGACCTTGAAAATTTCACTTTTTCAGACCTCAGTAGGTGTTTTGTAATTAAGCTGACCTAAATTTAAATCCAAAATATCAATTTAGAAAATCAACTTTTTTGACCTTTTCAAGGTCACTGAAGGTGAACGAAAGGTCAACACTGAAATCTATGGTCAGATTTGAACTTCTGAGAACTTGTAGATGTTTTTAAAAAAAAAAATTGGTCAATTTGGAGCAAGTTGAAAAATTCAAAATGGCCGCCAAATTTAAAAATTCAAAATGGCCACCATGCAATTCAGCCAGCATACCCAAAACCTAATCAGATCTTGGCAATAGTCTGCTCTTGCATCTGTAAAAATTTCAAGTTGAACGGATAAGTGGTTTTCCTGGAATTTTGATGACAAGATTTGTTGAAAAATTCAAAATGGCCGCCACATAGTTTTCCCAGCATGCCCTTAACCTAATCAGATCTTGGTACTAGTCTGCTCTTGCATCTGTAAAAATTTCAAGTTGAACAGGTAAGCAGTTATCCTGGAAATTTGATGACAAGATTTGGTTTATGTGCCGCCCGCCCGCCCGCCCGCCCGCACGCCCAACAGCACAAGACGACGACAATATAGCACTTTTTCAAAGTGCGATAAAAATCCAGTAGAGAAGCAAATAACAACAATGTGTATTAAATTCTTACAACTAAGAACTTCTGAACTCATCTACAGGGCCAATAATGCCGGCATAGCCCTGTTTCAAAACAACATTAGTAAGTTGAGATTTGCCCAAAAATATTCTTCATATTAGAATAATATGGCATTGACATAGCACTTTGCATTGAACCAGAAACTGGTCCCTGAACATTGTAGCCCTGTGTTAAAAACTATTTGAAGGCAGAAGCTCCAAGGTCCCCTTTTTATGTTGATAAAAATGTAAATGAAGCAAAGCAGTGTGCAAAAAGCATGACATATGCAATAAAACTTTAGCCAACAATTCAAAAAGTGCATGCAATTATTATAAATAATCTGTGATAATGCTATAAAACATTCTTTTAAAGCTGTGAATGAAAAACGTGAAAATAACAAATGTGCAATAATAATCAAATATCATCGTGAAAGTGCGATCAAAAAGTCAAATGCCAACAAACATCAAACAAACTAACAAAACATGTGACAACAGTATAATCTTATTGCATCCTTCTAAAAGTTAGCAGTCGTCCAGAAAACAAGAGGTCACAGGTTCAATCTCCACTAAGTTGGACTGATTTTCACATCAGGCCATGGGATAAAATTTAATTCTGTGATTTCAAATCAAATAAATAAAAATATTGCTTACTTGACTTCAAGCATCAATAGTCCCAGTAGAGACAGGAAACTTTGGGTCATGTGCATAGCATGGGGTTTTACAAAATGCTTTAGGTATTTTGTGCTGTAGTTAATACAAGGCATCAGTTGCCATTCAATCAGCATCTAAAAATGACCAAAAATATCTGTGTTTTTTCATACAGTTGAGATGTAAACAGTAAAACCTTTCTAACTGAAACACCTTTCGTACTGTGATCCACTTGGGAGGCATTCCACTTCATTAAACATTAAGTCATTATTTGGTCTTGGGACTCTGATAAGTGGTCCACTAACAGAGGTGTTCCACTTTACAGGTTTTGGAATTAGGGTAAGAGCTCTCCACTAATGTATATGATTACATTATATAGCTTCAATGATTTTAAGATCTAATATTTGACCATATACAGTGTACAGGACAACACAAAAATGCAACCCACTAATCTTGGAATAACTCTCAAATATGAAGGAATCTTCTTGCAATGACAGTGGTATTATATACAGTATATTTAATGTGGGATGCAATATCTAATACAATACATTGAATACAGTATATAGTATTTAAAAACAAACCCTCAATGTATCTTTCTGCTCTTCTGTTATACAACTTGGTAGGTTATGATCCATGTAAGACTTTACTAACACCATAGGGCCTAGTTGTAGCGGTTCTATGTAGATCATACCGCACCTATATATAATAAAAGAACACGTAAAAACATTGACCCCAACCTGTGAACCCTTGAGTATTTTTCCGGGATCGTGCATTTTACACCACTGAAATTCAAAAGAATCTTTCATGTGAGCCAAAATTCGGCTGACCCATTCTAGTAGTTTCATACCTGCTAACTGTGGCAGGAGATGCCTGTTCTAGATCGGCAGGTTCAAAGATCATGTTCATTGTATTACTCATCTGTATAATCTCTCCACTCATCAGACACAATTTCTTATTATCATCAAGCACTGTGTTCATGTTCTCAATCCACACTGCATCAACGGGACCATCAAAAATAATCCACTTCCTGTCTTCTGTCGTACTACTTGCGTATTCACGGAAAGTGTTTGCAAGAATCCCGTCAGTCCATTCATGAGAGACTGGGTCGAAACAGCCATATAATTGGCCCATTGTTACAGCTTTAGGATTGATGATTCTGTACTGGACCTACACAAAAACAGATTTGATATTTTGAGAATTTAATTCAAAACCAGAATATAATAAATCCAAATTCCTGAGTAAAACTTGTTTTCCTAAATATAATGGAAATATTGTGAGACATAATTCAATTTCATAATTCACACTGTATTTTCTTGAAACAGCCCCCTGTTAGATGATAACTCATCTATCACATTTCGGACTGTATTTTCTTGAAACAGTCCCCTGTTACATGAAAGCTCTCTTACCCTCTCTTCTTCCATGAGTCCTTCCTTATGCAGGTCCCCCAGAGCTTTACTGAGCACTTTGAATGCAATGGTCTTACCACCTAATGGGTCACCCACTATCATTAAGCCGTGACGTACAAGAATCATGTCATATACCTGTAAAAGAAATGTAAGATAATAAGCCAAGTGCCATAAGGGTAATGACCAAAAGCTCAACAGTTTTTACAACTTGTTACATATCTCTACAACTTGCTACATATAAAGGTATCCAATTGACCATTAACGGACGAATGGCCTTTCTATGTCCCTCACAGTTTATGTTCGGTGGGATAAAAATGAAACAGATGGTATGCCAGTATAAGCCAAAAGAATTAAGTCAGTTGACTCAAAGGAAGCCAATGAAGCAGGACACAAAATAAAACTTGAAAATACATTGAACAATACTAAATACTTGGATCGCCAACATCTGGCTACAAGAAATATACAATAGCATCGTAAGTACATGCTCACAAGATAGAAAAAAATCGCTCCACTTTTTTCAAGATATAGCAATATATTTAAAAAATACTTTTGTTGAATTGAGTAATTAACAACTAGAATAATTGCAACATATTCACCTCAATTATTTTCTTCATGTACCAATCGGAATCTTGAAGTTTCATCTTAGCAAGGTTTAATCTGAGATATTTCTCCAGTTGTGCGTAGTCAGGTCTTGGTTCCGTTACCCCCGGGAACAGATCTGACAGAATACCCTCAAACAGGGGGATATCATGTGACAAGAACTGGAAAAGAATTATTTTGTATTTGTATTATTGAACTGAATATGCATTTCATTGATTAAAATAGTAATAAAAGTTAAATGAAATAGGTAAACGTATCACCAAATATTTCCCTCGTAAAGAAAATTGTATTTGAGATTAAAACATTTGAACATTTCAAAATGTTATTACAAGCCATTGACCAGTCAATGTATTTATTTCTCTTGGTAATATATGGAATAAGTAGCATTTATTTCATTGGTACCTTAGGCAGATTGACATCTATGATAGATTTGAGCAGTAGTTGATCCTCATCATTTTCTGGATACTTAAGTTTTAGGTTTCCAGCAGCAGTGAGCACAGATTTGACAGCACGCATACCATAATCATAATGGTGCTGGGACGACAGCTGAAATGCAGATGTGAATGGGACTTAAACACAGATGTGAAAAGGACTTAACACAGATGTGAATGGGACTTAAACACAAATGTGAATGAGACTTATGGCCTAGTCACATAGCCCGGCCGATGTCCGGCATCGGTAGAGCTCGGTGGATTTTTTTGGTGCCACCGAGCTCTCCTCATCGGAAGCAGAGCTCGGTGACGTGAACGGACTCCGTCCGGACATCTTCAGGCGACCGACCGAACACCGGCCGGTGACCGTACGGAGTCTGTCTCAAAATGGTAGTTTTTTTCTGCCGATGTGGCAGCAACTACCAGCCGGAGGTCGGCCGGACATCGGAAGGAATACGGCCGGTACCCGAGCAGGTAACAGGACACCGTGCGATCGCCGTCCGGGTTGTTAACGGGCTTTGAACAGTGACCGGCCGATGCTCTGTCCCACATCGGCCGGAGCTCGGCCGCTGTCCGTTAAAAAACCTCGTCCTCTGGTTGTCTCAGATGCACGGGACACCGGCCGATACTCGGCCGTGCACCGGCCGACGTGTTTTCCGATGTGGTTACGATGGGGCTGCAATGACATGATGAGGGAGCTCGGTGAGAGCCCGGTGAAATTTAACTCCGAAGTTAAAATTTCACCGAGCTACCACCGATGCGGTTTTAAGCAACAAACGCCATGGATGTCCGGCCGGTGTCCGGCTGGTGTTCGGCCGAGTTCGGTGAAAATTGCATCGCTGGCTCATCGTAACCTCATCGGCCGGGCTATGTGACTAGGCCATTAAATACAAATGTGAATGGGACTTAAACACAGATGTGAATGGGACTTAAACACAAATGTGAATGGGACTTAAACACAGATGTGAATGGGACTTAAACACAGATGTGAATGGGACTTAAACACAGATGTGAATGGGACTTAAACACAGATGTGAATGGGACTTAACACAAATGTAAATGGCATTTAAACACAGATGTGAAAGGGACCTAAACACAGATGTGAATGAGACCATGGGCTTTCAATTAGGACTTAGTTTGTGTTTCATAACCAGTTACATGCTCAGTGTTTACTAAGTTTAATTATCTGTGGAAAATGAAAATTCCGTAAAACTTCACTGACAATACTTGCTTACTATAGTATTTTCCTTTGTTTTAATGATGGTTAGTCTATAAGGTATAAAATTAAAACTTTCAAAATTTCAAAAGTTCATATTCAGCCAAATCGTGATATAAACTAGTGTCCAAATTAACTAGTTTTACATCATGAGGTCATCTACCAGTCACTTACCAGTTCTGAGCATAGTCTATAGGTAGCGACAATCTTGTTGGAGAGAGCTTTTGCACTGACAAAGCCCATGGAGTAGAGAGATATAGCTGCAATCAGAGCATAGTCTGGCACCATCATGGCAACAGTACGGAACAACACCTGGAATAATATGGAATTCATTCTAATTTGCCAGACCCTATTTTATTCATCACTTATAACAGCTAGCTTTATAGAGTAAAACAATGAGAAAAGGGTATGGCTTGCCCTTATGTATTTGATTTTACTTAGCCATGACTTGATATGATTTTCATATTTTATGAAACTATATGGCATTTAATTACTCATTGTTTTGGTATTTTAATGGTATTCGCTGACAAAAACTTGCACAGTAATAGGATTATACTGTACATTATCCTACACTTAGTGTGCTAAATGTATAATAACATTAAAAAATAAATTTGATATCTATTGGCAAAATGAATAACCGGAGGATATCGCCACGATATAAAACCAAAATGCGGAGGATATCGTAACAATATGCATCGGAAACCCCAATATGCGGAGGATATTGTGACGATATTCTCCGCTTGTTGAGTTCCCACTAAATTGACTCTATTTGGCATGAAATTCATTTTGCAATGATATTATATATTTAGTACACTCCTTGTAAGTGTAGGATAATAAGGACATCCTATGGTTTTTTCAGAATATCATTTTAATCTACTCGGTGATATTGATATATGCACTTGTTCGCTTTGCTCTCTCGTGCAGATATCAATATCACCTCGTAGATAAAAATGATATTTCTCAAAATCATAGGATATCCTATAAATAACAAGCTATAGCGCAGGAAATAAAATATTTGATTTGATTGCTCGCAAGAGTGTAAATATTGTAAAAATTAGTTATTTCTAGTACATTGTCCTACATGTAGTTCGCATATACAGGGTATCCATAAAGTATCTTTACACTTTACACAGATTTTGTTAGTTGTAATTGTAGAGAATTTATGGACACGCTGTATATCACCCAAAGAATACTTACTTTCAAGTTGTCAGGAAGTTCGGCACGACCAGCGTAGCCGGGGTTCATAGTGATAAATATTGTACAAGAGGGGTCCAAGGATAACGTTGTCCCCTCAAACACAAATGTCTCTAACTGTTCAGCTACAGCTCTTTGTATTGTCTGGATCTGCTGAGCAACCACTGACAACACCTGGAATTGAAACATTTGAATATTTACATCTCATCTGTTAATTCGCTTATGTTATCAAACTTCCATAACAGTGTCCTGTATTGACACTTTGGTGGGCACCTGGAAAATTAGAATTTGATGAAAACAATCCATTCCCGATATATCTACATGAACATATTTAATTGAACATGATTAACCCATACCTCAAGCTCTATCCTGTTGAACTCATCAAAGCAAGCCCAAGCCCCGGCTTGTGCCAAGCCTTTGAAGAATTTGCCCATAGCTTTGTAGTCAAGACCATCAGAGCAATTAAACACAACACACTGTTTAGCTACAGCCTTGGCAAGATCTTTCGATGTCTCCGTTTTGCCAGTTCCCGCAGGTCCCTCAGGAGCACCCCCAAGGTTAAGCAACAATGCCCCCATAAGTGTCCTTAAAAATGAAAAACGGGCAACTAAAATGGGGCATTTATATCATTTTAAAGTACAGTTCTTGTTACACACACAGCAATACATAGACCATAAAATAAAACTTACAAAGCATAAAATCATTTCTAACAATTTAGATTTTTTTAAAAACAGCTCAAAATAGCACATCATGGATTGAATCATTCTTGTGTCTCTCTCACAACGCTATTCTATGACTGTTTTTAGGAAACTTTGTTTTCAAAGGTCCAACATGAAAAGTACATTTGAGGAGATAACCAGAATAACTTATGCAATGTTGGACATGATGAACCCTTTATATAATGGAAATACAGAAAGAATAGTTTTTGGGATGTATATAATATACATTACCATCATATTAATCACAAATTATTTATATTTACCTATAACATCTGTCAGTTAAAGGAGTGATAACGAGACGTCCTGAATTGCCGAGATATTCATAGCCATATGGTACTGTTGTTGTGATCATTTTCACCATGACGGCATTCTTTTCCCAGTAGTAACGCAGCTGGCTTACCCAATTAAAGTCATTGTGTGACTTTATGTCAATGTCAGCTAAATGTTGTATGACATCACGAGCTAGAGGAAATAACAATATGAGGTATATAATACAATTAGATTTATTTGCTTCTTGTTCTCAGCAAAATAAATGATTACTGATAATAACATGCATTGAATTTGATTAAAATAAGCCATCTAAATCACATTGATAGCAAGAGAGTGAGAATACCTACATTGTCATTCTATATTTTCACCTGAGTGCAAGACAATAGATAAGATGCCAATATAAATAATCAATGATTTTCATGACTAAAAACTGAACTGAAATATTATTTATTTTATTGAACTCATAGTTCTATAAACTGAAAATATTAGCATTCTCAAATCATTTCTCTAAAGTTTATATTAACTTACCATGCACATCAATGACAATGAGAGCACCAAGTGTAATCCTAGCCATCTTGGTGATCTTTCCCCTAACCAAGGCTACTATCTCATCTATCTGTTTACTGCTCTTGCTCAAGTACATCTTCAGACCACCTGGAGTCTTGATAGCCTAAAAGATAGAGAAATCATGAACTACTGGGTACTTTACAAATATAGGGTCATATCAAAATACTTCAACATGCATGTTGCAGTTGTCAAGGTACATTCTCGGTTCATTTGAGTCTTGGTGGCCTACAATACATGTGAAACCATGCAGTATTTTCACCAATGGTCCATCATTTTTAAAAATTAATTAAAGTTACCCAAAGTCCTAAAAATGAGGTAAATTATACAAGATATCTCATGCCGTCCTACCAAGGTATTAACAAGGTATCTTAGGTACCAAGACCAACAATTTTCTATCACACATTCTGAAACTTTTTAGCTGTTTTTGCATATTTCGTTTGAATTAGAATTTTGTCATACTATATACAAACAAAAGATAGGTATTGACATGCCAATGAGTAATTTGGATGCTAAACAATTAAAGAGACAACTTACCAATTCCACATCAGTCGTCCAATGTATGGTACTAGCAGCTAGAACAACCTGACCAGGCCAACTGATCACCCATTCTTTTCTGGGTGTCGTAACATAGGCATCTACAGCCTTCTTGGTAAACAATTAAAGAGACAACTTACCAATTCTACATCAGTTGTCCAATGTATGGTACTAGCAGCTAGGACAACCTGACCAGGCCAACTGATCACCCATTCTTTTCTGGGTGTCGTAACATAGGCATCTACGGCTTTCTTGGTAACCTCTCTTAGTGATAGCTTCATAGTCTCTTCAACCTAAAATGTTTAGTAATTTCAATTTATAGACGAAAGAATTACAATGACTCCACAATTTTCACCAGGCTAGTATTAGAGAAATGAGGTGCTGTATTCTGTTGAAAATTTGAATTTCATGCCACCCTATTAAAATGTTTACACCCTGTCATACTATATATGCAATATTGGGATATTAGTACTTTGAACACTATTGAGAAAAATTCACATGGAGGTCATTGAGCAAAAAATAACTATTAAAGACAAATATCTGATTGGTCTAAATATTAAAAAGGGAGTTATAAGAGTAACCAGAATTCCGTTTTCATGGCATTATACATAACACAACTAATACAATGCAAAATTCCCAGAATGCATACCTGTAGCAGCCACTTCTCCACCAATCCTTGGGCATCATCAGGAACGATTTTCACTGGGAAATCTACCACCTCCTTTTCTGCTGACACCATGGCTGTTATTATAGTGTCCTCCGTAAAGTTCAACTTTGCAATACCTTCGAAACACTTTTTGAGATGAGGCTGGACTCTTAATGGATCTTTCGTCTCTGACAGTATCTCCAAGAGTTCGTCATTGGACAAGAAGAAAAATCTTGGGAAAAATAAGCGTTTTTTCTCCAAGTAATCGTTGAGTCCTTTTTGGATGTCTTCCAACATTGACTGAAATTAAGAAATATTATATACTTACAGGGGCTTCCAAAGAATTTCTCACAACAGGCTAAATAAATGAAAACAACAGGTAAAATTAATGGAAATCATAAATTTAAGATGGAAAAGTTGACTCCCTAAAAACAACAGGCGATTTTGTGAAAACAACTGGTGAAAAATTGCCTGATGCTGCTATTGAAATCCCTGGACTTGTAATAGTAAAGGTAAAAGTGGTCACAAAAAGTAACCCTCTTTTGGAGTTTTCTTTATTATGGTGGCAAATATTCTATTTCTAAAGATGCAACTTAACTTGGTTGTTTACCTCAGAATGCTGTAGTTTCTCTAACATCTCATCCTGAGAGACAACAACCAAAGCCTGTGTGTCTTCTACAGATTTGGACATTATTGTCTTCCTGGAAAGTAAAAGTAAACTCAACATTAAAAGTTAATAGATTATTAAAAGTAGATAGAGTTCAGATGCCACTATTTACCACTTTCAGATTTAACAGATCCCCTCTTATCTATTGAGTGGTGTCTCTAGAGTATACAGATGGGGTGAAAGCAATGTGGGGTAAAGGCATTATCCAATTCTATCAATTTTCCTGCAATGGTTAATGCTAGATACACATAACGTTTTTATGGTAGAATTTGTAGCATTCTGTACTTATATAAAGAATTTTAAGCAACAAGGGAAAGCAGGACTAACCAGTGTTCATCTACTTCTTCAAACATTTTCCCCTCCACTGGTATTTGTCTTCTGATGTCTTCTGAGCCAAAGATGGGTTCCAGATAGAGCCATGCAGCCTGTACCTTCAGCCAGGAGTCAAGGATAGCTTTCATACGGTGCTGGAATTATATATAGGGTATATTATAAGAGAAATACACAAAGATGTTTTTTTATATAGAGCTGTCTAGTTTACACCTTTTACCATTTGATTTAATTTTCATGTAAATGAAAAACCTTTAAAAACATACCAACTGATTATCCCATATCGTAACATCTTTTTCAAATGGGCCAATGAATGGTGAGCCTTTCATTGTGGTTGTCTTGACAACATGATCATCCATCAACACTTGAACATCATCAAATGCCGACAGAATGCTGATTCCTGTTTCCTTATATGGAACAAACGTAAAATGCATGGCTCCCCAATCTTTCTGCATTTTCTCTAAAGCCTAGAAATACACAGATTTATAAATATAGTAAAAGATGTTGAGTGGAACGTTATGAGAAGAATAACATGACAAGGTAGCACACTTTTGGACAAAATCAATTTTAGAATCCACGTAGTGTCAGTAGATAACATACAACATTACAGTAAAACCTGTCTTAGTGAACACCTCTCTCTAGTGAACACCTGTCTCTAGTGGACATCTTTCTTCCCCACATACTCTTACTTCTGTATAAACTACTCTCTCTGTAGTGAACACCATCACTGAATGTCTTTTTCTCAGCAAAAAATGTTCAATATACACAGGTTTTACTGTAATTCATTATTACAAGTAATATGGGGTTATTAAAAATTCCTAAATTGAAAAATACCTTTTCAAGAGCATACTCCTTGCTTGCTTGTGAGCTGATGTCTGTGAGAGAGTCTAGGTATTTCTCCAATCCCATCTGCAGCATCTCTATCAGAGGAGTGTCTTCCTTAGGAGTCAAGTTAAAGCCAACCTAGTAATGAAACAATGGATTTGCAATTATAGGTTTTAGACATATGGGTAAACAAGATGATTATACTGATATCTTTTTATGATCATTCTGTTACCTGAAGCTTATGAAAACAATTGGTTATTATGAATCAATGGGAACTGTCTTATGATATTTAACAGACTTATATTTACTTTGTAACCACACATAACTGGACCAATCAAAAATCAAATGCAGCCATGCAAAAAATGTCTGTACGTAAAACATGCCTGTACAACATGGACAATGTGGTTCAAATACTTTGCCATCACCATACATATCTATATTTTGAAACATCCTTCACAAACAAGTAACAAAAATTAAAAATGAAATTACAAAACACATACCCGTTCACTCATCATATCCCAATGGCGCTGCTTGATTCCAGGATTACACAATGCATTGATGAGTGGCATGTTGATCTTAAACTTCTCAAGTTTAGATTTGATGGTAGTTGAGGCCCTCATGGGCCCCTTGGCATCAGGATGAGCAAAGATCTTTGTGAGCTTGTATGCAGTCCTCCATAATGTTTGCACCTGAAAAAAGAGTCATTAACGTATACATAAATATATTGGACAAGACTTGCAAATTTGCATTAGATGTCACTCAAAATTGAAAGATCTGATTAGGTTCAGAGGCAGTCTCACAAGTTGCCTGGATATGACCGAGCAAAAGCTGGAATTCATGTGCTTTTTCTCCAAGAATCTCATTTTTTTGAAATATTGTCGATGTATATGTACATTACAGGTATATATTATTATATGACAATGCCCTGCATCCAACACTTGCACAATCTGCCTTCACTATATCCAGGATCTTTTCTCTATCCTCGATGATATTAGCAATTGATACATAAGTGCTATGAAATGCGACTTTACATAGAAGATATATCCCATATTTGCTAGTGTGTTTTATGCATATAAACTAGGCAAAATTCACTTTTGTCATCTAAAATTCTGAAATGAGTAGGCGAGTATGAACATCAATTGAGATTACAAACAGGACTTTGAAGTTTTTATGTCCTTGATCCCAGAGAGCAAAGTAGATACAGAAAATATCCATCCCTGATCTCCAAATACAATATCTTCACCTCTTCCTCTACTTCTTCTGCATTGACATTCAACAGTGGTCCATTCATCCATTTCTCATAATACAGATGGAACTTGGTAGCTGCCTTCCATAGTTTGTCATAGGGCTCTTTCTTGATCAACATCTCCTGTATTTGCATATATGGGGTCTGGTTGCCTGTATTAAGTAAGGCTTCTTCTTTGTTTATGAGGATTTTCTGGAAAAGTATTGAATATTTGAGAACAATGACCAAAGGGAACATTAGGCGGTCCTCAATAGGCACATAATGACCAACAGAACACCTAAAAACTTAAATTTCTCTGCATATGGCTCTGTGTTTTAAGGGCATATAAAAGATAGAGGGAAGACACAGTGACAACCCATCTTGAAAAGTTGATTTTGTTGTTGGTCATTTTTGTATGTTCACTAGTCCCTTTCAGATAAGAACTGAACTTATCTTGTTGGCTTATCTTTTATAGGTTAACAAAGATCTACTTTAGGTAATTTTACAAATAATCTGTAATGGGAATGATTATTTCATAATTTACATAACCTTTCATCAATGATATCGAAATAAAGAGCACAGAATTTTCTCTAATATAATAATATAATTTTATAATGCTAAGTACTGCTGAAATCTTCAAACAAACCTCTTTATTGAACTCATCCAATTTGTTTCCAATATTTTCTAAGTCCAACACATATTGCTCAGCTTCAGACATGCGATCTTTAGTAGAGAAAGATTTGATCTGGGCAGCTATATGGTCAAGTTTCACTTGGAATTTGTTCTGCCAGGCATTGAGTCGATTCAGAGCAATATCATGCTCCTTAGCAAGTTTGCTCTCACTGTAAAATGATGTAAAATCCATGTATTATATTTTATTTGAAATACTGCATTATTTATAAAGAGAAAAATATGACTTCTGAGGGTAATCTTTAATAAAAAATTAGTACCGTGGGTACTGGGCTCACATGGTGTTGCTCAAAAGTGAAAATAAAAAAGACGGGTATAATTTTTTGCAGATTTTTTGTGATAAAATAATTTTATACAACTACTCTTTACAAAGACATGGCTTTTTACAATGCAGGACACCTGAACTTATTTGTAAAGCTAGGAAATGGGCCAAAAGTGAATTTCCCGAGACAAAAAAGGTGGCCATTTTGAAATTAGGCGAGATTTTGAAGCAGGAGTCACAGTTTTTTTTCTTTATTGATGTTGAACAAAATTATTTTAAATCGGGAATCCTATCTACAGAGGATTTAAAAAGTGTTGACAGAGGTTTAAAGCTTGCCACTTTTTTGGACTGACTGAGAGACAGATGGACGAATCAATGTTAACTAAAATGGCTGAAAATAAAAAAACTGATATAATATTTTGCCGATTTTTTGTAACAAAATTATTTCATACAACTACTCTTTACAGTGACATGGCTTTTTACAATGCAGGACAGCTGAAATTATTTGTAAAGCTAGGAAATGGGCCAAAAGTGAATTTCGCGAGACAAAAATGGTGACCATTTTGAAAATAGGCGAGCTTTTGAACCAAGAGTCATAGGAGAGTTTTTTGTATTGATGTTGAACAAAATTAACTTAAAACAGGAATCCTATCGACAGAGGGTTTAAGGCAAATGGTCCAAAAGTGGATTTTGCGAGACAGATGGACAAATCAATGTTAACTAAAATGGCTGAGAATAAAAAAAATGGATATGATTTTTTGCTGATTTTTCGTAACAAAATTATTTCATATATTTTGAGCCAGGAGTCATAGGGGAGTTTTCTGTATTGATGTTGAACAGAAATAACTTAAAACAGAAATCCTATCGACAGAGGTTTTTAAACGTGCCACTGTTGTTGACGGAAAAGTGGATTTCACAAGTCAGATGGACAAATCAATGTTAACTAAAATGGCTGAAAATAAAAAAAAGATATAATTTTTAGCTGATTTTTTTAACAAAATTATTTCATATATCTACTCTTTACATTGACACAGATTTTTACAATGTAGGACACCTGAAATTATTTGTAAAGCTAGGAAATGGGTCAAAAGTGAATTTCGCGAGACAAAAATGGCGGCCATTTTGAAAATAGGCGAGCTTTTGAACCAGGAGTCATAGGGGAGTTTTCTGTATTGATGTTGAACAGAAATAACTTAAAACAGGAATCCTATCGACAGAGGTTTTAAAACGTGCCACTATTGTTGACGGACAGACAGACAGACAGACGGACGGACGGATGGACAGACAGACGGACAAGTGAGCGATTGCAAAAGCTCACCATGTGAGCTAAAAATAACAAGTGGATGATTATGTCTGATTATCCACAAATGAATGAGGTAAAATAGTGGGGAAAACAACATCAACACGTGGAAAAATAAAAATCATGGGGCAATATACTCACGTGCTCTTGATTATTGGTATGATCCTATCAGGCCAAGAAAATGTATTGTCATTAAGCAGTACGTCATCTTTTGGCAGGTAAGCATAGTCCATCAAAAACATTAAATTCTCTCCAGCTATCAGCAGTTTTTCCTGGAAATACATATTAAAAAATCATGCACTATTTCTATGACGAATGTTGTTGTCAACAAGCAACAGCACGAATAGGATGAGACCATCGAGTTATTCAGTTATTAATAATATTTTTGACTTTGTATAAAAAACCTCCTACCTCATACCCACCTACCCACCTACGTGGGACATGATACAGTCATTGAAGGGTTCAATTTTAAAGATTTTTAAATCTCAAAATAGCTCTAATTATTAACATTTCTACAATTCCGGCTTTATTTTAGGACTAGACGGATGACAGATCCATAAATAAAGGCACATGGGTGCATTGTAATGTGTAATGACCCGAGGGCGCCCCAGGAGAATAACTAAATAACGACCGCGAGCATAAGTCCAACAAGCCAGATAAAAAAATTGAAAGAAAGTGTGCTAAATTCGATGCCCCGAGTGGGAATCGAAACCAGCTGGTCTTTCAAATGCATCTATAATTCATCATAAACTAAGATTTAATAAACGAAGATCTTTAAAACTGAACCCTTCAAAGACTGTATCATGTCCAACGTACGTAGATGGGTATGAGGTAGGAGGTTTTTTATACACGATTAGTCATCCTCCACTACTTTTTCAGTTATAGCAAAAATCATAAAATAATGCACATAAAAATGGCCATTAGTTTACAAAATGGCCACTCACTAGCCAAATTGAAAGCTCACTATATCCATTAGAAAGTGTAATATGCTTCTTAGTAGGCACATGTAAAATTTCATCAAAATTGCTGACCATAACTCACTCAGTGTTTCTAATGACACTACATGACAATTTGAACACCATCAGTGCAACATTAACAAGAAAAGAGAGGACCAGTTGTGTTACCTTTGGGACACCATGTATTATATAGGATTTAACTTTCTACATAACACAACAGTCTGATATATACATGTATTACATTGTACCACATATTATGTTGCAACCAGAGCCAACAGATTGGATTTTGATAAAGGGAAGGTCAATATTATTGTATGTTATTTGATTTTGATATTAAGAACTATTCAAAGAACACACATCATATGCTTAACTCACCCGCAAGTCTAGAAGTTCTCCAGATCTGAGATTGTCAGTGTACGCGGTTAACTTCACAAGCTCTTCTGTAGTTTCAGCCTGGGTAGTTAACCTCTTGACAATATTATCATACTGTGTACACATGCCTCTGTTAAACTTACGACTCGTATTGATGATGTGTGTGATCATTATATTAGCAAGCTTACGAGCTCTTTCAATCATCCAAGAGTTCAAGCCGTGGCAGTCGAGCCTGAATAAGTGCATAGGGACATACACAGGTAGAGAGCCTATCTCATCCGCAGTTTTTTTCAGTTTTTCAATCTCTTTCATGTACTCTCTCAGAGATTTGTCTTTGGTGATGAATTTTTCGTAGTATTTGTCGGTGGCATTTTTCAGTAGATATGTGTATGGTTCATATACCTCTACATATCTGAAAAAGGATTTATGAATGTTAAATTATACCTGCAAATATTAAAGATAATATTATAAATAAATAAGACTTTAGAGGAATATGTTCTTAAGTCTAATTGAAAGCCCATGGTTTTACAATAAATATTGTGAAGAAGTCTTTTTAAAAAAGTAAAAAGAACACGCAGATATAAACTTATTTTATGTCAATAAGAAATATATATGTACATCCAGGGTAATAGACATTTACATCATTTTGGACATGACATTGGAGTCTGAAAAATAAATGATGTACTATATTACTATCTAAACATCCAGCTGAAGAATTCTTCAGGTTGAAAAAGAAGTGAATTTTTGTATTGTATAGTTGCCTTAACAACATTAATATACATGTACATGTACTAAAACTTACTTCTGTGGGCCAAAACTATTTGCGTCCACAACTTTTCTAATTCGAAGTTTTGAGACTCGCACAATCTCCTCTTCAACATGCACTGTACTGATTGCATTAGTTTCGAGGTCCTCCACTGTCTGGAATAGCTGGGTCTCTACACGTGGAATATTGAAAACACTACGGACCATCACGTTTATAATCTGGTTGAAGATGTCGCAGATTCCGTCAAATGTTGGGTAGAATGTAGTTCTTTCATTCAGGTAGTCCTCATTCTGCAAATAAAATAGTCAATATAAAATAAAGATTTTAAACCCCTAATATTGAATGTACATGTATAATACATTCATTTATATGATCCCTATCTGAGATTTCTTGCAAAGCAGAGAGTATTTCTCTGTGTGTAGTACCCCCCCCCCGGGGGGGGGGAGGTTCACTGTATATAAAGTTGTTGTGGGGGTCCTAGACTGAACCCTCAGATATCAATATGTTCCCATACCAATCTCTCAATTTCAACCTAAAACCCATACCAAATGTCCAAATATAAACCAATGCCATACCAAATGTCCAAATATAGGACCAATGCCATACCAAATATCCAAATATAAGACCAATGCCATACCAAATGTCCAAATATAAGAAAAATGTCATACCAAATGTCCAAATATATGACCAATGCCATACCAAATATCCAGATGTAAGATCAAGGGCATTCAAAATATCTAAAGCCCCAGGAAGAAGGCAGATCTTTGAGGAAAACAATCCAAAACAACCTCAAATTAAGGATATGTTTAAAGTCCCCGTCTAAAGTTTGAAAATATTTCTTTATCATTCATTTACTATTTGTCAGGACTTAAAAAGTGGTTTTAGAGATTTTTGAACAAAAAAAAAAATTTTGAAAAAAAAGTTGTGAGCATTTCATTTCTCAAATATTCAAATTTCCCGCCATTTTTCAAAAAAAGTTGAAATTTTTTAATCATTAAATATTTCTTAATGCATTTCAAAAAAGATTATCTTTTTAACACCAATGCAAAGGTTGAACAAAGGACACACTATTTCAATAATAAAATGCCATATTTAATGGGCCACCTCAATGTTTTAGCATATCAAAAATATTTTGAAACATTAGTGATGTCACTAAGGTACCAAAAACTTTTTGAAAAAAATTGAAATTTTTTTTTCGATGTCAATCTTTTCTAAATACGTTAGACTTTCATAAGAAACCAATGTTGATTGTCTAACCAGGTTAAAAGGAAGAATAAATTATGTTTCAGATATCATTGTACCATTGGTTTCTATGACAACAAAAATTTTGAAATGCATTTTTCTCAGAACCATTTTCTTGCACTGATAAGTTCATTTCTCGCTTATTTATGAACCGATTTTCTTAATTTTTTCGGCAAAAAACATGGGAGGATGAATGCTATGCATTGGTATGAATTGTGGCTAATTAGAAGATATGAGTGACCTCTAAAAGTTGGTTTTAAATAAATTCACAAATTTTGGAACAAAAAGTCTATCAAAAACCACTTTTTGAAATTAAAAAAAAAAGTTTCACATATCACACTTTGATAACATTGGTTAAGACTACAATATAAGCCAAAGTGGTTTAAACTTTATATGAGGCCTTTAACTGCTAGACCAATATGCCATACCACATTATAGGTAATTAAGAGGTAACATATTTTTCATGACCATTCTCATTCCAGATAGTAGAAAAATCCAACCATTGCCATACCTCAAAGTCATAATTTAGGGGGCATTCTCATACCAGATCTTATGGGATTTGGTCAAATCGTGCAGAGTGCTGGCACTTTAAAAGTTGGAGATGATTTATTAATTCATTCTCTGTTGAAAGCCCATACTTTTTTTCTGTACTTCTTATTAGTCAATACTGTCTATATAATTGATACACACAAATGAGAAGTATGAGATTTGCATAACACATTTACTTACCAAGAAGAAGGTCACTGGGTGGTACTTCATGGGCAGAGCTAGCCCTGAGAATATGTTGTATACACCCTCGTATTTATTTCCATTGCAGTAGTCCTCCACAAGGTCAACAAGGTCATGTATGGACTTTTCTACACAGCTTCGGAGGAGATTCGACATCAGGGATGCAACACTCCCGAAAAAGTGGTCCATTTTCTGTATTCGACATTGCTGAAATAGAAGAGAAAATGTTTTTGAGATTGCTGAAATATTATCATGAATCATGAATGAGTTGTTCACTTTCAGTACTTGACATTGACAAATCATTAGAATAGGACAGGGGTTCTTTTTCCAGTGCCCTGCATTTCTGAAAAATAAACACAAATCATTATTTGAATGGGGGAGGGGTCTATTTTCTATACTCTATTGTACGTACGTGGTGGCCATTTTAGTGCCAATTTTACAGTAATTTAGGTGCAATATGTAACCAACTGTAATAGCAATATGTTTTAAATGTAAAAAAAATTATATAGGACATTAATAAAGCTAGAAATGTAGATATTAAAGAAGCACATGGCAGCCATCTTGAAAAATGGCAGCCTTTACTCATTATTTTACGATTTTTGCTGTAACTCGAAAAGTAGTGGAGCGATTTTGTTCATATTTGGTATGTTAATACTATAAGCATGGCACACTGTCTAATGACACTTTTGGTAGAAGGCAGCCATATTTTACTATAACTGTGTGAAAAAATGTTATTTTCACTTAGGAGCAAAAGACAAGTCACTACTTTTATTTTTTAAATAAGAAAAAGATTGTAACATTAAATACAGATTTCATATTGATTGAATTCACAGGTTTAATTGTATTTCATCAAAGAATTGTCTCAAGTATTATTGACAATAATACTTGAGACAATTCTTCTATGAAGTACAACATAAGTACAATAATTTATTGTACTTATGTACCAAGCTTTGATTGAAAATTAAATGCAATAGACTAGACGCGAGTAGAATTAATCTTGATTTACGTCATTAAATATTCAAAAATATTTGAAATCTGCATGTAAAAGTACATCTAAAAATATGGTTTCGAAAATTGTCTATCAACTTTGAAAATTTAATTCTTTTTGAAAATGTGTCTTCTTGTTCAGGTTGATTCCCTATAGATCCCATGTTACAAAATCACAAAAAGTGAATTATCTTTTCTTGTATTGGACAGATAACATTTTTTTACTGGACATATTTTAATTTGCATAACTATTAGATACATAAGGGTTATATGAAAATTGAACCACGCAAATAGATGTAATTTAAGTTAAAGGAAACTTTCTACTATACCCGCCATGCTATCTGACCCGAGCGAGCCACCTGGTGGTGAATCTGGTAACTACCTACTCGCATCTGCGTTATTAAAAGCTGGTCACATTGAAAGATGGCGCAGTCATCGGTTTGTTAATACATTATGACTATTCACTGCCCCAGATTCTATAGTTAAGTATGACTGAATCAATAAAAATAGCACCAGGGATAATACTTTGCCTACACGTGCCTTATAAGACTGCATAAATGAACTTAATGCTCTTAACCTGACAAGCAGTAAATTCTACGTTTTCATTCATATATATTACCAACAACCTGATAACTGACAAGCTATTCATAATGCACACACAAGAGTCAACACACCAGAAGCTACCATGGCTTCAGTAAGCTCTACAGAGTCTCTGGAAATGGGTTCTATCATCGAACGATATGAGGGACTCTTCAACAGTCAATCCATGAGTGATATTCAGTAAGTTACTTTTCTTCATAAGAACAAATACATGTATATGTACTGTACAAATATAGTTTCCAGTCACATTTTCAGAGGGCTGAAAAAGTTATTTCATCATGATTAGGGTCATTCTGACCATGTACATTGTGATCCTTGTCCTGTAAATGATATGTGGAACTATTTGAATTGACTGGAGGTCAACAGAACTCCATTATCTTTGTTCAAGCAATGTCTAAAAATGCCTCATTTTTGTCACTTTTTAAGTACCACTGCACCTTAAATGCTTTTAGGTTTAGTTTTGATGTCACAGAGGGGCCAATGGTGTATGCTCACAAGGTTATACTAGGTGCAGCCAGTGATGTCTTCAAGAGCATGTTCTATGGGGAACTAAAGGAGACGTCAAATGTCATTGATATACCAGATATTTCAAGGAATGTGTTTCTTGAAATCATGAGGTAATTGAATACATGTACCATGTTCTTTATGTATATAGTTAGGCATAAATCAGTTTTATGTTGTTTTTCTTCACTAATAGTCACTTATTTAAATGCCGTTCCTCTGGCCTTTTCTAGATCCATGTGGCAATGTCCAGTGCTATATTGTGAATTATATGTTTGTGCATAATACATATGTGTAGTAAAATCTGTGTCAGTTGAACACTTTTGGTACCTTTAGAAATGGTCCATTTAGAAGGTGCTCTACTTACAGTCTGAGAAGTGTTCAACTGATGGAGGTGTTCCATTTAAAGAAGTGTTCCACTCAACAAATACATATAAACTGTACATACTTTCAAGAATATTTCAAACATCTCTTGCATTTATTTTCCATCTTCAGGTGCATATACTATGGAGAGGTCAAGCTGAACCCAGAAAACGTCCTAGAAGTTCTCTATGGCGCCAAAAAATACCAAGTACTGGAATTGGCTAAACTATGTAAAAAGTACTTAGATGAAAAAATGGACATTGAAAACGTTTGTATACTATTGGATGCAGCTCTGACATTCAATGAAGGATCATTGAAAGAGAAATGCTTGGAAAAGATAGCTGATGACACTGTTGATGTGCTAGCCACAGATGCTTTCCTAGAGATTTCCAAAGGGGCTCTGGGGCATATTCTAGATCAGGATGTGTTAAAGGTTAACTCAGAAGTTGATGTTTTCCAAGCAGTGGTCAGATGGGCAGAAAATGCATGTAGGACACAAAATCTTGAACCAAGCGGTCAGACCATGAGGGAAATGATTGGTGATCCCATCTTCAAATTGCGCTTATATCCTCTTACGCCTGAGCAACTAGAGAAATATATTGTACCATCTGGTATACTTCACCTTCAAGAAATGTCTGATCTAATTAACAGCTTTTCTACTGGTGAATACGACATCCTCAAGTTTAGCAAAGGCAATAGAAAGGAAGTTAACAAAACAAAGATATATGTTTGCAACCGTTACCGTTCTCATATAAAAGGAGATTCCTCCGGTTGGCCTTGTTCAGGACATAAGTATGATGCATTACAATTCAGGGTGAACAAATCTATAATTTTATTAGGTATGGGCGTATTTTTGCCATATAAAGAAAAAGCATACAATTTTACAGCAAACATTGAGATACTGAATATTGACAAGGATTCACTTTATAAGGCAAAGCATGAGTTTACGCAGGCTGATGTTACATATGGAGATGTTTTACACTGTTTGAAATTTGAGAAAACAGTGAAAATTGAATCAAACCAAATATATTCAATTAAAGCATTGCTTGAAGGACCAAATACTTATTTTACTGAATCAACAAATACTGCTCCATCAGCAGCAAATGTTGGATTTACATTCTTAGATCATCCAGATTCTGATAATGGTACATGCAGCAGACAAGGACAAATTCCTTGTCTGTACTTCATTCTTAGTGATAAAAAATAAGACTAAGCATATCATAGTAATGACTTCTGCAGTATGCATGGCAGTACATAAAAGACTCAGACTAAAAAGGAACAATAAATGCACGTGGGACTTCACTTTAGGGCAAATAGCTGTATAATTTGTAATTTGGTTACCGCCATATTTTGGCGAGCAATACCTCATTGGTATATTTCCGTATTTTACATATTTACACTCAAAGACAGAACCAGCCCCTCCTTGGAGGAGCCTTGGGTTAAGTTCTGACCCAAGATATCATTAAAATATTCTTAATTCATAGTCAATAGCTTCAATTCACTGTCAAAGCAACATACCGTATCATCTCTAATGATCATAGTGTCGATTATCACAGATAATCTATTTAGTCGTTATCACTAAGGTTTACATACTCTACAGCTAGTGTATTTCTTTCTCTGCATTAAATATAATCATCAATAGATATCTTGTTGTATAAATATCCAACTAATGTAACTTAGAGAGGAAAGAAGCCATTTTATATGTTTCTTATTGAAAGAAGTATCACAGTAGCATATCAGTTATTGGAGGGTATTTTGAATGATTCAAAAGATAATTAATTAATTTCCTGTCATGAATTGTAAATGTTTTTGTTTGGATGATTCTGTCCCACACTATGAGTCTGAATAAAGTACAGCTAAACCTGTGTATATTGAACATTTATTTGCTGGGAAAAAACCTTCCATGTTGGTATGTGTTCACTACAGAAAGGGTAATTTATACAGAAGTCAGTAGAGTATGTGTGGAGTAAGGGTGTCCACTAGAGACAGGTGTTCACTAGAGAGGGTAATTTATACAGAAGTCAGTCGAGTATGTGTGGAGTAAGGGTGTCCACTAGAGACAGGTGTTCACTAGAGAGGGTAAATTATACAGAAGTCAGTAGAGTATGTGTGGAGTAAGGGTGTCCACTAGAGACAGGTGTTCACTAGAGAGATGATCACTAAGACAGGTTTGACTGTAATTGCACATGACCTGATGACTTCTGTTATTATGTGTATGAGAAAACTAGCTAAGCATTCAATTTCCAGTATTTTTTGCGAGGATTTATAATGATATTTACAATCAGTCAAGCCACCTGTATCTTTACACTGGGTTGAATATTTAGGTTCCATACATGTAAGTGTTCGTATTCAAACCAAAGTAACCGATAAGTGTTGCCCTTACAAATAAAAAAATAAATCATCCAATAAATATATAAGTGATGTTTTTTGGGCAATCTGCAAACCTCCCTGGTCAAAACTTCTTACATTAATCTGACACTTATTTTCAGTTTTTGTACAAAAAAGCAAAAGGAAAAACCTGATCTGTTTAGTCTTTCAACAAAATATGCTGAACAGTAAATAGCCTGTTAGGACCTTCTCCCTTATTTGAAATGTTCTGCCTATAAATCACCAGTGTCTTTTTTACTTTATTTATTTTATTCAACTTTCTGAGTATATGAATAGAGAACTTAGGCATATGTGTAGAGTAAATAAAAGAGCTCCAGCTTACTAATCCATTCTAAATTCAACTATACTTAATATAGTATTTGTAATTCAATCAATACATGGGCTACCAATGCCAATAATCATGTTTGGCAACCATTCAGTAATACTTCAGTGCTAACGTTGGAGCTGATTTGCAGGTCACACAAAATATGACATGATGAGTGATTACCTCAACAGTTAAAGTTGAGTACAAAAACAGCACTACAGAATCACAAACACTAGGGATAAACAGAGCTCTGGAAGAGCATACAAGGGGTCCATAAGTGATAAAACATATGTTATAAAAAGACTCAATGACTAACAGAGCACTTTAAAAGAGTTCAATTAGTGACAGATATAACACTGCAAAAAGCTATATGAGCTCAATAAGTGATAAACAGATCAAAGTAGAAAGCCACAAGACAAAGCTCAATAAATGATAAACAGACACATAAAGTAAGTGTACAAAGTAAAAAGTCACAAGGCAAAGCTCAATAAGTGGCAAATGCATCGCTGATCAAGAATGGGGCTGTTACAAGTACTAATAGACACCATTTTGGACAACCTTACAACTATACTGATTTTCTCAATAGTGTTTTTCATCCTGTATCGCTATCTTCAACCTAGCCCTTACCGGTTTCCACCTGGACCACGACCATGGCCCTTAATTGGCAATCTGGGTTTAATGGCCGGTTCTGAAGATGATCCAAGTGGAGCTAAGAGGATATGGGAAATATCCAAGGAGATGAATACTGATATGCTGAGTGTTTACTTAGGAGGAAAATACCCAGCTATGATGTTACATAAGTATGAAGACATCAAAGAACTTTTTAGTATGCCTGAATTTTCCGGCCGACAATTCTTTGAATTCTGGGAAATATTCATGGGTGGGTTGATTGGTGCTACAGGAGCTCGCTGGAAAGAACAACGCAGATTTGCATTAAGTACCCTTCGGAATTTTGGCCTTGGTAAAAACAAGTTAGAGGAAAAAATTGATGTTGAAATTGAATATCTATGTCAGCTCCTGGATTCATACAATGGTGAGGCAAAAGACTTGTCAATCACACTGAAAAATGCTGTATCAAACATTATTTGTTCGCTCATTTTCGGCCATCGATTTGATTATGAAGATGCTACTTTTAAACGCATGTTAAACCTCCAACAAGAAAATTTCGATGAAAATCTGCTTTATGCCGGAATTGCGACAATAGTTCCTGGGGCAAGATATCTTCCTGGAGATTTCTTCAGACTAAAACGTGCAAATGAAATAGTGAATGAACTTAGATCTAAGATTTTTAAAGCTGAATATGATGACCATATGGCAAAGTTTGATCCCAATAATATTGGGGACTACATAGATGCCTTTATATTGGAGATGAAGGAAAGAGCTAAGAGAGGGTCTGAAGAAGAGCACTGGTTCAATGGTGAGTGTTCATCAAAGCCTATAATTTCCAAATAAAGATGGCGGACAATCAATCTGTTTTACATACAGGTATCTCAGGGGGGGGGGGAGATTTCCCAAAGATGACCTTTCATATTGGCACGTTCGAAAACAACTTTTATAAACAGGCCTCATTTGCCATTGAAATGAATCTCCCAATGTTAACTGTACTTTTATGAGTATTTTCTACAAGTTTGGATCAAGTAACTTCAACAGTATTACTGTAGGTTTAAAATGATGATATTGAACTGATGTTAACGCCATTTCCATGATTTCAAATTTATTTTGCGCATCGCAGCCCTGAGAGAGCATGTGCTCATGATTGTTAATGTGATCGCATCCTGCAATTTGATTGGAGATGATGCGGGAGATGACGTAATGGGGAATCCCCGAATACGATAGAATATGAAAGAATTGTGGGAGCTACTCACTTCTTCTGGGTATCTTCTCTACATAACACAATTCTACCACTACTGCCACCTTTATATTGCTCCAAAACCTGTAGTGTTCATGTAAAGTATGCTACTTTATAAAGTAGAGTCCTTAGACATATTAGAACAAAAACTTTGAAGTACAAATCATATAGAACAATTAATGAACAATGAACATCAAAAATTGAACATAAGTTGAAAATCCCAATATTGTACATGCGGAAGAATAGCTCCCATAATTACTTGCCATTTAGCGTCACTCATTAATGAATCAGTATTATGCACATCACTTAATATGTTATCCAATCGATTTGCAGAATATGATCATATGTACTGTCATGAGCATTTAAGTCATGCATGCGCAAAGCAAAGTAGAAATGGCGGTTATCTCAGTTAAACATCATCAATTTTAAACTTCGGTAATAGTATTTCAGTTTCGCCATGGGCTTTCAATAGATGCCCATGGGTTTGCAATCCAAACTTTATATGACAATATTCAGAAAACAACAGCCAAAATTCTGAGATCAATTTTAATAGCAAATGGTTCTAGTTTATAAAATTGGCCATCGAATGTGACAGTGGCATCAGTCGAGATTTCTGAAATCTCATAAGTAGTGATGGTCCTGAAAGGACAACATACAGAAATAGGATCAATGCTTTTACCAGATATAAGATATAGGGCATCTTTACTATCCTTTTTGCAGAGAAGCAGTTGAACATGAGCATTGAAGACATGTTTCAAGCTGGGACTGAGACCACAACTTCCAGCCTTATGTAAGTGTATCCCATGTGTAAGAGGGGGGGGGGGGGTCATGCACTTATTCACCTCCTTACTTAGTGGTGTCACCATTGCAATCAATGTTAAATCATTTGGCACTTACTGGTCTAAACAAAACTTTTTCTTCCATCTTTTTGACCTTTCTAAATGTCCATTACTACATTTTTGATAATCAATGTGTGTACAGAAAAATAGGAGATTAAATATAATGTTTATTTAGATGGATAATAGTGTATATGCTGCACTATCCAGAGGTCCAAGAAAGAATGAGGTCTGAGATTCACAGTGTGATAGGGTTAGAAAGGATGCCATCAATGAGGGATAAGACCATGATGCCATATACAGAAGCGGTCATGTCTGAGATACAGAGACAGCAACCAGGGCTTCCAATATCAGTAGGGAATTGTACACATGATGCGCCTGTAGAAGTCAAGGTATTTAAGAATTTCAGTACGGAACTGTAAATCTGATATGCATGGCTTGTAGAAGTCAATTAAGGTATTTTAACACTTTCAGTAGGGAACTCTACAGCTTATATGCATGGCCTGTAGAAGTCAATTAAGGTATTTTCACTTTGAGTAGGGAACTGTACAGCTTATATGCATGGCCTGTAGAAGTCAATTAAGGTATTTTACACTTTCAGTAGGGAACTGTACAGCTTATATGCATGGCCTGTAGAAGTCAATTAAGGTATTTTACACTTTCAGTAGGGAACTGTACAGCTTATATGCATGGCCTGTAGAAGTCAATTAAGGTATTTTACACTTTGAGTAGGGAACTGTTCAGCTTATATGCATGGCCTGTAGAAGTCAATTAAGGTATTTTACACTTGCAGTAGGGAACTCTACAGCTTATATGCATGGCCTGTAAAAGTCAATTAAGGTATTTTACGTGTCCAGTAGGAAACTGGTCAGCTAATATACATGGCCTGTAGAAGTCAAGTATTTTACATGTTCATAGAGAACAACATTGCAAATATGCCTGTAGAAGTCAACATAATTTATTGTGTAACATTGAATTATAACATCGATGAACAAAAACTCCAAGGTTTCTCTGGTGATATTCTTGTCAATCCATGTAATTCACATGCTAGAATATAGCAAGAATACCTATTTTGTATGTTATTTACAGGGTTTCCTACTGCCACCCAATACTACATGCTATGGTAACTTTTATGCCATTCACAACGATCCTGACTACTGGTCAGAACCCGAGAAATTCAAGCCTGAGAGATTCATGGATGAGAACAACAAGTTTGTTGGTGATAAAAGACTGATGACATTTTCAACAGGTTAGTATACTGACCTCATTAGGGAGTGCAATGTTTTTCACAACCTAGACGCCAACAGAAAATATTTAAGAGATGCATTTGTATGGGCAATTGGTCATACGTACAGGTTGACGTTCCCATTTTTTATGCAAGCTTAAACTTTCTATTGACTGGTGAAGCACCCGTCTAAGAAAGGCTTATTATTGCAAGACCACATTGTTGTTTAAACATGTATCAAAGTTGCATTCACTCAAAAATGACAGGCAGTAATTGAATCGGCACAGTTTCTTGAATACTAAATAAATATATTTCCTCAAGATATTTCCTTGGTCTTGACCTATAATGCCTTTTTTTGGCGATTGGCAAGCCATCTGATGTAAAATAAGATGAAATAAATAGATTACCATATTAAAAAAGAAGATATTTCCTGTATTTAAAACCTCCCGCAACATAATATCTGTATATAGTGAACCACACATGTACACTATACAGTATACTCTTAACATTATACAATTTGAAAGAAACAATTTAAACTTCACCTTCCTGATTTGTAGTAAACTTCAATATTCATATATTTTGAGAAAATGTCATCTTGTAAATCAGTTTGAATTTCTCTACATGCCCAGCATTTTGATCATATCGTGAATATTCATGATTCAGGTCAAGCAACTAGTAGTCAGACAACTGTTTCAATTCTAGAATATTACATCATTCCTTGTAAAATTGTCATGTCTATTTTCTAAAAATCCCCAAAGTGTATACTTTATTTGAGGAGAACTAAAGATTTTCTAAAAATTCCAGGCACAAGAACCTGTATAGGAGAAAGCCTTGCAAGAATGGAGCTCTTCCTGTTTGCGACTGCCATACTGCAGCGATACAAGATCGTCAACCCTGAGGGAGCAGAACTGCCATCTTTGATAGCAAAAAGAGGAAGCTCTCTGTTTGTGGCTAAACCATTTAAGGTGCGATTGGTCAGAATTTAGAGTGGATGCTCCAAGACTAACATAAACTAAATACATTAGGGGTGGAACATCTTTTAAAATTTGATAGAAACCAGGGGTTTCACTAGAGTTTCTCACAACAGACTAAATAAATGAAAACAATGGGTAGAATTGATGGAAATCATAAATACAACATGGAAAAGTTGAAAAGTCCCTAAAAACAACAGGGGATTTTGTGAAAACAACCGGTAAAAATTGCCTGTTGCCTGCTGCTAATGAAACCCCAGGAAACTAAAGAGTATGATGTACTGGTAGATAAGGACTTGAAATGGGACAAAAACTGAAGTCTGATCAATATAGTAAAGGATAACAGCCAGGACAGTGCAAACCTCTCTTAATTAGATGTTCCCTCATATGTGACATTCTTAAAATAATACTTGAACATTCATATATTTGAATGTACATGTAGCTAGGAAGATTGTGTTATCAAATGTGTTAATATAGTATAAATCAGGTTATATTCTCACTCATACTGTAATGGAATAACAAACTAGTGATGTCTAATTGATAATAACTAGACAACAGCAACGTCAAAGCCTAGTGAATCCCATCGAACAGCCATGGCTGGCATTTTAACAAAATCCTCCTACTACTTTTTCCGCTATAGCAAAAATTGTAAAATGACACGCATAAAAATGACTACCATATTCAAAAATGGTGGCTCACTAGCCAAATTATCACAAGAAAGTGTAATATGCTTCTAAGTAGGCACTGCATTTGTACTTTTGATGTAATTTTGATATTTGGTACAAACATTATATAACATGTAGATGAGACAGGGTACATTTACTCAGTTATATATTTTGAGGGTTAATCATTGAAAATATTTTGTACATGTATAATAAATAAAAACTCACTTGATCTCCATTTGGCATCCATTCCTCTAAATTATCTCGCCATTCATCAATGATGTCACAACATTCTACGAGCCACTCTTCTTTCAATATTTTTGCACCATGATGACTAGAATTCGAGACATGTTCCAGAAAGGACTCCATTGTAATTGGCATGATCTTTTTTAATCCTGGTATATCTATCAGACGGAATGTACCATACCTAAACCCGAAATAATATTTCTCAGATAATTAAATCCATGCATTGTTAGATATGTTTGTCCGCTGTATATATTTGATATTTTTCTATCCACATTTATTATTTTTGGAGTACAGCATATTTACACATTTTCACATTTTGAGTCTTAAATTACCTCTAGAAGTAGAACACCTCTGTTAGTGGAGCACTTTTCAGAGTCCTAAGACCAATTGACTTAACGTTAAATGAACTTCTATAAGTGGAACACGTCCCAAGTGGAACAAATTTCAGAGGTGCCAAAGGTGTTCCACTAAGACAGGTTTTACTGTACTGTTATTTCATATTGATCATTGATACATTGTCCATTAAAAAGATGGTGTTAAACAACAAGGTCAATAATACATATTTCCACTTACTTGGCCTCAAAATGATACAGAAGAGCAGGCATAATGGAGTGCGTTATATAGAGCTCTGTTGTCATGAAATCTCTAGACTTCATTATACGATCGTGCCATGGGAAACTCTCTCGTCCTGCACTATGGGATGGCTGTATAAAAAATATAATACAGTATATGAATATAATATATTTTATAAAAAGAAGTAAATGGTGACATACTAATGCAATAAAATAAACTTTTGACAAAATGGTACAAAGGAATCCTAGTTCAATCATCTAGGTACAATCTATTTCAGTTAATTTGCAATTTTGGCAAAAACAGTTAATTCATGTCAACATAATTTGGAAACATAAACTGAAATATTCCATGTGAAAGATGCAAAGGTATTCTCCTCAATGGAATGAAATATTTGTACAATATCCATTCATATTCACCTCGATGGAATGAAATATTTGTACAATATCCATTCATATTCACCTCGATGGAATGAAATATTTGTATAATATCCATTCATATTCACTTCAATAGACTAGATGCGAGTAAAAAAAAACTTGATTTACGCCATTAAATATTCAAAATTCAAAAGCGATGTTATATTTGAAATCTACATGTAAAACTACATCTAGAAATATGCCCATGTTACAAATTCACAAAAAGTGAAATATCTTTTCTTGTATTGGTCAGATAACATTTTCATTTACTGGGCATATTTTGATTTGCATAACTATTAGATACATAAGGGTTATATGAAAGTTGAACCTCTAGAACAGATGTAATTTAAGTTAAAGGGAACTTTCTACTATACCCGCCATGCTATCTGACCCGAACGAGCCACCTGGTGGTAAAACTGGTAACTACCTACTCGCATCTGCGTTATTGAATGAAATATTTGTATAATATCCATTCTTATCCTACACTTAGTGCACTAAATGTACAAGGGGCGATCCATATATTCTGATAAAAATGGTCTCATTTTGTGATTTTTTCACATATCCCTCTCATTTTTTCAGAAAATGTAGATTATGTAATTACACATACAATGCTAAAATATTATAGCTATATCTTAAATTATCAATGAGATAAGGCTGCCATGGTAACCTGTATTAAGGGTAGGCAGGTCAATTTAATTATAACATATAAATATCAAAATAACTTGTTATTTTAATTATTTTAAAGCATGCGGAAATCATGCATTTTTTCTTAAAAGTTTGGTATTGTTACTTGTTGTTTGTTGCTAAATAAATGTTTATATGTGCTCACTATAACATCACAACAAATCACAATAGCATTATAGGACAGAATGGGCCAATTGACATTACATGTTATGAGACACACCAAAAATCAAATTGTCAGATTAGGTTAATGTGGCTGATGCAGAGTGTCACATTAACGGATACATTAGGGAATACCATTAGATTTGATTTTCTTTCAAGAATAAGTAAGAGGACACTGTCAGAGACATATATGGACTCATAAAGTGCATGGACAAGGTGTTATATCTGCATAATGAATATATAGGTAGTATTGTAAAGAGGAAAGCATGGTCACTGTTGAAGATCATCCGCAATCTGGTTGCAAGAAGAGCTTGCGGACAGAGAATAACACTACGATAAATTGAGATGTTACTTATGAAAGGATAGCTATCCCACTGTATATAGATTATCAAACAAGGGCAACAGGGGTATGGAACAGATCAATGAATAGTTGACAATGACTGGAAGATGCGTTTGATCTGCTTAAAATAGGTACCGAGGAATGATTGAATTAACATATTTATCTATTTTAGACGTTATAATTTAACTGACCTGCCTACCCTAAATACAGGTTACCATGGCAACCTTATTTCAAAATTAATTTAAGATACAGCTAAAATATTTTAGCATCATATGTGTAATTACATAATCTACATGTTCTGAAAAAATGAAAAGGATATGTGAAAAAATCACAAAATGAGAGCGTTTTTATCAGAATATATGGATCGCCCCTTGTATAATAACATTAAAAAATAAATTTGATATTTATTGGCAAAATGAATATCCGGAGGATATCGTAATGATATACTCCGGGCGGAGGATATCATGACGATATACTCCGGAAAACCAAATATGCGGAGGATATTGTGATGATATACTCCGCTTGTTGATTTCCCGCCAAATTGCCTCTATTTGGCATGGAATTCATTTTGCAATGATATTATACATTTAGTACACTCCTTGTAAGTGTAGGATAATAAGAACATCCTATGATTTTTTCAGAATATCATTTTAATCTACTCGGTGATATTGATATATTCACTCGTTCGCTTCGCTCTCTCGTGCAGATATCAATATCACCTCGTAGATAAAAATGATATTCCTCAAAATCATAGGATATCCTATAAATATTCACCTCTATGGAAAGAAATATTTGTAAAATATTTATCCATACCTTGGGTGGTAGAGGGACACCTAATCGTTCTTGTTCTTCTGGGTCTAGTAGAACGTAATCCACCATTGCCTTTTTCACTGCACCTCTGTAGTCATCTTCCATTTCCTACGATGAGAAGATAGTAATAATTGACAGCCTCAAATCAAGTCAAAATGCATCATGTTTCATCAGATAGCATATCAATGAATTAAACATTAATATCTGGGAATAAGTATATAATATCATATGTTTATATTTCTTTACTCTGACTGATCAGATAAAATATCGTTTTAGTCTAAGAATAAATAATAGGGCTCCCAAAATGTGTGGTCAAAAGATTCTGAATAAATAATAACTACTATATAACATTCACGAACCAGACCCCAAATATGTTTATCTCATTAATGTACAGTAATTTCTATGATTCTGAATTCATAGACTATTATTTGCATCATAATAAATTAACTTTTTCTGAAAGGCAATTTTACAAGTGAAATTAAGACTCATTCACAGTCTGTAGATTGCCTCAATTTAAGCCAGCCCATCAACTAATTTCAAAAGCCAAGTTTTCTTACATAAAACCTTTTTTATACTTCAACAGTATTTCAACACACTTACCTCTAGAAAGTCCTTAGTAGCACTTTTAAATTCTGTTCGCAATGATTTCTTCACGAATCTGTACATGCCTGTGATCCAGTCAGATTGTAGTGGTGCTATCTGTAGCGTGTCTATGGATTTGTCCACTAACTGCCAGTACCTAGACAACAGAACATGGGTAGAATTTCAATGGGTTCACTACACAGGGACTAACAAGACCTCATCATTTTGTTTCCCTATTAAGCTGATTATGCAATTGGGTTTGCTAATACACATGTACTAGCCCCTTGTCTTAGCTATGTAAAGCTAGCCATACACCAATGGGACATGATGGGACATCAAAGGAGTAATTGAGTACAATATTTTCATGGGACATGAAGGGACAAGTTCGGACATTCCCATGTGACATCTTTGGGACATCAGGGGACATTGTCCAGGTTGTTCCTTTTTGTTCTAAGTTGTCCCCGGGACATTGTCCAACATTGTCCGATTTTGTCCCAAGTTGTCCCTTTATGTCCCAAGAAAAGAATGGTTGGGACAAATCGGACAAAGGGACAAAGTTTACTTTTTGATTTCAATTGTTTCCATAATGCAGTGATCCAGAACTGATCATAACCAATCTGTTAACACAAATCTCCCCACCCATTGATACTCTATAGATCATTTGAGACATTACTTAGTCATAATGTGACATTGCCTCCAAAAGATGAGTGGACTTACCTTGGTTTATCTTCCTCAATGGGGGTAGAGGGTCGGGACAGACCAACTGTTGGGTGGTAAAATGGTGGGAAGACAACCTCTAAGCAGGCTGCGGTCAAGGCATCATATTCTCGCACAGAGCCGTCATCTTCTCCAGTGTCCGAATAAACTGAATGTTCGGGTGAACCAAACCCTGGAGAAAAGAAAAAATAAGAAATGTTGACAGACACCTGAGTGAATCCATAGGATCACTACCTGAGCCAATAAACTCAGCAAAGGCAGTTTTACTGTATTTGGAGTTACTATGAATTCACTGCATTTTTTCATCAAAAAATAGCAAAATTTTCAAAGATATCAGACTAAAAAATAACACATACATCCAAGTAAATAATATAATGTTATAGTAAAAAATAAAGGAAAAATATATTTGTAAATGAAAAACTAATTGAATTGCCCAATTCAGAACAAACCTACCTCCTCCATTCTGAGATTTTTCATGAACCGTTGGCATGGTAACAGACTGTCTACCAGTCTGAATGTAGCCTTCCACATTGTTATTATTCTCAAGTCCCCTTGGTGATTTTCCACTACCTTGGCGAGACTTTGCACTTCTGGGACTTGTTGATTTTGAGCTAGTGGGTCTCTGTGGCCCAGTGCTATGTCTTGGTGAGCTGGAGGGTCTGCTGTCAGTCCCTGTAATAAAAATGGATTTTTGAGACTTGGGTGAAAAAAGTTCAATGAAAACTAATGAAATGAATGAAACAGCATGTCAATACATGAACAACCACGAACAATGAAAAAAAATATTTCTTTCATCAGTCACGTTAATCTTTTATTACTGATATCACTGAGGACCAAGACATTCCAAACCTTGAAAAAATGCTCTTGGGTCAAGTATTTGACCGTGTCTATTATGGGTCAAATATTCAATATTCTCTCAATTCCCAAATTTTCTCAAAATTAACTCTGAAATTTCAAAAAACTGATTTTCACTCAATGGTATTATTTCAAACAAACAAATATTTTTGTAAAACCATACTATAAATTTCATTTTGAAGCACAACTCATTTTGACAGAGCAATATACATTTTTACTCCAATGTAATACAATCATGACAATATAGCAATGGTGTGTCTTGCATTAGTGAAGAGAGGCAATTTACTGATGGGAATTAATTCTACACAATGTCTTCCTTACTTACACAATAGGAAGCTTTGCATTCAACAAATTATATGCTTTTAGTTCAATTAAATAATAATAACATGTCACTCAGTTGTTTTTATGCCAATTTATTAAGCCCTTCCAAGAAGATGCATTCTCATGAATTATTTCTGCACTTATTGCTGCTTTTAATTTGGGACTCGTTGCTGAATAGTTTAGAAAAAGCATCAGTGACGTAGCCAGGAAGAAAAAAGCAATGAGGGGAATTTTTTTCTGAAACTTGCCCCCCTCCCAATAGGAGAACATGATGATAATCCTTATGTAATGAGATTGCGCATGATTGAATCAAAAATTGATGATTTAAGATTAAAAACCTATGAGTTATATAATTCATTTACAAACTAAGCAAACAAAAAAGCGACTATGCTAGCACATTGTCCGCCTCATCCTGGCAACACTAGAGGGGATGTTATGATCGATTTTGTAAAACTTGATTTTTTATCCTTCTGTTTTCATTTGTTTGTCTGTATTTAAATGGCAACCACAATGGTAAGGTCTACAAATATTTATCGATCAAATGTTGCCCCTTGTTTTTTATCAGGTTTTTAGAAGTTTGATATGACTCCAAGATGATTGTAAAAGGATTGAAGGTAACTTTGATCAATATGAAGCCCTGTTCTCACTTATCAAGCAAATAAAAGATTTGCATATAATCCATAATTAACGAGGGGTACAAATATTCTGACTTTGAACTATTGTGATATCAAATAGAGAAACCAAGTATCCTTTTAACCCTGTCTAAGTTTTGATTAATAGTCAGATTTGTTAAATTATATTTCAGTCCTAATCATCAAAAGGGGAAATCAACACCTTAAATATGAAGCCTGAGAATGCATTAATGAAACATTTTAAAAACCGTTGATCTTCAAGTGACATCCATTATTTCCAGCTTTAGTCATATTATCCTCCAAATATTGAGTCATATTTTTAATGTCTCCTGTTAATCTTTGCCATGCTTAATTTCCAAAACTCAAAGTACCGCATAGGTTACTCAAAGAAATACTGAGATTTTAATATTTTATACCTTTCTAGCATTAAGGTCAATAAAATCAACACTACGATTATAAGATTTGCTCATTAAGTGTCTTGCACTAAAAGTCACAATTGGGTTAGGTTTGGCAGTTCCCCTGTATTGTCACTATTGTCTTCTTAAGTATCTACCTATTTCTGTATGTGGTTCCAAGTTAAGCTAGACAACAATAGCTTGAACTAATAATTATACTCCGTTACAATATTTCTAAGCATTGGTCAATGCAATTATTGGATTTCCAACAGCTTCATTAAGAACTGCCGAACCTATAGTTTTGTATGCAAATAAAGTAGTATTCTGCCCATTAGCGTCCAGGCATGACCATTAGTGTACAAGCTTGACCATTTTATGACCATTAGCATTCAAGCATGGTCACTGGCATATGAACATAACCATTAGCATTCAGGCATGACAATTAGTGTCCAGGCATGACAATCGGCATACCTCTTAGTACACAAGCTTGACCAATGGCTTTCTGGCATGACCATTAGTGTCCAAGCATGACAATCAGCATATAGGGTCTCTTAGTACACAAGCTTGACCAATGGCTTTCTGGCATGACCATTAGTGTCCAAGCATGACAATCAGCATATAGGGTCTCTTAGTACACAAGCTTGACCAATGGCTTTCTGGCATGACCATTAGTGTCCAAGCATGGGTCTAGGTGGTTTATCAAACTGTTTTTCTAAAACTCTTAGAATCTAAAGTTGGGTTAAACCTTGTATTGGGTTAAACCCTTGTGTTGGGTTAAACCGTTGTGTTGGCTTAAACCCTTGTGTTGGGTTAAACCCTTGTATTGGGTTAAACCCTTGTATTGGGTTAAACCCTTGTGTTGGGTTACACCCTTGTGTTGGGTTAAACCCTTGTGTTAGGTTGAACCCTTGTGTTGGGTTCAACCCTTGTGTTAGGTTAAACCCTTGTGTTGGGTTAAACCCTTGTGTTGGGTTGAACCCTTGTGTTAGGTTGAACCCTTGTGTTAGGTTAAACCCTTGTGTTGGGTTAAACCCTTGTGTTGGGTTAAACCCTTGTGTTGGGTTAAACCCTTGTGTTGGGTTAAACCCTTGTGTTGGGTTAAACCCTTGTGTTAGGTTAAACCCTTGTGTTAGGTTAAACCCTTGTGTTGGGTTGAACCCTTGTGTTAGGTTAAACCCTTGTGTTAGGTTAAACCCTTGTGTTAGGTTAAACCCTTGTGTTGGGTTGAACCCTTGTGTTAGGTTAAACCCTTGTGTTAGGTTAAACCCTTGTGTTGGGTTAAACCCTTGTGTTGGGTTAAACCCTTGCGTTGGGTTAAACCCTTGTGTTGGGTTAAACCATTGTGTAATTCAAGTAAATATCTATATAGCAGAAACTATATTAAAACCTGTATAAGTGAACACCTTTGGGGGCAGTTTCACTTCCAAATTATATTCATTCAATTATAAGTTATTTGGCCATTGGACTCACGGGTCATGAAGAGTTCCAATTACAGAGGCATTCCACTTTACAGGTTTTTCTGTACCAAATAATCTACTATTGACCTGCCACCTATATGAGTCACCGAACCCATTATTAAGTCCAAAAGTACAAGAAATATGGATACAGAGCAAACAGACTTTGTAATTAAAACTTGGTAACGATCTACCAATTAATACACTTCACACAGAGACTCCAAAGTAACTTAGCAATCTCTCGTTATGTCAAGCTGCCCTAAGAACATTATCGTTCAATTCAAGAAATTTTAATTGTCTTTCGAAAAATATAATTCATGAATATATTGTTTATGCTTATACAAATGACGAAATAACACGACCAATTTAAGGAATTATTCTTGAAATAAGATTTAGTTTAATGGGAAGGTAAAACAAAGGCAAATGGTTTAAATAGCAAAAAGACTAGACATACTAGATATATTGGAGCTCTTATTAGAATGATCTCATTTATTTGATCTATCAGTCTCCATAAATCTTAAATCTCCATAAATTTAGAAGGAAGGTCAATACGACCCACCTTATTTGCTCCTTATCAGAATGATTAAAGGTGCGTAGTAGCCATAACATCTAATCCTGTGAGCTATAAAGCATTGTCTTATACGCTTGTCACTATTGATTACCTCTTCGACAACAAAGATAGGCTCAAGCCTTAAAAGTTTACTTAAAGGAATATTCCATTGAAGGAACAAAAGTGCGTATAACTAATCTATAAGTCTATATTTTATTTATGGTAATTAAACTGAGCTGATAAAATGTTTCTTTGACAATTTGAGACTATCGATCAGTCATTCTTTTAGGTATAGGAAATGTTTTTCTTGTTTTCACCGGCACTTCCTGACACCTTTGAATCCAATTATCATATCATTGCTCTTGAGATTTACGGTTGTTCTTTGATTAAGCAAAGTCAATAACCATTCAGTATATGACACAAGACAAGGCATTGACATGCAGAATGTTACAACCTACCATTTGTTAGAGATGCCATTGTTACAGACAGTGACCACTGAACACCGAACCATCATCCACAAAAAGTGTGAAAATTAATAGCAATGTGTCACCATTTGTGGTGGTGACATGAAAATCAGGCACTATATTTTCACATTTATTTCATATTCAATATTCTATTACAAGGCCATGAAAGGTGCATTTAAGATTGTAAAGATCAGCTCACCATAATCAAAATTGTAAAACTATTTGTAATAGGTAGCATTTAACCAATGAGGATTTAGACTTTTAGTGCATTGATTAAGAAAACGCACAAAGAGCAAGATTTGGAATTACCAGTTACCATTACAAAACCATTATTGCAGAAAACCATAATTTCTTATGTCGTTGTATCAAAACACTAATTTTATTACACCTTCAATTTCAGTTATTCCCTTTTTTGTAGTTTTACAAGTATTTCTCAATTAATACACCATATGCCTACACGCATGGTATTTTAAAAGAATTACAGCTCTATACTATAGATTCTTGGTAGACTGGGAAATGTCATCTCATTGTGGCATTCTATTGGAGAAAACAATTGAAGTAAATACGATTTTCATCAGGTAATGGCAGAAATCAATTGAATCAGCTATGAGATGTTTAGAGAACAAATATATCTGGCATGCTTTCAGGATATCACAGACAGCCATTTAACCGTGATTAAATTCAACATTGTCTCAGGATTCTATATTAGGATGAAAATATGGTCACTAAACTCACCAAGCTGGCAATCAGTCCAATGTTACAGTATTTGCAACTAGTTTATTAAATTATAAGATACACAGGGATAAATTTTGCACTTTTTTCGAAAAATTCAAAATGGGTAGCAAACAATATTTACCAAGCATGCCCAAAACCTTATCAGATCTTGGCACTTATCTGCTCTTGTATCTGTAAAAATTTCAACTTGAACAGGAGTTTACCAGGCAGTTTTCCTGGAATTTTGACGACAAGATTCATATGGAACGTGCCTGTCTCCACCCACCCATCGACAGTACAAGACAGTGACAATTTAGCATTTTAAAAGTGTGATAAAAATACAGTCTACAGAGCACATACAAATTATGGAAATCAGATTTAATGGCATATGAGGTGAATGCCACAAAGAGCCAGGACAATAATGAATCATTTCCAAGTCAGGCAAATGTGTTTAGTTGCGGAAACATCATGCTAGCATAATTAACAGTAACGTATGATCTCTTGAAGTACCTGAATAGCAATCAAGTCTAGTTACATAAGCACTCACCTGGCAGGTACAAAAACTCGTTAACACGATTTAGTAGAATAAGACCCTGTAAGAAGTTTTCTTGTTCAAATTTATATTGGAATATTGATGTTTTATGAAAGATTAAATGCTAAGGTTGCTGAGATGTAACAGAATGTTCAAGATTCAGGAACATGATTTGTGCATTTGGTTTAATCACTATCTACGTGCCATACATCATTGTAACTTCATAAAACTTGCAAATAAATCATCAAACAGATTACATAATTCAGCTAAATGAGTTCCCTTTCATCTTCAAAGCAATATTCGAATTACATAATTTTTTAAAATCGATGTTCATGATACTGAAATGCTAGGGGTGTCTCAGGTAACCTTGCAACAAGTTGCTACAGCAACAGTTACCAATGTACATTGTACATAGTGTATCACCTAGTTTCTTGGCTGATGTAAGAAGTATACTAAAGTATTTATTGTGCGATAATTTGAGAAGTTATTTTTTTTATTTATTCATTTTTTATCTATTTGTATTTCCGTTTAACATCAGTGGTAAATGGACCAAAAAAGAATCAGCTAAAATTGATCAAAAGATTTTGCAAATACATGTTGATATAGATCTAACACATCAAATGACATCATGACTTACCATTGTTTCCATTCTGTTGAGTATTATCAGGTATTCTCTCGTGTATTGGAGTAGGACTGGAACCAATGGGAGGTAACGCATGGGAGTGACTATGAGTGTGTAGATCTGTATTCCCATTTACCCCATTGGATTGTGGGTAGCCATTGGATTGTGGGTACCCATTGGATTGTGGGTGTGAGTTTCCACCAATATGATGGTGACTGGCAGATCTTAATTTGGCAACGTCAATCCTTTCCGCAGAACTGGAATCCCAAAAATATGAATTTTTTTAAACAAAATTTGGATTCAGATTTTCGTTGAAATAATTGTTTTCAACTTAAGCCTTGGAAACTATTTAGAAAATTCCTAACAGATTCATTACATATTAAACATATTACTATTAACCTAATTGAATCAAATTTACAAGCCATGGCCAAAAATATTACATTTTAATGAAAATTGTTGTGATTTTCAATTGAAAAGCCATTTTGAAAATTCTTGGAATTAAATCAAATGTCAATACTGCAACAGTTTTAATGTTTTCAAGTTTTCATCTACATTTACATTTAAACCTACCTCTTTCTAATGATGACAGATTTTGGCCTATGCTCTCTGGGTTCAGGGGATGGGGGACTTGGGGGCTTGTAGTTCCTGGGGGACAGGATCTCTTCGGGAGCTGCAATGAAGAATTTTGTAATATTTTCATTTCAAATGGAAATTAAAAAAAACCAATAAATTTTAGCATTTCTGGATGCCACCTTGAATGAACCATTATGATTGATGTATTTTGAATAACTAACATAATTATGGTGCAGACAGACAAACAGAGAGACAAGTGGGCACTTCCATAGGCTCACCATGTGAGCCAAAAATAGCTACATTGATTTCAACCCTCACAACTTTGTGAGCTGAAATCAATACACTGACCTTATAGTATCTTAAGAGTGTCAAATGGATTTAATTCTTGTTCTTAAAGTTGATCACAGAAAGCTGCCAACTTTTAAAATTATTTTTGTTACGCTGCAATTTTTGAAATTATTTGTTAAACTACATTGTACAATTTTTCGTATTAATACACAGACACTTAAATATGAAAAGCTATTATTGTATAGATTATTTCCACACATTACAATCATCAAGTTTTGTTATGGAACGTAACAATAGTGCTATCAAAGTACAGTATGTGAAAGAATTGATTTCTTGGTATAATGTGTAATCACCACTCACAGAATCGAGTGTCTTTCATTGTGAATTATTCCAATGAAGAACAAATGCACTTTGATGGAGGTTTTGTCTAAGACAAACATTTTTTTGATATAGCTGTTCACAATTGTAGTGCAACTTGAAAAAGTATAGCTATTTCTGTTGACATACGTAGCTAAGAAAATATTATCTTTCGTTCTCTATCTTTATAAAAAAGATTCTTCACTATTTGGAGATTTGAAATATCAGATTCCGAACACAAAGTTTCCTTTGGTTATTGTTATATTTTGAAAGCTACCAAACTACTTTGGCCAGTATTTCTCTTTATAAAGTCATTCATTCTTTGATGTTTATAGATTTCAAACAAAAACTCAGATTTATTGGATTACAGTTTTCTTAACACCAAACTATTTGGTCATCATTTCTATTCATCAATTTTCCCCTCCATTCAGCCATAACCCAAGATAACCATCTCAAACTATCAAATTTACACAATCATATATTTTTTGAATAATTCCAATTTTGTGAATTTGTTACAGATGCCATTTGTAACAGACACCATTTGTTACAGACACCATTTGTTACAGATGCCATTTGTAAGACACCATTTGTTACAGATGCCATTTGTTACAGACGCCATTTGCTACAGACGCCATTTGTTACAGACGCCATTTGTTACAGACGCCATTTGTTACAGACGATATTTGTTACAGATGCCATTTGTTACAGACACCATTTGTTACAGATGATGGATGGCGAACATGAACCATTGAACACTGACCACCAAACACCACCTGCCAAACACAAACCACCATCCACAAAAATATTAGAGACTATAACAATGTCACCACTTTTGAGTGGTGGCATAAACATGAGGAGGGTAACCTTTCCTCATTCTGAACCACCGTGTGTAATATTTTCACCTTGGCAGAGAGATTCTGTTATTTGTTTAAGGTTTTCTTTATGATAGATATCCCGAAGGTCTTTTGTTCAATACAATATGTATACACTTCTATAAACACAAATTGAGGTGTATATTACTTGGCAATGCATTGTAAATCAATGTATCAGGCAAAGGGATATTTGTTCGTATTCCATTGATTGTTGAAAAAAATCACAAGAATGATGTCCATGAAAACACTGTGTTATTATTTTTAGTCAGGTAATCTTTGACGGAAGGTTATGAAAATACTTTAACATTAGAAAACCTAACCTTGGGGTGTCAATAAGGCAATTATGAAGGAAGGGCTACATACTGATTTATAATATGATTAAGGAACAAGTGAAAATTCCTTAAACAATTTCACTAACCCTCAGACTTCCTTATTGAGTTATAAAACCTTATAAAACTTTGAAGATAAATACTCAATTTTTATTTATAATACTATATATTGAGCTCCCATATCATTCAAAATTCAAAACGTTATTAGAAAAGCATTTCTTGGATCGTATTTACAAGAATTATAATATCACAGACACCATTTGGGATGAAGCGTATAACTGTAAGTTACTGTTTTGTTTGGAAATTCAGGGTGGTAACTGTATATAACATTAATACATATATAGCAGTGATCTCCCTAGGATTTTTTCTCAAGTGGGTGCAAAATTCGTCAGACCAAAATTGGTCAAAATATGCCAATATTTCATGATTTTTCTCATTTACAAGTGAGTGCAAATGGATTTTCAGGTGGTTGCAAGGCTGTTTTCAAAACCTCAGGTGGGTGCTGTGCCCACTTGCTTTAATGGTGGGGAAACAACTGTATAGTGTATAAAATATCACATTACTTACTTTTTGTGTTTTTGTATATAATTGTTTGGCATTTCAGAGTGGCATCTGTATATAACATTAATAGTGTATAAAATATCACATTACTTACCAAATTTTGTGTTTTCGTATATAATTGTTTGGCATTTCAGAGTGGCATCTGTATATAACATTAATAGTGTATAAAATATCACATTACTTACTTTTTGTGTTTTTGTATATAATTGTTTGGCAATTCAGAGTGGCATCTGTATATAACATTAATAGTGTATAAAATATCACATTACTTACTAAATTTTGTGTTTTCGTATATAATTGATGTTGTTATTTCTTTGGCTCCTAGACTGTAATTGTTGGCAATGGAGTCACTAACATGTCGGTGGTACTTCTGTTCCTTTAAAGGGGCCGCCAAAGTCCAAGACCCACGCTGTACTATCTTAGGCTTCTCACTGTACGATGGCTGGAATATAATAAAAATATAAAATAAATAATAATATAACAAGGCATTAACATGCAAAATGTCACCACCTGACATTTGTTTTAGATTTCTGAGCTGAACACTGATCAAATGGCGAACACCTTCCACAAAAAGTTACAGATTATAATAATCATCCTCCGATCAAAGGGCTTCAAAATCCAGAATACTTTTTTTACCCCCTACGATAAGCAGTTAGCATTTCCCCGATTAAGAACTCGCAATTTGATTCGCTAATCATGGATACATCATTGGCGCATAATTAGATCACTGGATTCGGTTTAATTGAGCGCTTCCTAATTGGTTATTGCAGGGGGGAAGAAGGAGGTACGGATTCTGGACACCTGCTTAGGAGGATGATAATAATATGATACCACTTAATTATGTTGGTGGAGAATCAGAATAAATATGTATTTTCATGTGACATATATATCTCACTTAAGTATTGAACTCTACTTCTGAAAAAGAACAATTTGGTTAACATTCACTGATCAGTGATGTCATCTATGCACCTTTATATAAAATTAACTATACAATTGTATAATTAAGACTTGCAGTGTTCATTCACTTTAGAATCCAAAACTGAAGTATGTGTTAAAGGTCTGAGTTCAATTAGGGGGATTTTCATTCAAATACACCTTAGTCTTATTTTATTTTCTATCATCTGTTGAATTATATGTAATTTTGTATAAAAAGATATCAGTGAATATCAATTTATATTTAGATATGCGGCTAAAATTACGGGCTAAAACAATTTTATAAAGTATAACATGTCCTTCCTTCTACACTGCACAAGCTCTGTGCTTAACAATACAATGAAAAAGCCAAGGGTACTGTAAGTAAACAAAATCAACAAGGTCCTTTTCCGTATGTCCGGAAAGCTTGGCAATACAACAAACCCCTTTCTCCCTCTTTATTGCCACTATAGGTAAGATTAACATAATCAGATTACCTCTATACATTATCCAGAACTGGCCATGTGGGGTTAATCTCAAATAGTATATAGAATTTTGGTTAACTTTACAATTGAAGTTGAAAGCTGGTGTAATATGAAATTGTATATTCATGTTCTTGAAATAAATTAATTGTATACAACTTTGAATTGGTGATATTACTGAAATTGAATACCATATTTGGAAGTGGCCTACAATGCTCCACAAACATCTTGATTTTCAATTTCTTTAAGGGTTATGCCAAGGGCGTTACAATACCCGGGAATTTATCGGTTCGTGCAGTACTTGTTTGTGATAGCGCCCTCTGTAGGTCACTGTGCTTATAGCCTACAGTAATACGGGGTAGGATATCGGGAATTCGGTCAGTTTCTATCCGTCGATTTCGCTATGAATTGAAGCAAGTGTGACCACTTTATCCACTTAAACAATTTGATAATTGATTAAATATTTAAACAAAATCGATAAACACGTTATACACTTCCTATCTCCTTAGAAATTAGCATGTATTTATGGATTGTGTTTTCGAACAAGGCTCGACCCAAACCAATAGGGAAATCCTTATGCTAATTAGTATGACGTCATATTTTCCTGGGGAATCCTAGATTTCAAAGCCTCAGTCTGTTATTGTGTCAAATGTAAACGCTCTTTTGCAGACAGAAAATTGACAGTATAGCTTTTAACTTTCAGCTTTGATGTTTAAATATTCTGTATTTCTGCCGGACTTCTTGCTGAATATCATATAATGTTATAACTTGATTTGGATCATTGCCTGATTGCTCATTCTGAAATTTCGATTGTGATTCATGATTGATTGGCAAGAAAAATAATTCCTATTGTTTTCCAGCGAAGTCAAAATGTTACAGCATGAGTTATAATGTCGAGTTTGCATCATGTTAAATTCTGCTAGTGATTAGAAGTCTATGCACAAGCATACACATAAGAGACAAACACACCCAGGCTCCAGGCCGTGGATGGAAATATAAAACTATTTAAGGCACAAACTGGTATTAATAGACCGATATGTAGTGTCTGCCATGTATTGAAGGTAAACCAATCTGCATTATTAATGTTTCTTCTATCAATACATGGATTGTGCAATGGAAAAGCAATGGCACAATCAAAAATGTGCATATCAATCGTGAATATCTCTCGGTTCAAAGCTTATTTCCAACAGAATTGTGTCAAAATATGTGTCTGAGTAACAGTTATACATTATAAGATCGCAAACTCTCACCAATTATCAGCCGAATGGCTCATTTTCAACGAAATGTCCTTAAGACATCAGCCCTGGGTCGCGCCTAAGACCAAAAACTATTTCAAATAGCCCTCCCCTAATTATATTGGATAATCACATTTATGCGTGCGCCGAAGCTCATCCACTGAACGAAACGCCACTTCCCGCTGAAATCACCGGGTATTGATCTTTCCCTTGGTTATGCTACATCATTATTAGACATGTAATTAGAAAATTGTTTAAATCATTTAGCATTCTAATTTAAATTAAATGCGAAATGATTTAAAAAATGTTGTAATCACATGTAATGTTTAAAGTACATTGTTTTCTATTTCCCTTTCATAAGTGTAATATTTTATATTCTGAAGATGTTTCAGTATCCTGAAAAAGAAGCATTAATCTTTTACTCCGTTTTATGCACTTTGAAATTGTAAAAATATAAGAAGTTAACTTTTATAATAAAAATATGTATTGTATATGTAAAGGAAGTATATACACCATGATATAATTATCATACTGCATTTCTGAAATGTTTCTGCAATAAAATAGAAAAATGTTCTTCTGTTTTAATCTTCACACTTTAATGATTTAATGCATTATAATCTCAGGTTTCATATAGGATTTAACAGATGATTGATGAGCAATGATAACAATACAGGGATAAAAGGCACTTTTCATCATAAAAATACAGATAAAAGGCACTTATCATCAGTCAAGTATTATCCCTTTGTAGTTGAAATGACTTAATTATATAAAAGCTTTGAAACAAGTTGTCCTAACACAGTAACAGCAAGAAAAGCAAAACTTGTTTCTCAAAAAACAGTCACATATTGAAGCAGGGCATTAACATTCAAAATGTCACCACCTGCCATTTGTTATGGATGCTGAACACCAACTGCCAAATGCGGATGACCAACCACCGAACACCATCCACAAAAAAAGTGGGAGACTATAATATGTCATCACTTCTGGTGGTGACATAAAACATTGAACACCTGCTAATTTGAACACTTTTGGCCAATCCAAGTAGTGTTCACATGAGACAGATTTTACTGTATGTAATGGTAAAATGCATAAACTATTAAATCAATTATCTTGATCAAATACTTTCAGATATATGCTTACATGTATTTGCAGCTTCGCCATAGGAGCTTCTAGTAAAGATGGAAAGGGCACAGAAGATAAACTCCCGTTAAGGCAATACAAAAATAAAAAATATTACACTGTGTCTAGTCCATTATTTATGGTTTACGAGAAAAAACTTATTAGAAAATAAATGCATCTTCTTTTAATTAAAAGAGAAAGTAGACAATTACCTGTACAGCGCTGAGTGGTGGAAGATGAGAGATACAACTAGGGCGATGCTGGGCCTCAAACTCGTTACACTGAGCTATCATCGCCCCTTGGTAGTTGTTATTCTGAAAGACAATTTTTATATTTGTAAATAAGTTCATTAGGGAGATATGATATTTTACTTTAATTCATTGTTTTTGACATGTTTGAAATTGCATCTTATATGATTGTACATTGTATATTGTACAAAGTACAATGTGATTGCACATTGTATATTGTACAAAACATCTTACAATCATATACGTATAAAAACAATAAATTAACGTATGTTTCTTAAAACAGTTTATTATTATATGAATTTTTTTTTTAAAAGTTCTCCACTATTTGTGATTCTACCTTTAAATGAGAGTTTTATTTTTCCCAAGTGAACATGCTTCAAAGAATATAATGTAAAAGGGTTAGACATAATAGTGAATTAAATGAGGATACATTGAAATCATAGATTCAAACAACTGCGCAAGAACAGGAAAAAACAGCTCTCCGATTTTTGGTTTCTTGCAAAAATAATAAGCCAGTAATCAGGAATCAAACTTCTAGCAACAAAATAACAATCAATAATAGCAGAAAAGAAATACTTTGGTATCGTGTTCAAAGTAATTACAAATATTGTAACACTCTCGGGTCTTTATGTTCCATAGATATTGATCAAGTGCTAATTTGTTAATGTTTCTGCGATGAAAGAAATAAGACATAAACTGTTGAGAAGTTGAAGAATATATCCCACATAGATCATGTAGATATGCCTTTTTGACACATTAGCAGAAATATTTCTTTGATACATTTTGCACCATCATTTTGATTTTCAAAAAATTCAAAATAAGAAACTGATTATCAGAAAGTTTGTATTGTTTTGTTTTCATCAAGGAGTCTTAATTTGGAGTCTGTTTCACTGACATCAAGTGTCTCAACTTAAAAAATATGACCACCCGGGCCCATAGCCAGAGGAGGTTGTGGGGGTCCAGCCCAAAATTCTCTCAAATTCACACAGGTTTTCACCATTCTGAGCACTTTTCAAGCGATTTTGGGCAAATTTTGTCAAATGTGAAGTTGTGAACCTTTGACCAAAGTTGGCACCCCTCCTTCAATGAACATGATATGGGTACTTGGTTCATTCCAACACAATTAAACACAACAGTAAATCAATTGTAAGTGGTAATAAGTGGTAAAAATGTAATTTATAATATTCATCTCGGTTCTAAACTAAACTAAACTTGATTTGTCATCATGGTCAGATTCTGTAAAAAACTGATAAGGCAAGAGGTATTCCACTTAAAGATATGCTTTGACACATATACAGTAATACAGTATGAGTGTCTCAGTATGAGATCATGAGTTCAACAGTAATTAATTGGCAGATAAAACGAGAGAGTGATCTTTACAGAAGTGGTAGCTGTATGAGAGAACTATTAGAAAATGAGGATAATCATAAAAATTTACATACATTTTCTAAGTTGGTCAGAACTAGCATGAACAATTGCATCCACTGTAGAAAAAGTTATGAGAGAACATGGAATTTGGTAAATATTTGTAAGATGATGAAGTCTTAATTTGTGGATGGTGAAGTTTATCTACTCCAGTCATGAAAAATTTTGAAATTTTAACAACACTAAAGTTATGACCTCCATATTGAAAAATGAAAGTCAAATCAAAATAGAAAGTTCAAAATTGCAGTAACTCACCTCTCGAATTGCCATATTTGGTAATATTCCACTTAATCCTCGCTAATATATCATAGCTGATGCTAAACTCCGTGTCAACGTTGTAAATCCATTATTTGGTGACATTTTCTCTCTTTATTTTAGTTCGAATTTTGCAGTTCCTATTTCTATATATAAGTGTACCTTTTCATATGGTAATGACTTACTATAGCGACTGTACACAATAGCATTAAAATGGCTGACAGCCTTTTAACACCAATAAGGCCAATACTTAAGACTCCGATAGAAAATACAATGAGTTGAGTTAATTAAATCTAAAATTCATTATGAACAGCAATCAAAATAATAACATTGATATTTAATGCTAAAAATAATCTTATTAATGATAATATATCTTTAAATAAACAATAATCACATATATTAAATTATAGATGGTTTCTACTTCTCACCTGTTAGATGTGTTATCTGTTGACAGATTGCGGGAACTAACATTATGTTAGCAATATATAGATATTAAGGAGCTCTTATACCGTTAACATAAAATCTTCATGAGCATTTTTAACATTAAATATGAACATGTTCATCTATAATGAACTTCATATTCACACAAAATATTCAGTATTCACAAATCTAAACCATAATAGATTTGTATTGATGCAATGTACAATTACGAAAAGCAACTGATAAATACAATTGTATACAATTATTTTCGCAAAGGATAATCATTAAATTCCAAAGACACAATGACATTACTAATAACTTACTATGATAAGGCATGCATTTCAAACCATTCAGTGATAAGGAAATATCAAAACTCTTTCATGTTCTTCAATTTGTGCACCATTAATATACCACTGGAAAGATCCAGAGGAAGGTAAAAGAACATCCATGTGGTATAAAAGTATTTAATTTGACTGAAATTGATTGCCATAATCCCCAAAAATAAAATAATAAAGATGCGTGACTCTTTCAATAGATTAATTTAGATATATCACATGTCTGTGCAATTCTTTTCTAGAAGCAATGAGACTTATTTCTATGTAGTACAAAGGAGGGCATTGTTTTCTATAGGATTATTTCCCCCAAGACAAACAGAGAACATTAGTTCAACATGCAAGCAAACAAGCTACTCTAAACCAGAGAGTTGAAGTACTTTACACACTGGCTTACTGACTGAATAATGTTCATCAAGATTCAAGTACTTCTTTCCAATTTAAAGTAGATCCGCGTGCTGAGAATTTAATATCATTTTCATTTCCAATATATAATGAAATTTTTATGCGGATATTTACATATTATGGTAGCATACAAAGTTCAAATTGAAATGAAATGACACTGCATTTGTAACCTTTTTTATGGAAGTGCAGAACTACTAACTCGGAGACAAGCAAAATGCCACAACCTGCCATTTGTTACAGATGCTGAGTGCCAAACACCAACTGCTAGATCCCAAACACCAACCACCAAATACAAAAAATGTTGCGTTGGTGACATAACAATTACTTGATCTGGGACGAGAATATATCACATCAGACTCTGATATCAGAGTATCATGACATTACATTTTCTGCCTATAAGTAGCTATCTTCATAAAAACTTCACAAAAGACCTCTAAAGAATAAAGAAAAAGGCGATATAATCATCTGTCAAAGTCAATGTGTAGTGTAGGTAGCGGAAATTAAATTTAAAATACAGAATTAAAATCATTGCTCTGGCTGATATGAAAAAAATCAAAATAATTTACGAAGAATTGCTCTGGCATATAGTCCCTCAATCATTTCAGAAAATTGTTAAATCTCGATAAAAGAGACATATTAACAATGATATCTGTTATCCGCCGTATTTGGTTGATATATAGAACATCGATCCCATTTCCAACTTTCATTTCATGTATTATTCAAAATGTGTGATAGACAGCATTATTAAGTAATAGTTGGCACATTAAACAATCTATAAAATGAATCTATCTCTGTAATTACAGGATATATACTGCATTGCATGCTATCCAAGGTATACAGCATATCATAATAATCCACTTACAGATAGGCGGTATTGCACTAGGTGATAAGGCGAAGATTTATAAGACCTATTAAACCCGTTGCAGTGCATGAATGTAATTTTGCCCTTATAGAATAGGATTCCAGATCATCATTTTTCTATTAAAAAGATAATTAAGTTCTTCTATTGAACCCAGTGGCAAATCACATGTTGTATGGTAAATGCATATTGAATTATGGTAAGAAAAAGGGATTTAGCACTTAGCAGACACTTTACCTGTGTGTGTACCATGCCACTTTAAGAATTACCATACAAAATGTCACCACTTGCCATTTGTTACAGATGCCAAACACCAACTGCTGACTCCGCCACAAAAAGTAAAAGACTATAGTATAACAATACCACTTGTGGTGGTGACATAAAGATGATACCTTTGTACTTAGGCTTTATCATGATTGGGTGAGAGTGTATATACATGTACATGTACATTGTCACCCAAGATTATAGCTATTAATAAATGGTCTTGATTGGCCAGTAACTTTAATCCTGGCATATATACGAAAAATCTCTACCAAATATGCCACCTTATCCAGTATTTACAGGCATTTACCAACTAGAACATATTGAGAAGGAACAAGGGGACAACAATACACCCCAATCCGCACTCTAAAATCATGGTACTGAATGGTACATTAAAAGTATGGTACCGTTGGAGTATAGTGCCGTACAGTGTGGCTGATTTGGGTAGATAACATGGCAGGGTATTAGAAAGTTCCCTTAAACTTGAATATTCATCAGTTTTAGAGGTTTAATTTTCATATTACCCCTAAAGCCAATTCAAAATATTATCTGTCAAATACAAAATATTTCAATATTTCACTTTTGTGATTTTTATAACTTGGGGTCTATGGGAATCTCCCCAACCTATAAGTCACATTTTCAAAGGAAATTAAATTTTCAAAGTTGATAAACACTTTTTATTATTTTACATGTGGATTTTAATATGATATCTCTTTTACTGAATTTTTAATTTTTAATGACTTAAAGGAATATTCCTTGCCAGACCCTTTCTCTCTTGATATGGTAGCTATAATCATATATATAGTTTCCATATTTAGCAAAACATGGGAAAATGTTTTAATATGGTCAATATTGATCATTTAAAAATCTAGTGCTTATTTCCAGTGAGCTGCCATCTTTTAAGATTTCTTGCAGGAAGTGATGTCATCAACTCTCAACTTCCATAACCTTGCCCATAACAGTATAGGAAAGTAGCACAAAATCACTTCTAGACAAGTGATCATTACTTTCTGTGCAAAAATATTTTCAGGGCTTGTCAACTTAGAATAGAAGAAGAGATTTTCAGAAGGATTAAATAAGATACAAAGTTGAAAAAGAATATCTAGCGGGTTTTGTAATTCTTAATAGCTCCTCACCTAATGCTATATGCAAAGTTGAGAGTCGATGACATCACTTCCTGTGTGAAATTTTAAAAGATGGCAGCTTACTGGAATTGAGCATCACATTTCTAAGTGATCAAATTTGACCATATTAAAACATTTTTGCGTGTTTTGCTAAACATGGCAAGCATATATATGGTTATAGCTACCATATGAGGAGAGAGATGATTTGGCAAGGAATATTCCTTTAAAGTCCCCATCTAAAGTTTAAACCACTTTGGCTTATATTGTAGTCTTACCCAATGTTATCAAAGTGTGATATGTGAAACTTTTTTTTTAATTCCAAAAAGTGGTTTTTGATAGACTTTTTGTTCCAAAATTTGTGAATTTAATTAAAGCTAACTTTTAGAGGTCACACATATATTTTAATTAGCCACAATTCATACCAATGCATAGCATTCATCCTCCCATGTTTTTTGCCGAATAAATGAAGAAAATCGGTTCATAAATAAGCGAGAAATGAACTCATCAGTGCATGAAAATGGTTCCGAGAAAAATGCATTTCAAAATTTTAGTTCTCATAGAAGCCAATGGTACAATGATATCTAAAACATAATATATTCTTCCTTTTAACCTGGTTAGAGAATTAGCATTGGTTTATTATTGAAGTCTAGCATATTTAGAAAAGATTGACATCTAAAAAAAATGAATTTTTTTCAAAAGTTTTTGTTACCTTAGTGACATCACTAATGTTGCAAAATATTTTTGATGTGCTAAAACATGGAAGTGGCCCATTAAATATGGCATTTTATTATTGAAATAGAGTGTCCTTTATTCAATCTTTGCATTGGTGTTGGTGTTGGTGTTTTTTGAAATGCATTAAGAAATATTTGATGATTAAAATAATTCAACTTTTTTTGAAAAATGGCGGAAAATTTGAATATATGAGAAATGAAATGCTTTTTCAAAATTTTTTTTTTCCAAAAATCTCTAAAATAACTTTTTAATTCATGACAAATAGTAAATGAATGATAAAAAAATATTTTCAAACTTTAGACGGGGACTTTAAATGAAGATTATCTACTCGCATCTAGTCAATTCTTATTGGGTTTGGTTATCTAGCCTTAGGACTAATTAGAAACATGAAAAAATAACTTTTGTCATGAATTAAAACATAAATCCTCAGCATCGACTTAATACAACTGTGTAAACTGTATACCCTCTAAAGTTTTAGACATTCTACCTTAGAATTAATAGTGGCAAATTGCAAAATAAGATTTTTATCTCAGCAAAATTACCATGAATAATGAACCACCTAGTACCTAAAACACAAAAATTGAGGAAACTTTTCATGAAACTAGACAAACATCGATGAAATTTGGATATTTACAATGTACCATTACTTAACATTTTCTGAGAAAAATTTGAAAAAGACACAAGACACTATTGCACCCTTGAATAGAATAGACAGTTTTGGGGATGAAAAATTCAAAATGGTCACCTCTACATTCACCCAATCCATTATAACATCCATGAAATATGTAGACAAGACTTAACAAACAAAATTTTAGCATAATTCTGATCCATAATGCCCCAAAAGCTGTTCATTGCTAGACTTAAATAGAAAGACACACAAATACCTGGCAACAGATCCTAATATAGCACTAAAAGGTGCGATAAAAAGGATATATAAGTTGGCGATTCCATATATAGATCCCAAAAAACTTCTATTAGAAGCCTTTTTTCCCAGAACTTATTGATCGCCCTGGTATATAGTAATTTGCTGCTTTTACTTGGTAAGAGGTATTACATAAAAGAGGCATTAATAAATGAAAGCTTAGATAAACAGATGAGTAATTACATACTGATTGGATATTAATTATTCAACATTGTGAAAGTGCACTACAATACAATAGGCCTCAGTGGTATTCACATTACTGTTAAACCTATTTTAGTCAAACACCTATGTGGTAATACAAATGTAAATCTGTCTGTCTTGTTGAAATATAGGTCTTATAATTGAAATAAGTCAACCTTCAATTTGTTACAGAAGTCAATCGCTTTATAAAATATTGTAAAATTGTTGGTATATATAATTGTGGACATAGTGTACATTCTAGTTTTAAATCAAATTTTTCAAATTTTTGTACCGAGTCAATGTGAACAATTCAGTCAAATGATTGGTAATGATAAGTACTCAACAAGGCATTAACATGACAAAATGTCACCACCTAAAACAATTTGGTCAATTTAAAGCAAGTTGGAAAATACCTTTTGACCTTAAGAAGGTTTGATTTGAACTTCTTAGAACATGTAGATGAATTTGAAAAAAAAATTCGTCAATTTGAAGCAAGTTGAAAAAATACCTCTTTGACTTTTTTTGACATTGAGAAGGTCATTGAAGGTCAAATGTCAAGTCAGATTTGAACTTCTGAGAACATGTAGATGATTTTGAAAAAAAAATTAAGTAAATTTGAAGCAAGTTGAAAAAAGACCTTTTTGACCTTGAAAAGGTCATTGAAGGTCAAATGTCAAATCTAAAGTCAGATTTGAACTTCTGAGAACATGTAGATGATTTTGAAAAAAATTAGTCAATTTGAAGCAAGTTGAAAAAAGACCTTTTTGACCTAGAGAAGGTCATTAAAGGTCAATTGTCAAATCTAAAGTCAGATTTGAATTTCTGAGAACATGTAGATGAGTCAGATTTGAACTTCTGAGAACTTGTAAAGTCAAATTTGAACTTCTGAAAAGATGTAGATGATTTTGAAAAAAATTGAAGTCAGTCTAAACAGTATTTGTTAAGTTATAGGAAGTTGTAAGAAATTGTTACAGACGCCGGACGCCGGACGCCAACCTCCAACCACCGTCGCAAAAAAACGGAGACCATAACAATATGTCACCACTTATGGTGGTGACATAAAAAGTGTTTAAACAGAGGTGTTCACGTTGAATAGGTTTTTTACTTGCAGAAGTGTTTCACTTGGAGGTGTTTGACTGACACAAGTGTTTGACCTGGAGAAGTATATAAACATTGTCTTTCATAGGGGATGTTTCACAGCATATGATTTGGATATTTCTCACAGCTTCAAATATAAATGCACTTAACAACTTTTTGTTTTTAAATATGATAAAATGAATATGTATTCTACAATAAAATACACTATGCAGATTTGCTACCATCAAATACAATATTTTACAACTAAAGTATTTGTAAACAATATTTTCTAACATACAAATACAAGAAACAATCAACTCTTGCCTCTATCACAAGATTTAAAAAAATTCAATCTCTGCAATCGTAGAAATAAATAAGATTGCCAATGAACCTGTATTATTTCCTTTTTTATTTTTAGACTAGACAATAAATAACCATTTCAGTCATAATGTATGAAAAAATATTCCGATCACTTGATTTTAACCCTACCAAAAAGTAAATGGAATCACACGTTTGGTTCAGCCCTCCTAAATGTAGACTTTAATTCTATATAAGAAAGAATACAACATTGAAGCCGACACTCATCTGACATACATATATATATCGAATATCTATCTAAAATTCAACATAATTATTCTCCTTTTTGACTAAATGAATATTTACAATGACAATACACATGATTGAATGTACAAATGTAAAAATTGTACTTTTTAAACTGTTCTTATTCTTTGTTGTTCTATGGTCCAACAGTCCTGATATTCACTGAAGTGTTGTTGTTTCCAAAATCTCATTTTACCATACTTGGATTTAACAACAGTCCTGATGCTCACCGATTTGATAAAGTTTCCAAAAACCTCTTTCTACAATGCTTGGATATCATAGTTTTTTTCATAAAGTCCATAAAAGTATGCAATACCTTATATAGGCATATGTAGTGCAAAGGTCATTTCCAGTTCCAAGAATCAACAATTAACATGAAAACTTCGTAACACAACATAAGAACATGCATTATTTAGCGTCCTGGTTTGACGGGGCTTTTTGTGGGACTCCCTGGCTTCTCCGGATAGGCAGTCAGGTCTAACGTTAAAACTTTACTGACGACGCACTCTCCCCCTTGCTGTAAGTAAAGTGTTAGTACATGTCAATAATTTGTTTAATATCATACAGTGTTCTCCCATCACTATGACAATTAGGTGAGAATTTGATAACAAGCTTGTATCCAGTTCAAAATTTGAAAAATTATGATATATTTTGACCAGCCTGGACATTTCTTAATCCAAGATTTACTGACTAATTTGCCCATCATTGTATTACATGATTTAGTTCTACTTTTGGTTCAATTTTGCACCCAATTGGCGAAATGTTCTAGTGAGAACACTGTCATATGTTGATTTAATTTGATTTTCTGCATGCAAATCATTTTAACAATAGTTGATGTTTTACTCTAAGTGGTATTAAAGGGGCACAATCTTGTGTAACACATGCACTAAAATCTATACTACCTTATTTATAATTAACCATAAGTACAATACAAAAAGCTTATACTGAATCATAACATGGCTTAAAATGAAAAGAATTTTAGCCTACTTCATGTACATGGTTTTGAGCATTACACAATCAAAGACGACCTCCCCCAAAAACAGCAATCATTTGATTCGCTTCACACTAAATGCTGCTAGGCCCCCTTATTATATAAAATCTGCTGAGCTGTTTTGAAAAATCTAGGTTTACATTTCAAATTGTGACAAATTCAAAGTTCTTCTTTTTAAAATCATGAAATGGAAACAATTCATTTCCATCCACTCAATATAAATAATTACAGATGCAAAAAGCATCAACTTTGTTTATAAGCCATATTATAATATACATTGTTGCCACAACCTTTAAAACAGATCCAAGTAAGAAATCCCCTAGGGAAGTGTATATATTTTAGAACTTCCTTTCAGTTTTCCTCACTTCATATATTTTTTCAGATTGTGCTCGAATTTTGATCTTTTCAAAATTTCACTTATTCCAAATTCCATGAGTTTTCTTTGATTCAAAAATTCCCTGGCCATATAAGCCTTTGAGAGAATTGTGAAATTCTCAGACTTTCTAGGCCAGGGTTAACAAGACTGTAGCAACCTTGTATTATATTCACAGATCTTACCTCTGGATATATGCCTATGAGTGAGTCAGCTCTGTTATAGAACTCTTCTTTTAATGAGATTACGATACATTGGAAGGCAGACACAGATTGGTCGCAGATATATGACGCTACCTAAAAAGTTAAATAAATATGTTGATATGATTCATTATAAGAGGCAACCATATTTTCATTGCAAAGGCTGGACTTATCTTTCAATAATGATTATTTGATTGAGAGCCTATCCAATCAAAATGTGTACAAAATGCTGTTAAAACTATGTTTAAGCTCACAAAAATCAAATAAATTTGAAGAACAGTACTCAAGAGGGTTGAATTGTACTGTTAACCTCTGGACTAAAGGGTATTTAAAAGCACATGTACATATATAGCTTACCTTTCCTATATTGGTGTTATCAAGGGCAGCATCGATCTCATCAAGGACAAAGAAAGGAGCTGGTTTATAGCTGAAAAATATACACATACATGAACTGTACATACTCGCTTTATAGATTCAGCAAATTACCCCATGCTCTCTGATTGGTACGAGAATGATGTTAAAGTGATGATAGAAGTTAAGTTTTAAGGTTTTAAGTTCTTTAGACTAACTTTATATAAATGTATTGTACTATTGGTACGTTGTATTAGGAGAGTTGTGTAATTAATGTTCATAATCTTACAATGTTATGTTATGATAGAAGTTTAGTTTGCTCAATTTTATTGTTCTTTGAAAGAGAAATGGACAGACGAATGGAGGACTTCTCTATATCCCTCTCTAACTTTTTGGTGAGATAACAAACAACCTTACCTGTGGATGGCAAAAAGAAGGGCAAGTGCAGCAACAGTCTTCTCTCCACCAGAGAGGTTATCCATAGGCCTGAACCTCTTGCCTGGTGCTACACAATTGTAGTTAATACCATCTAGATATGGCTCCTCTGGATTCTCAGGCCCCAGAAATGCCTGGGCACTCTGGTTCTTTGCTAAAGACTGGAAAAATGAAATGAAAACATTTTAAACATGTATTAATGTCAATTGAACTAAAACTAAAGGGAACAAAGGACTTAAAGGGTTCTGAATGAATGCTAGATACAAAATTTAAATTCATAAAACGTAGGTCAATTGTTGTAACAGGTACAAACTATACATGTAATCAATAAAAATCACTTTTGTTATTATTTCCAAATATTTTTGGACATTACATGATACATACCTTATATATTTCATCTATTCTTGTGGACACATGTTCGAAACAGTTATTGAATCGGTCGAATCTTTCCTTTCTAACTTTTTCAAAATTCTGCTTTGCTTTCTTTGCTGTTCTTCTGGCTTTTTCAAAATCTTCTGAGGTTTCAACTAATCTGTCTTTAACACCTTCCAACCTGGAATATAACATTGAGTTTGTTGGTGGTTTTGTAAACAGGGTTACTGTAAAACACAATGAATTTGTGGTAGCAATTTTCACTTTGTACATTTACTTCTTTTCAAGTACATGTAAACATAAATTGTAGAATCAAATCAAAATTGATCCATGTTTGATTTTAGAAAATACACTGTATTAATACATCTTTAAAACATACTCTATAAATACAAGCCAAAATAAATACAAAAATCGTAGGTTTTACTTACTTTTCCATTGCTTTCATATTAGGCGCATTAATCCTTTGTAGAGTATTCTGCATATCTGACACTTGTTTATTCAACTGCTCCAAAGTCTTTCTCACTTCATCAGCGTGATCTAAATCTTTCATATCCTCATCTAGTTTATTGTAGTTTATACGAATATTAGCCTCTTTTTCATATATTGCCTTGGCACCCTGACTGGACATACTGTCGACATTGGTACTACTTTGGTCCATACTGGAGTCCACTTGGCTCGATTCACCTGCCTCCTGGGATATGTCCTCCATTGTGCCTCGCGTCATCGGTAGTTTGATATCCTCCATCTTGAATCAAAACCAATATCATACTACTATTATTCTAGATTGATATAAGTGTTATTTGTCTTGAATTTTCAAACTAAGTTTACATTGTTGTATTGTACTATTTGTACTTTGTATTGTGCGCATTTGCTACATCTATTATATTGAGAGCGGGTTGCAATTGATGTACATAATCTTACAATGTTATACCTCAATTTGACATCTGGTGTGTTTCTGGCCTCCCAAATAAAATGTGATTATATCATAAAGTTAAATGATCCACTATACCATACCTTGCAAGATTTCAGTAAACTATGTCTATCAGCCTTTTTCTGTTCCAACTTTGTTTCAAGTGCTGTAATTTGTTTTGTCACAGCTTGAACCTCTTTTGTTTGCACACTCAGTCGTTTCCTAATCTCAGCAATTTCTGTGTCTTTGTCATCTGCTTGCGATTTGATCATTATTTTCTGTTGTTTCATCTTTTCTTGGCTTTGCATTTCTTCATCAATAACCTGTCAAAATAATAAGCATTATCACATCATTTCTAGAATCTCTGTAATCTAATTGGTTAATATAGCATCATTTGGTTAATATAGCATCATGTGATCAAAATAACACAAAATATTTCACACATCCTTCAATTTTGGAATTGATACGAAACTTACTTATGATATTTAGCTACTGTAGTGATATCCCAGCACTGAAGCAAGTGTGCGCTAGACTCTCTTGTAATTTCGAAAACAGGTTTGCCCCCATTCAAAAAGCAGTACTACTGTCTAATAAAACCCAGATCGGTTTCTGACAGGAGGAGTGTTAAGATTTCTGACAAAGTGGTCAAAATATAAATACAGACAATAGCGCTACAAGTCATATTTTCTATACAACACACACCCCAGACAGAATCTTGGCTTCTTGATCAGGAATTATATTGCACCCTGGTCTCTGATTGCATACATATGACATCACTCAATAGTACATACAATAATTTTATGTTTTAATACTCACAGTCATGTGTTTTCTCTCCTCTTTCTTCAATTTATCCAGTTCTTTCTCATCATCATTTACATTCTTCTCCCATTTCTTAACATTAGCTGAAATTGCAAAAGTTACGCGTTTATGTTATTTTTTTCCAAAATGAACTGTCGCCCGATGATTGGATATTATGGACAAAGAATTCACTTTTCATTTTCACTTTGATCTATATAACAGACATTGAGTTATTATTGAGACATTTGATAATACTATATCACAATTTTCAATTGGGAGTTAGTAGTAAATATCCCAGTAAGTATTATCACACAGAGAAATTATGCTATTGGTGAGTTCACATGGTAAAAAGGAAACATTCAACATTACCAGAATATTTAATTTCCATAAGCTCTCCATGTGAGCAAAGAATGTTGGTGACGATCTGGTACATCTGGGTCTTTATGAGAAACCCAAGGAGGTACAAAATACCTCAAAAGTGGGCAGAATGGGAAAAAATTGGGGCATTTTAGTATAACATCAGTATGAGTAAGTCTACGAGTTAAGACGGATGACAATTGAACTATTGAACTCATTGAACCCTCAATATATTCATTAGTCCTAGTATATCCAATAATTTCTTAAACATACCTCCTGTATCTCTTGACTTCTCATATTCCAACTGGTTCATAAGACGAGATTTCTGATTTTCAAACTCTAGACGCTTTTTGGCCCTTTCTTGCTGTGTACGCAGTTCCCTCTCTTCATATTGCCTGAAACACAACTCTTGGGTTAAACGATTTGATGGAAATGGACCTAACACCACAAGGAACTATATCTTTACTAATATTTTATTGAGATGAACATGTGTATGTACTCCACACGGGATACTAGAGTATCCGCGTATATTGAGTATGACCGGTTCTAAGCTTACGAGTGTGACCGTATTTCTGTTCCTATAAACAGACGAGGTGAGTACTTGCTTTTTATGAACACTTTCGAACGTTTTCTTTTTATCCTACTTGGTCAATGAATGATACTTGGTATACTTATAATGCCAGGCATATCACAAGGGGCCTTAATCAACAGAAAACATATTAATATTAGATTGAAGCCGTAAAATCCTAGTTTCCAGCATCTTTGATCAGTTTTTGTGTAACACAACGCAACTCCAAAGAGGATGACACATCTTATGTATAACATATAGCTAGATCTACGAATTAGTCATGAATATTTTAAATAATTTAGCCTGCTCTGTCCAAATATGATACATCTTTGAATTTTTGAGAATACGAATGTCACTGGTGCCCCATTATTGGAGAATACGGTTGTGAAATGTCTTGGATGCCATGTTACACTCGTTTCCATGACATTTCACAAGCGTATCCTCTGGGAAAAGATAAATCCTTCTCTTGCTCACTCTACGGGGGATCATATAAACTGAGATTTGGAGATCTTGTTCAGGTTAGCCATAAAAAGGTTTGGGATTTGTTTTTTTCTACTGTGATATTAATGATTTGGCTCTAAGGCGAGAAATCTGTACTTTCTGATTGATATTCCATTATGAACAGTTACATTGCTAAAATAGCTCATGTTTAACATTTTTTTGTTACATTACTATTAAATACAGCATAAACTATATTCAACAAACACAATTTCAAAAAGGATAATATAGAATTTAACCTTTATTTTCCATTTTTAAGCAGCTGTGCCTCTCATGACTTTCCAAAACAGGTCATATTCGTAGCCTAAGAACCAGTCATACTCAATATACGCGGATACTCTAGTTACCCGTGCTCCATAGTATTTATAGTGAGAATATTCTCTACATTTATTTTCACTATCTTTGCATTGCACTATTTCATATCTATCTTCAGCATAGTAAAACAAAGCATTGATTTGCAAAATTTCACTACCTGCCATTTTTTACAGACACTGACCACCAAAAGCTGTCCACAAAAAGTTGGAGACTATAAAACTATGTCACCACTTGTAGTGGAGACATAATAAAAGCTAAATTTAAAATGCTCATTCAATCAAAAGCACCTGTAAAATTAAAGGTGTGAAGAGTATTCATTTTACCTGATATTATCCACTCCTATTTGAGAACAGAAATTTGCGAAGACTTCATCTTCCACTGTGTTCATCTTATCCTTTAGTGTTGAGATCTGTAAGCCTCTCTCTGCCATACGACTTTCAATTTCCTGCATCTCGGGCTGTAAAATAGAAAATGTAGAACATAAGACAAAGTGCAGTCCAATACACATCTAAGGCTGTAAAATAGAAACTTGTCTTAAAAATGTTCAGATCATGGTTTTGTGTACTTCTTTAGAGGCATCAAAGAAAGCTTACAGGCAAAGCATTTTTTGAAAAACACTCATGTCTTAATTAGAGTATTTCTGAACAATTAAGAGAGTTTCTGATCAATTTAGAGAATTTCTGAACAACTTACATCAAATAATTCTAACTTGTCCCTCATCTTCTGGATCTCATTGTCATTTGTTGCTAGGTGTTTCTTTGTTGTATTATCCCTGTAAATGAAAATCAGGACTTCTTCAAGTTTTGTTATTATATCATAATTAAATTGTCAATGACCAATAGGTATTTATTCAATTATTTACAATTTAAACTTTAATAACATAATATATTTAACATTTCATTAATAATGTTTTGGCATCCAAAGCCAGTTTCTTCCCTACTCACCTGTCAGTTACAGAATATTTCAGTCTTGTTTCCAGCCCTTTAATCTGACTTCGGATTGTGTTCAACTCAGATTCTTTGCGTTTCTTCTTCATGTATTCTTTCAGTTCCTCAGAGAGTCTCTCCTTCTTGCCTTTTAGTGTGTTCAATTGTTTCTCATCCCATCTCCTTGCCTTTGCTTTCAAATCACTGAAAACACATCAAATGTACAATGTGAAATGTAACCTATTGTTTCATCATTAGATGGAGGTAGTGAAATAAGAAAAAATATGTTAAATGACATCACTGAAGACACATCAAATGCACAATGTGAAATGTTCTACCTAATGCTCGATCATTAGATGGAGGCTACCTTCACTGAGATTGTATACTGACCATGGTAGTTTAACAAGGGAAATTCTATAAGCCATTCAAGAGCACAATAAACATCTAATTTTAGTATTCTAGTATTCAACTGCCCTATAGTAAATACCTAGCACCACCGGATATGACACCAGACTTGGCAAACATGGTTCCATCAAGGGCAACTGCTTTATGTCTCTCAGCCATACCAAACGCAACTACCCTGGCATCTTCTATTGTCTCACAGACTAGCGAGTTCCCACAGGCAAACTGCAGGGCTTTCTTGATGACTGGTGGATCATAGCGGATCACATCAACCACAAGCTTTACATTCTTGGGCTCACGGATTTCCCTGAAAAGTGAAATAAACATACAGATGTAATTTCTTTTATATCAACTTGCAGAGAGTAATTCCCATCACTGTATCAATGGAATGTTGAAATTTAAACCCAATTTAAATATAGTGCTAAGAAAACCAGGTCAATATTCCTTTTTAAGTAACTATTTTCATATCATACACCAACAAATATCCTCTTTTAAGAAAATGAAATTTCATTAATGTTTCCATCTCAAGACATGACAGAAAGATATCTAATCATTTCCAGAACTTATGTAATGATTCTCAATCTTACACCAGTTACTATTTTCATGGGTCTTTTTCTATTTTAACATAATCTTAAGGAAGAAATGTTGCTGAGAAATTTGAGCAATTTATCATTCATTCAAGATATTTTAATGGAGTTGCAGCAGCTGTCAAAAACAAATGAAATTACCTCATTTTTTCATTGGTCCCTTTGACCTCAAGATAATCCAATGGTAGGAAGGTCTCTGGTTCAATCCTCTGCTCCTTCATGTATTGGATACAGTCCTTGGCTGTCTTCTCACTGTCACATACAATGGCATCCATATATTTACCCAAGACTTTTGTGATGGCGATCTGGTATTTCTTGTGGATTGGCTCACAGAGATCAATCATTCTGCCATGCTGTATGGAATAAGATGGATTTAATATTAAGACTGATAAGTTAAGCAATAAGTGTGGATGGTCTATAATAGAGATAACCTGACTTATCTGAACACCACTTGGACAGGCCATGAGTGCTCAGATTAGGAGGTGTTCGCAGTTCAAGGTTTCTAAGTTGAACCTGCAAGTCTATGACAGATAATGTTCACTTAGGGAGGTGTTCTGATTTGAGATGTGTTCAGATATACAGGTTTTACTGCAGAGTTTATATGGTATACAGATACATATGCACTATAGACCAACAATGGTGCTTGGATAGGGAAATCATTATTATACCCCTAACTCCATGTTTGAAAAATAGATGGTGCCAATTTAATCGTCCATAGCGACTTCGTTTGCCACACTTTCTTAATCCACCTGAGATAAATTTACTTTTGAGTAAAAAATCAGAATCTCAACTTACGACTCCAGTAAACAATCTCTTCAGATTTTCCAGCAACTCTGCTCGTTTTACAGCACGAGATGACTCATGTTTGTCCACTTTCGCCTCTCCCAGCTGATCAATAACTGACTCCAGCTCCTTCTGGATCTCGCTAATTCTCATCTTTGCCTCTTCAACATCTTTAGCAAGAGTTTTTTCGGTTTTCTTCTGATCTTGGACAGTTTTCTCACTGGTTCTATGAATATAAAGTTGGGAGAATTAGATTTCAATCTGACTGAGGGATGATGCCCATCATAAATAGTTGTGGAAGAACAAAGGGGGATATGTAGATTTTGTAAGTGAAAATTCTGATTTTCAAGGTAAGACAAGTAAACATGTTCAAATTTTGTTGAATAGCGGCTAAGAATTGAAGATAACTGAATAAAGAAGCTGAATAAAGAAGTAGAACCTTGTAAAGCTTCTCTTGTAAAGGAAATGGACATGAAGTGATTTGACACTTGATGCCCATCATTATTTCTACATTTTCAGCTTCCCTAAGCCGAGCTTTACCACAAAATAACATGTTGTTATATATTACAACATGGCCAAAAATGCATGAAAGATCAAGATGACTTGCATTAAATTATACTCTTGTGCTAACATTTTTCAACTGAATACATTACATATGGTAGAAGAAAATCTTACTTGATGTAATCATTCAATTTCTCCACACGTTTCTCATTCTCTTCACGCTCATGTTCTTTCTGTCTGATCTTGGCGATCATTTCATTCTTCTTGCGTTGCTCACTTTCAAGTTTGTCCTGGTCTGTTTTGTGTTCTCTGTTGATAGAGTCCAACTCCTGGAGATATTTAGCTGCTCGTTTCCCAGCCTCTTCTTTGAGGCGATGGTATTCAGACACCTTATCAAACAAAAATTTGAAATTTGAACACCACATTGTCAAAACAGAAACAGAATTTTTAATAAATCTCAAAGTATCTAGAATCTACTCAACTATACATTATACAAATAAGTATAAGGAAAGGAGCACACATTATAAATGTTGTACCTGAAGGGAACAACTCAAAAGGTGACTAATTTCTAGTTATTATTTGGATGGCCCATTCGCTCCTGTTATCATATTAATTAATCTTAGCCGACCTGAATAATGTTCACTTTAAACAGGTTTTACTGTATGTAATCATTAAGAAAGGTTTTACCAAAGTTCAAACTTTCTCATAATCACTAATATGGGTTTTACCACATGTTCAATGTTTCTCACCTGTGATTCCTCTAGCTCAAGATCTCTGCCCTGTGACTGGGACTCCTGTTCAATCTGTTCTTCAAACTCAACACGTTTCCTTTCAACATCATCCAGCTCTCCCTCCAACTCCTTGATTTCCTGGGCATGGCTCTCATGAGCTTTCTTAGCATTGTTCAGGGACTTCCTATTATACAAATAAAAAACAAATTTCAACTCCAAACTTGAAATTGACTGTGATTTTACTGAATCATTCGACTGGTAATTTTTGTGATGCCGTACACAGGGAATGAAATGGTAGACATATACAACAAGAAAATTACAACTCCACGGAGAAGCAAATCCCAACGAACACTATATAAATCATCAATCTGTACAGTCACAATGTAATATTTACCATCTACTCTTACCTTCAATAAATATTTTAAATCATTGTAGTATCATCTAACCATACTTTCAAGATAACTCTATGTAATGGCGAATTTCTGATCTAGTCAGCCATTTTGAATTTTCAGAGGCGCAAATCAGAAAAACAATGCCATAATTGTGATTTACTCTGAAATTCCTTCAATTTGAGAATAATATAGCCATACTTTTAAAAGATCAGAAAATAATTGCAAAATCCCGCATTAGGCGGCCATATTGAATTTTTTGAGGCTTGAATCAGAAAAACATTACAATATTTGCAATCTACTCTCAATTGCCTTTCATTTGAGTATAATAAAGCTATACTTCAAAAACATCTCAAAATTTACGCAAATTCCTGTTTTCCCAATCCGCCATTTACGGCCCCTGGGGGTCAGGGTTAAAAACCCGGGATATATGTGAAATAGATAGATGTTGTTAATATACTACCATAATTTCAAATAATAATATTTATTATTTTGGTTTAAATGAAAAACATGAGATTTTTGCGAAAAATTACCGCCATTTTTAAACTGGCAGCCATCTTGAAATAAAAAATTTTTGCGTAAAACTATTCACCAATATACATCTTTCCACCAAATATGAAGAAAATCTGTCAACTAGTATTCGAGTTATCCTCCAGACAGACGGACGGAGGGACGGACTGACTGACGGACTGACAGACGGAGGGCTTCACTATATCCCTACAGAACTTCGTTCGTTGGGATAATGAGCAGAGATGATCATTTCTCTTTAAATTCACATCAACTTACCATCTACTTTACTCATAAATCACATGAATCTACTATACTTTTTAAAAGAGTTATCAAATTTAAAATGAGAATACTCAAATATCCCTCGGTAAAATGGGCTGATTTTTTCCTAATACCAAGGTAAGATAGTGTTCTTCAGATGATATCTCTCAGATTTTGCCAGAACTGTCTGATAATCTGTCTATAGAGCTTTAATAAAGGATGAGAGTTGTGGGATATACTTACTTAGCAGTCTCTAGCTTCTTCAACATATGTGATGTCTTTTCCTTTGCTTTGATGTAGATAGGCCGTTTCTTGTTCAGTTCAACTTCCTAAACATACATATCACATCATCAATTTAGCGACTTTTGGACCATTTTAAAATGGTATCAATATGGACAGGTGATTTTTCTCAATAATGTTTGCTTTTTACCAGAAGAAAAAGAATCATCATCATAAGTATCATACCAGACAAGTTAGTAGAAATAATCTTGATTTACGTCATTAAAAATTCAAAATTCAGTCAAAGTAATATCATATTTGAAATCTACATGTAAAATTACATCTAGAAATGTGGTTTTAAAAAGTTTTTATCAACTTTGAAAAATTAATTTTCTTTGAAAATGTGACTTCTAGCTCGGGGAGATTCCTCATAGACCCCATGCTATAAAATCACAAAAAATGAAATATCTTTTCTTTTAGTGGACAGATAATATTTTGCTTTACCGGACATATTTTCATTAGTATAAGTATTAGGCACAAAAGGGTTATATGAAAATTGAGCCACTTAAATTGATAATATTCAAGTTTAAGGAAACTTTCTTATATACCTGCCATGTTAATTGACCCGAATCAGCCACCTGGTGGTGAAACTGGTAAATACCTACTCGCATTTGGGTAATTGATTAACAAGTCATTAACATGCAAAATGCCACTATATGCCATTTACTACAGACACAGACAGCCAAACACTGACTGCCGAACACTGTCCACAAAAAAGTTGGAGATTATAACAATATGTCACCCACCACTTCTTGTGGTGACATAAAAATCCTAATGAAAAATTATTCAGTTTTTATATTTTTGGAATTCTTACGGATTCTTTGATTTGTTGTTCTATCTTTGCAAGCTCCCTGTTCATCTTTGCTTGTTCCTTCTTCTTCTCTTTAATTTCATCTTCAATCTTTTCACGCTTGCGATTCTCTTTACCGAGAATCTTGTTCTTGTGGTCAAGATCTTCCGTCTGTTCATCTAACTCACGCTCATTGTGGTAAAGCTTGAATAGTTGTAACTCAAGCTGCTTCTCAATCTGTAAATAGAGATTAGAAAATAATAAATATATCTGGTATTTCAACATGTTATCATAATATTTATATCACAGATGAGTTCGTGTAAAAGGTCAAGGTCAATTCCAACTGTCAACTTGTCCTCTATTCTCATGTCAGAGTTAAAGTTTGAAGATGCATGTAATTTAGTAGGCCACTATAATAAAAGGTGGAGTGTTGTGTTCCAGAATTTGTTGCCATAGTAACTGATATTCTACTATAAATGCATATATATATTTTGTTCATCATGATATTTGGTGAGTATCACATGTTTGCTTTGAATCATAATTTTTCCTTATTCAACATTGAAAGACATACATGTACTATGTACATAGAGACACAGGCCATCTCCTTCAAGGGGCATTATGTTCGTTAATGAACATCAGTACACAGCAATATGAGCCATTTTTAGAGCAACAATTTACTGTATTACAGAAACATTTTAGCATTAAGAACTACTTGTAATTGGAGGTTCTGCACCTCAGAGATTTCAATGTGGGAGGGGATTGTACAATTCCTTTTATGAGTTGAATACTTGATAGTAGTATTAGCAATATGGAGGGTAACTTCATATTAGGCAAATTGTCTAAAATAATAATAAATCACACTGTTTATTTTCCTGAATATATAAATAAAATTACCTAACTTTTTAAATTTTAGAAACAAAATCAAAATGTAACCAACAACAAAACAAATCCATGTACATGTATACAGTATTATGAGTACTTGGCTCAAATGGAGAATCAAGGCATTAAAAATACAGATTTATTTAAAGACTCCTTCATTTGACATTCAATAGCACGATTTGGTTATAATAATTAATAAACATGAAATCAAGAGAAGGTCCTGTCAACATTTTACCTTAGACAAATGGAAGGAGGATGTAAAATGCTTGGAAAAAGTCTAAATGCGATTTTGCCAAATTCTCTAAAAAATGCTTAAAGGTATTTTCAACTATAAAACACATGCAAAAAGGTCTAATGCTTTACATAAGTGAATACTTGAATAAGTTCCAGTTCTTTTACAATGAGCCCTCCCAAATATCCAATATTACAATTAATTTTATAACACAACATATTTTTTACTGTTGGAATACTGATTGTTTAAATCATGCAACATAGTTTCAAGATATTTCAGATTTTGGCAATATATCCAATAAAATCTTATCATAAATATTGAATTTTCAATTGAAACTGAATATCAAAAATTCTAAAATAGTGAAAGGTTATGAAAAAGGTAGTCTACTATATACAAATGTTCTTATCATATTGACTCATATCTTTAAAAAAATCACTTGCAAACTGAATCTGAAAATATAGTTCTTTCAAGCATCATTATTTACATGTACACTGCTATAGAAGCAAGTTGAATAGTTAATATTCAACCACAAGTTCCTTTTGAATGACCTATTCCTGACAGTCTTGTGGTGCTAGTTGCTGTATTGATTTTAACTGTGTTAAGATTAACACACCCAATATCAATACTGTACTATTTTCAACATAAATTAAAAACAAGATGGCGTCTTCATATATACCGTTTAAACCAGAGGAGAAATTCAAAGATATTCTAACATGTTCTATATGCTTGGAACAGTATACAGACCCTAAAGTGTTGCCATGTTTGCACACTTTCTGCCTTGGCTGTACAGGGTGTCCCAAAAAAAAGGAAACCAGCAATAGATTGCTTATTTCTCAAATATGAATAATGATAGGAAATTTCACAGCTACCATCTGATAGATTATGATGTCCTCTTTCTTATGATACCAAAGTTGTCTATTTTCCTTCACGGATGACTGAGTTATAAGGGATTTAAGTGACCATGTCAGAAATGAGTTTGTACCACTTTCAGCCAAGTCAATTTCACCATCATAACAAAGTGATAAGTAACAACAAACATAAGGATATCACTCTTTTACTCATTTATTCCAATTAAAATTACACATATCATATTTAACACCCCTTTTAAATCCCAATGTCCATTTAAAGTTGTTTTAACCCCAGTGTCCTTCAACATGACCCCCATTCCTTTCAATGCAAATGTCTCCCCATGATCTCATAGCATGTACTGCATCCCCGATGATGTCTCTCTGTCACCTTAAATCCTTCACTGCTGCGACAATCCTGGCCCTTAGATCATCAACGTCTCTTGGTGGTGTTGTGAAGACTTTACCCTTAAGATATCCCCAAAGGAAGAAGTCGCAGGGTGTCAGGTCTGGGGATCTTGGTGGCCACTCAATCTCGTGGTTCAAGGCAATCACTCTTCTGTTGAACAGCGCCCTTAATCTGTCCCGAACGATAATCCGACGATGAGGAGGAGCACTACGAATACTCTTTGATCTTGGGACAGCTGCATGAACTTGCTATGTTGAATGCTTGTTCATAAATGTGTATTTCGAATAGGACATGGTCTTGCATAGCCATTTTAATCCCTCATTGTTCAGCCATTCATGACAGAAAAAGTGGCACAAACCAATTTCTGACATGGTCACTTAAATCTCTTAGAACTCATTCATCCGTGAAGAAAAATAAACATCTTTGGTATCATAAGAAAAAGGACATCATAACCTATCAGATGGTAGCTGTGAAATTTTCCTATTATTATTCATATTTGAGAAATAAGCAATCTATTGCTGGTTTCCTTTTTTTTGGGACACACTGTATAGACACTTGGGCAACACAGAATCAGACTGGAAACAAGCTGCCTTGCCCAGTTTGTAAGGAAGAGATGATCATTCCAGATGGTGGCTTGAAAGCAATTAAGCCAAATTTTCTGCTTAATTCACTGCAAGATGTCTTGAAAAGCATCTCAGAAGGAACAAATGGACATTTTTGTGATATCTGTCATCAAGATGGTTTAAACAAGAAAGCTGATATGAAGTGCCTAGAATGTACAGATAAATTATGTGGAGGCTGTGCGAAAGTCCATTTAAGGCTTAAATCATCCAAGGACCACAAAGTCATAGAGCTAACTGGAGATATCAGTGAAGACACCGACAATGCAATGCAAGTTCTCACTGAGCGAAGTATATATTGCGAGAAGCACCCTCGTGATGCTCTGAAGTACTTCTGTAAGGATGATGGCTGTGTTATCTGCCCAACATGTTACGTGACTGCTCATTCTGGACATTCATGCTCTGATATTTTTGATGAGGTGAAAATAGACAGGAAAAGGCTCTGTCAACTTTTGGATATTGTTGAGTTACAATGTGCCACTTATCAGGCTAATGTAGAACAAACTCAACAGCAGAAAATTACGAGAAATGACGAACTAAAACTCAAAATCAACCAAGATTGTGCCAAACTTCATGAACATATTGATGCGTACTATAACCAACAACTTGAAATTATTGAAAAAAAGAAACATGGTCTTAGTGATCTATTTAAAAAGTTGCAGAAAGATGGACAGGAACTCGAGCAGTCAAAACACTTCATCCAGAGTTTATTGTCTCATGGGCACGCAACAGAGATTTTGAGCATGAGAAATGAACTGAACCAAAAGTACGAAACTGTGATGAAAGATGATTATAATAGGTCCCATGAAATTCAGGTATTATATGTGTAAATTGTAATAATAAAACCTATCAATAAGATTTTTCTGAAACGATGACCTAAGGTTCATCTTGTGCAATCCTCCAGTTTGAAAATCACAAACATTTTACGACAACATTCATCAATATTTATTGACAATTTCTCAGTTTTTAGCCAGAACTTTTAAATTCAAAATGGCCACCATTCAATAAATCCCAGATTCCCAAGACTTTCCTAGACAATATGGCTCCAAACTATGTGGTGGGCATATTAAAAGAGATGCTTCCACCCACCAAGCTTAAGACAGTATCATTCCATTTTTAGGCAATAAGTTAATACTTTTGGTTAGTTTGATTGACTTTTTAATTCTATGAATTTTAGGTCCCTTCAATTGAATATGAATTCCAACAAAGCTCTTTGGTGTCGAGAGCAAGCTCAGATGTACAAACGCTAACATTAGGAAAGCTATGTACTCCAGAGAAGTTGAGCACTGGAGTTTCACCAAAGAAGCTAGACAGTGGAACCCATTCAAAGAAGTTGGACACAGAAGCCCATCCAAAGAATTTAAACAATGGAGATACAAAAGCAACAGTAACTGCAGCGACTGATTTATGTGAAGTGAAAGAGCCAAACATTGTACATACATATTGTGTTCCCAGAAAGAATCCGGGAAATGGGACATATCATATTCCTTCTATTGCTGTGAGAACCAATGGACAAATATGTGCAGTGATGGATTATAACAACATATGCATACATGATGCTTCATTAACAAAGCAGAATTGCATAATCAGAATGCAAAAAAGACAAGGTTATGATGCTAAATTCAAATGTGCAACTCCTTTGAATAATAATTACTTAGCCTGCCTTGAAAAGGAGTCCACGATATATCTCTTTAATGCAAGCAATGGATATGCTAAGCAGTATAATATTACTGAAAAAATTCGAAGTATTGCCACATTTGAAAATGGTAACATTGCAGTCATGGATAATTCCAAGATATACAAGGTTGATCATTTCACAGGATCAGTCAAACAATACATTAAGTTTAAGTTTTAAGTTTAAGTTTAAGTTTATTCCAATTTTTTTTTTAACATCTTACATATAGTATTCATATACAATCTGACGCAAAGCGTATATTGTAGTTCAAGGATCAAAAGTCAATATTTGTAAATACAATTATTTTAATGAAGTGCAGGAATGCAGGAAAAGTGAGATGGTAGAGTCTGCTAGAGTTACATATAAATTAATAAGTTGATATAATATAATGTTTAAGTGCTGCCTTGAATTTAACTGTACTGACACTGTGCTTAATTTCATTAGGTAGTTTATTATAATATGATGGTCCAATATATTTAAGTGAGTCCCACCCAAACTTAATGCGGTATTTAGGTTGGACTAAAAGGTGTTTAGATCTTGTGTCATGGCCATGTTGGGAAATTTTAAAATAGTCTTTAAAAATGTATACAGGAAAGCCAGATGGTATGTTTAAGCATCTATATACAAATGTAGCAACATTTAAATGATAAATATCAAAAATTGTCAAAATGTTTTCTCTTTTGAATAAAGGGGCAGTGTGCTCTCTAAAATGTGAATTTGTAATTAATCTAATACATTTCTTTTGAATAAGATGTATTGGTGTAAGTATGTTCTTTTTTACATGACCCCACATAATATTGCAATAGTTAATTTGAGAAAGGATTAATGAATGATATACTTTAAGCTTAGAGTCATGATCAAGGATGTCTCTTACTTTATAGAGAATGCCTGTTATTCTTGATATCTTATTAGTAATATGCTGAATATGCTTTTTCCAATTTAACTTTTCGTCAATAAATACTCCAAGAAAATTAACACTACTTTCTCTTTTTATTGGCACATTGTCAATATGTATATCTATGTCATGGATTAAATTTCTACCAGGAGTAAAAATTATGAAATTAGTTTTATCTAAGTTAAGAGATAGTTTGTTAGCTTTAAACCATTGATTAATTGTTTGCAGTTCTTTGTTTAATAGTCTAACTAGTTCATCCATATTACGATTAGATATAAGTAAATTAGTATCATCTGCATATAATACAAATTTGATAAGATTTGAGGTTGAAGTAATATCATTAATATACATTAAAAACAAAGTCGGTCCAAGTATAGATCCTTGAGGTACACCACATTTGATAATATCTTGATTTGAATAAGTGTTATTGTAGCAAGTGATCTGTTTTCTGTTTTCTAAGTAGGAAGTGAACCAATTTTTTACATTTCCCCTTAACCCATAAAAATCAATTTTTTCAAGTAGAATTTTGTGATCAACAGTGTCAAACGCCTTAGATAAGTCAAGAAACAGTCCTATGTTAAAGTTATTATCATCAAGAGATGTTCTGAGGTTTTCAAGAAAAGTTAAAATTGCCATATAAGTTGATTTGTTTGGTAAAAAACCAAACTGACTTGAGCTAAGTATTTTCTGTTTTATAATGAAATCTATAAGTCTTTTATGCATGAGTTTCTCTAGCACTTTTGAAAAGATGCTAAGAAGAGAAATAGGCCTGTAGTTAGAGAATAAACTAGGTTTTCCTTTTTTGAAAATTGGTGTAATTTTAGCTGTTTTAAGAATATCTGGGAAAATGCCATTTACAAAAGATAAGTTACACAGGTGACTAAGAAGTGGAGCTAATATATGTTTACAATATTTCAAAGCACAGGCCTTAAACCCATCTATTCCCGGAGCCCCATCCTTAAGGTTAGAAATTATCAAGGACATTTCATCTGGAGTTATAGGGTTTAAAAACATTGAGGTAAGAATGCGATTATTTTTCTTAAGGAACTCATTATGTGAAGTACTACAGGAGATTTTACTTGCAAGTCTAGGACCGATATTTGTAAAATATTTATTAAAATTTTCAGCAATTGATTGATTGTCTCTATAAAAAACGCCATCATTTTCAAAGAAATCAGTTGAAGAAGCTTTGGTATTTTTTCTTTTTAATATTGAATCAATGACCTTCCATGTATGCTTTAAATTACCCCTGGCATTATCAATTTGTTGATTAAAATGGGTCTTTTCCGAATTGCGTATCACTGTAGTAAGTGTGTTTTTAAAAGTTTTATACCTTGTTTTATTTTCTTCTGAAGGATTTTTTAAGAAGGCCTTGTATAATGTACCTTTATGCTTAACAGAAGTAAGGATAGCTGGGGTTAACCATGGTTTATCAGTATTAATTATACATTTTGTTTTAAGTGTTTTAAGTGGAAAAGTGTCATTATATATTCCTTTGAAAATTCCAAAGAAATGCTCAAAAGCAGAATTAGTATCCTCAATTGAACAAGTGTTTGACCAATCAATTAAAGCCATCTTATTTTTAAAAATGTTCAAATTATCAGAATTTATGACTCTATAAGTATTGGTTTTTTGAACAAGTGTGTGCAATTGCTTATTTGTAGTAAAAAAGATTGGAAAATGGTCAGAGATGTCAGAAATAATGATTCCAGATTGTTTAATGTTGTCAATTTTGTTGGTAAATATATTGTCAATTAAAGTCGCTGATGTAGATGTGACTCTAGTTGGTTTAAAAATAAGTGGATTAAGACCATGTGTTGTTATTATGTTTAGAAAACGTTCAGATTGAGTATGATTTTGCAATTTTAAAAGATCAATGTTTTGACATTTCTTCCATGACAGACCCTGTTAGTCTGGCTGTCAATACAACAGATATTGTGGTTATAGCTGACAAAGGTAATCACTGTGTCAAAGGCTTTCAATTCTCATCTGGAAAAAAGGTCCTGACATATGGCTCATATGGGTCTCGAAAAGGGCAATTGAATGCCCCACGAGGTGTGTGTATCGATCGTAAAAACAATATTATCATAGCTGACTCTGGAAACAGGAGACTACACCATATAGATGGTTGGGGTACACTGTTAAATTGTTTTCAGTTCAATGAAGACAAACCTGTGTCTGTAGCAATCTATAAGGAAGGACACATCTTGTGTGGCACAGACAGTGGAAAGATACATGTTATAAAGTACATGTAAAGTACATCTCAATTTTTGACTTCTCAGTTTGGGAATATCAAGAGAAGTTAGAAGAGATAGGGATTGTAAAAAGCTAATAATTAGAGTGTAAAATCTTTTGAAAAATCATGCCATTATTATGACCCCTATAATCAATTTTTTTTTTCTGAAGAAAGATTCAGACGTCAAATCATAGAAGTTATTGAACATTTAATTCATTAGAACTGAAATAGGGGACATTCCCCTTTCTCTCGAAAAACTATGGTAAAAATTATGAGAAAAAAAAAATTATTGTAGAAATGTGACAAAACTTACTCTCAATTAGTATCTTTCCCTTTTACTCCATTTTAATGTGATTTTTTGAAATACCTGGTATAAAAAATGATAAGTATACAATACAATGATAGACTAAGAGTGAAATCAGAAAAACTGCCTGACACTCACGCCTTAATCTTACTGTATTTTAACGTATTCTTTTAGCTATTTATTGCCTAACACTGTTTTTAGCTCATGAACTTGTTGTTGATGTTCATGTTTTAACTTTCTTGTGCGTAACCGCACAATATAATCATCAGTAAAATTTATCAAATCGTGTATTCGCAAATGATGATGATGATGTTATGAGGACAAAAAGTATTGATGTGTTAATCAAGAGAGTGCATTTAGCCTAAAAACTCTAAAGTTGTATAGTGGTAGATCAAAGCTTGTATATACAATGTATAGGTATATCCATGAATTCTCATTAAAAATGCATATAACCATAGCAACCATAACTCAACTATTATGGAACAATGGTAGCAAATTTAGTCTAGAAACATACATATGTACAAATTATAAGCATAATTATAAGTTATTCAGAATAAAGATTAAGAGACATTATAAGAGAATTTATTTATATATACATTAATAATTATTAAGGGTCTAATGGTGCAACGAAAATGCGTTGTTGCACGGTTCTTAGGCCTCGGTTTCGGTTGGAAAACTCTTCCATTCGGTTTTCAAACCATTCGTTAATTCAGAAAAAGATTGCCATTCTCAAAAATACTGCCATTCGCTTAATTGATGTAAAAAATGGCATCGAACGGAGAGAACTCAGCATTTTCAATGCTTCTAATCTCTATAATGCTTAATTTTGGTGTTATTTTAGCTTTATAACAAAGTATGATATCCCGATCATGGAGAAGATGATATGCAGGCTGTGCAAAGTTGTTCTAATACGTACAAAGGTACAATCATGTGAAGAAAATTTTGCAAAGAAGATGAAGTGTCAGTTTCACTTTCAGTTTGAGTTGTCTATGTCAATGTAAATAATCTGAAAAAGGCTAATAAGCCCATTTAAAGCATAGATTGCATCAATGGATTGGTTTCAACTCATTTAAAAACTGAAGTGATAAGATACACCGGTGGTGACTATCAGACTATCGCATTGACATCGCCACTGTTTACCAATAATGCAGGCTTGTTATCTGATTTTTTCCATTAAAAGTGCAATAAGTACCAAAACACCGAACTGAAAAGATAAAACCGTAATCAAACCAAGAAATTATGAAACTGTTGGAGCCCTATAAATGTATATACTCGCTTATCATATTTTTATATTAGAGCATATTCTATCACATACCATATCATTCTTCAATCTCTGGAACTTATCAGCCTCTTCTTTCTCCATCTTGGCCTCTTTTTTCTCTGCAGTTATACCTTTCTTCTTGTGGTAATTGAACTGTGTATCTTCCTCCGCCTTCATCATCTCAGCCTTTAACCTGTCATACTCCTCTTTCATCTCACCTGATCTACAATTTCAATTTATAAATTTATTATTTTATTCAAACCTACATCCACCTTAATCATCTCAGCTTGTTTAAAGTTGTCCGTTCGTTCATCTCAGTCTACAATTTGGTATTCCACAAATCAATGACCAAATTAGCAATTTCAAAACTTCATATGGAAAATAATTTCATTTTTATTTCCTATATGTTTAATCTCAGCTATTTCTCGATTGACCACAAATAAGTTACATTTGAAGATGAATTTAACATTCTAATACACGCAACTGTCTTGAAATGCAGTTTTGGTTATCAGTAATTTCATGATTTTCATTAGTGACAAAATGTCAATGTTAAAGTTACCTGCTAATTTCCTCAAACATGGCTGTCCTTTCTTTAGCATTCTTCATAGCGATGCTCTCAACTGTACCTTGAAACACCAAGAAGTTCTTGGACTTAATCAGGATGCCAATTTTCTCCAAGGCTGCTCCATACTCTTGTTGTGTTACATGCTGTAAGTGAATATGGAATAATCTATTAAAGTACAGTGTAGAATTTGTGTAAAATCTGAAGATCAATAGGAAACACTCAATTCTGAGGAAGAAATCATAGGCAGTCAAAATAAATGTACATGTACATGGATAAAAATAAGAATCACTTGAGGTAATTGCAACTGAAACTGGGCCAAAATGAGCCCATAGTGAGTTTTGACAAAATGAATGCAAAGGATATCCATTCATATTTTTCTATATATATATAATACAGTTATACAGCCATGTTAAACCCTTATGATATGGTTGGAAAACATGTACCTTGCCATTTATGCGGAACTCAGAGGCAGACCCATGTATAATCCTGGCAAAATGTGTCTCATCTCCATTTTCCTCTGTATATACAGCCGTTACCCTCGCGGTTGTAGCTGCTGGTTGGTTGATAGGAGCACCGTGAATGAGATCCTAAAACAAGAAAATCAAACACTTTGTTATCATGTTATTGGATACTGGGCTACCATTTAATAGAACATTTTTCAAAATTTACATGTGAAATTCCCTAAAAGATTTAATGTGTCAATCTCGATCAAAAAAAATCAGGCAAAAGAGGAAGTTAATTTAACAGACGGTGGTTATTATTTAAATGTTCCTTTCAGTAAGACCTAATTCTCAACTTTTCAAACTACACAATTTTTATCATTATCCACTAGTAATGATCAATTTAAACGTTCTCTGACTTGGGAAGAAACTGCAGTAATTACACGAGATATGACATAACTATCTGACATAACTTATGGATTCAAAAGGAATAAAGGATCTACTTACACTGAGTCTTTTACAGCGAAGTTGGTTTGTCTTTTCACCTAGCACAAAACTGATGGCATCCATCAAGTTAGATTTTCCTTAAAACATAGAATACCCACATGTGAATGTGTCACTAAAGTATAGCGATGAGTTTTCAAGTCTGAGCTTAAAAGAAACAACATTGGTACTCTTTGACATTTTTATATAGGAAGATTTAATTCATGTCTATTTATCTAAGTATTGTTTACATAAACTGTCAGATATTTAGTGAGACAGTAAAAAGTTTAGTGTAGATCTTAGGGTTGAAACAAATATTTCCTGAATATGGTCAGATGAGCAAGAACTACTCACTGAAAGTACATGTTTCAAAATAAAATGAATGAACCTAAACATATGAGCAAAATACATACAAAATAGCCCAAATCATGATCTATACCATCTTCTCTTGAAGTTCAATAACATGAACATTTTCTATTTGTAATTTTAAATTTTGCCATATCAAACAGATGAATATGATCCTAGACTTATTCAAAAATTTTAAAACTATATCAGAGTTGTGATAACATGAACAAAAATTGCACCTACAGTACTGGTAGTTAAATCATCAAAACATTCAAAATCAGACTTTTTGCCATTTTGACCAATCAGACTGCAGCATTTTAAACAGCATCGACTTTTTTGATGACACTCCAGTTTTTATGACACTACAGTTTGGGCAATAAATAAATGATAAATGGCAAATCTTCTTGAATTTTACATTCAATGTCCCAAACTGCAGAAAAGTATACCCTGTGAAATTCATATTACCAAAATGAGTGTCTCTAAGGCTTCATACCAACATATGCATGATGCATTTGTCACCAGTTTGAGCTCACATTTCATTTAATAGAAGTATGGGTAATCAGCGTAATCTCCTCAAGGTTTGTTTATTGTAGTTAGCTTTTAATGGTAAGTGCAGGGCCAAATAATTCATGCACGCAAAATATTCAAATAATCTGATTGGTTTTAACTTTCAGTATGCATGCACACATGTGCCATGTTTTTTTCTTGTGATTTCATTTTGGTTCCATGGAATTTATTTTCTAATGTAACTTCCACAAAAATGGTGGACCGTATGAAGAATTAACTGGTTAAACCACTTCCAAATTTTTAATATTCTTTTTGCCTATAAAAGCAAATGTTTTATTTGATTTGTGCATTCTATCTTTGAAATATGAGTCTCAGGGGTATATAGCAAATCCATTATGGTTGGAGTATAATGACCCTTAGGCACATCTGTCCAGGAAGCCGTAGTGACTTGCTATTGAGGGTTATTACAGGCACTCTATTTAGTTTAAACCCCACCGTTTATTTATTATTTTTCACAATGTATAGATCATGATTTGGGCTTACTTAAAATGATAAGTGCATATAGTGCTGATATATAATAATAAAGGGTGCGTTTTCAAACTAAACAGAGTGCTCCTACCAAAATGAATTTGCCTACATACCCCTGAGACTCTTATCTGATAGACAGAATGCACAAATAAAACAAAAGTTTTGTTATTATAGGTAAAAAGTTCTCTTGAAATTTCGAAGTGATTTTACCTGTAATTCTGTCCATGGTCCATCATTTTTGCGGAAGTTACACTGAAATGCAAACTCCATGAAACGAAACGAAATCACTAGAAAAGAATATGGCACACATTGTGCGCATGTGCAGCAAAGTTTAAACCAATCGGATCATTTGATTATTTAGTGCACATGAATTATTTGCTTCTGAGCACTTACAAGCTTACCACAATAAACAAACCTGGCAGAGACTACCCTTAGCCTATTTCATTTTGGCGAAATTTCAGCTCAAACTCGTGACAAATGCATTATGCATACACTGGTGTGAAGCCTTGGAGACACTCATTTTGGTAAATATGATTTACGGAGTGGCTCCAGGACCGACAATTGTCGGTACTGGAGATTGTCCAGGGGTATTTGCTGGGGTACCGACAATTGTCGGCCCTCTATCGTCACCTAGTAGTGCCAGATAGAGAACCGACAATTGTCGGTACGCAAGTGGCTGCTGTGTGTTTTTGCTAAAGAGCCGACAATTTCATAAATAAATCCACTACTTTTACTTTTAGAAATAACATTTACTGGTAGCCTAGTGGTTAGGGAGCACGACTCGAACACACTCGGTCCCGAGTTCGAATCCCGGCAGGACCTACTTTTTTCTTTTGAGGGGGGGGGGGGCATAGTGCTTCTTTTGCAGTATGGAATCGTACGGGCATTAACTTGTAGTGAGCCATAATTTATTTCGACAAAAATTGATTCAACTTCCATCAAAATTGTCCTACAAGCTTCAATTAAAAAACATTTTAAAGCTCTTCTTATTCTATCTAATGGGTCGATATATACAGTTAGGGGAGAGGATGCTTTCGCCCCCGTCGCTCTCTACCCTTACTACGCCATGGCACAGGAGAAATATCTCATTTGGAATATATCACTGTTTACTTTGCGTTTAGTAGCTCTCTCATGCGAGATGGAATCGTGGCCATTAACTAAGGGAGCCAAATGCAACTTCCATCAAAAATTGTGCTATAAGGTATGAGTACCGTAATCCAACACCAAATTCGAAAATTCATAACAATACTTTGCACATATGGCGTTCGTGACCAACTATGAAACGCTTACCCCCCATAGTGTTATATATCAAAATGCACCTGTCCATATAGGGGTTCGATTGACCTACATCAAATTATAGGGAGTCAGGTTACTTTTTGAGATATCAGCGTCCGTTTATTGTAACTTGCGTTTGCTACCACTTCCTCAATTCTGATATGACGGGCAAACGCGTAGTAAACATGCTCACGTTCGGAACTATTTTCACCTACATCGCTATTTTCGGAATTCAAATGAAAGTTGAACTCCTCTTTATTTTGATACCAAATAGTGGCATACTAGGTACCCTAGAAGTCAACTATGGGTTATTTAGAATGATACCACGGATTTTTAAATGGACTATATAGGGGTCATACCTTTTGGCGGATGGATATGGAACCTCATACCATAAGCTTCAAATAAAAAACATTCTAGCTATTTTCTTCTATCTAATGGGTAGCAAACGCCCCTTTCTACGCCTGATCGGCTCAGGAGAAATATCCTGTCTGTTTAGAATATATATAGCCTAGCTGTTTACTCTGCATTAATAGCTCTCTAACGTCTTACTTGTTCATGTTTTTTATTGGGTTTTCAACGTTAACTACCATTCCCCGTTCCCGGGCTACCATTTTTTGACTGGGTTTGGTAATCCCCGGGTAACCGGGGCTAATGCCCTCCCCGGGTTTTGCACTTGTTCCCAAAATATCCGTATGACATCTGAAATATCCCCCCGCGCATTGCGCATGCGCCAGAAAATTCGAAAATCAATATTTGTCGGTCCTCTAGCGTGTAAACACAGCATATCTCCCGTACCGACAATTTATTTGTCGGTCCTCTACCGTGCCACCACATCAGAGTCAAGAGTACCGACAATTGTCGGTACTCTAGCCTTTACGTATGATTTATGGTGTATACTTTTCTGCAGTTTATGGGAGTTTGGGACATTAAATGTTAAAATTCAAGAAAATATGCCAATTAAACGACTTATCAATTTATATATACCAGCACTGTAGATCTACCAACTACACATTTCGAAGTAGGCCTAACCCCATATGTCGAAGTTCAACGACCCCCCGTTCAATAAAGCAAATGTAAAAAATAAATGTGCATAAGTTTTTCAGAATTCAACAACAAAACATCCAAATAATTAGCCTAAGTCTTACCGGATCCATTTGGACCAATGATTGCAGAGAAATTCTTGAAAGGCCCAATTCTTTGTTTTCCCTTGTACGATTTAAAGTTTTCCACATCGATATATTTGAGCATTCCAGGCATTTTGCTGAGTTATCCTGTGAGTGAGATCCTCATACAAAAGAGAAAATGCATTCAATAAAGTCACTTGTTTACCAAATATTGAATATTTTGTAAATTTTTAGCATTTTTGTATTTTTTTAGCGGGAATGATATGCGCATGCGTGAATTTAAAGTGCGCGAGAGAATCTGAGATTTCGCGAGATTTCAAAACAAAAACTCTTATCTCATTATTATAACGGAATCTTAGATATTTTTATAAGATTAATCTTATTAGTATGTCTATTTTTAGAGAAAAATCCCGAGAAAATGTACACTAGTTGATTTACAATATGTGCATTTCGTTATTTTGTAGTTTCATATTTTTTATTCTTATAATTCCGATTCTTCTTAGTGACTATTTAGAGAGATCATCTCGTTGCCAAGTAACAAGGTTCCACAAAATAGTTGGTGACAATTTATCAAAATTTTACTGAAAAGTCATAAAAATCGTACAAATTAAACACATTAAACATTTAAAGGACATCTTCAGAGACCACTGGTACACCATTCAACATGTATAAGCTAGATTTACCGATAGATTACAAAGAGGCGGCCGCTATAGAGCGGAGGAAAAATATGGAGGAGCAGAGGAAAAGCAGAATTTTCAATTCAAAAACCAGAATAATTGGGGTGAGCACAATACAATTATTATAGATCAGGTTGTTCAAATTTACTTGAGTCTAGCTTAGTAAATACAGTTTTTTGCGATACAGATTCTATAGCCACTATAGTCCACTCATGTAGCTCAGCGGTAGCGTGTGTACCAATTACAGTGGGGATCATAAAGAATTGCAAAAGCTATGAAAATTACATGCTGTCGCACATGTAATAAATTCTTACCTTAGTGTATTCAGTGCTCTATTTTCTCCATCTGAGTAAGTCCAAATATAGTGGAATTTGTGTCCCTAATGACAAATAAGAACTTCAAAAGTTGAAGTGGATATTCACATGTTATGCCGACTCTTCAAATGTTGAGGTGATTTTGTCGCCCGATTGCGCAGGAACGGAGGATTGGCTCCCAGAATGCAACATGACACGTGCCAGCTTTCAAAATGCTGTTCCGCCATTTTGAAACCTGTCATGAGTAAATACGGTAACTGATGTTGCATTCTGGGAGTCAACCGTCCTTGGATAACAATCATGGCGATTCATGAAAACGTTCATTCGATTTGGTAGGGATTTATCCATTATTTGCAGGTATGAAGCTTTGGATTCATTTATTGTGCTACTTTAGTGAACGGGAATTATTTTTCTACCGCTTGGGAGAGTTTGAGACACGAAACTTGGAAATAAGCTCATTGTGACAACTTGTGAACGTTGAGTTTTATTTTTGTCCCCCACTGTATGCAAAAAGTCCAAGTTCTGTCCCTCGTTGGTTCAGACAAGACTAAATTTGCTTTTATGCATTAATTACTTCAAGGTGTTTGACTGAGTGGTCCAGAACTTGAACAAAAGGCTGTGGTGTGTACTTGTATATAAGTGCAAATTAAAAAAATACAGGGCTCTTTCAAGGAAGGGTTTCAGTCAATCTTCGACTACCGGTATATCATATAGACTCTAGTTCTGACATTTTTTGATAATTGGCTGAAAATGTCAGACCGACTTGTTAGTCTGTTGGATACAGACTAGGTTGGTCTTCCCGGTTAATTAAGTAAATGAAACTGCACATTTATGGGATATATCCAAGAGGTATTGCTCACCTTCATTGGTGAAAAACAAAATACAATATAGCTAATGAATTCAGACAAAAGATGGATGCCCATACCCAGGTTTTGGGTAAACAACTATTAAGTAATCTACTTTGGGGGCAGCCCCGTCTAGTCTTGCCCTAGATCTCTTAATTATTTATAAAGGGACTTAAAAAGGGATTGGGTGTTATTTTAATGGCCCATGTATTTACTTAAGTATGCTAGGTACATGTATATTTGCTATATTCCAGGTTGATGTACAAGCCCTAGAACATCAAGCTAAAGACAGAGCAACAATGGAAGATCTGGAAAGAAAACGTGAAGCAGCATTCGGTAAGTAATGTTCAATTGATTTCTAACACCATATTCTTAAAAAAGGACAAGATCTGTCTTGAGTTTAATATTCCTTTATTATAACTAATGTTATCATCAGTATCAAATCAATAACACCTTGGTGAATTGAAGGTTTGGAATCACCTTTGTGTAAAGCCACCATCCTTTTCTCTCTAGTTAAAATCTGCTAAATCAGTGTCAATTAGCAATGAAAATTATTAATTTCAATTTAATATTTTTACAGCGGCAGATGCAGTTAGGCATGACAAAATTGCTGATCTTTTGAATAAACGTCAAGAAAATGACATGCGTGAACTGAATAAAGCTGTCAATGAGTTTAGACTGCTTCACCAACAACCAGACAACCGTAGAGAATTCGACCTTTATGATCCTGATTACCTGAAAAAAGATAAACCAGGTAGGGTGTCTGATGACGATCCTCGATGCGGAATTGCAAGTCTTCAAAAATTTGATGGTGAAGATTTAAATAATAAAGCCAGGACAAAATTCCAACAAGAACAGCTGAGGGAGTGGGCAGAACAGCAGAAACATGAAAGAGATCAAGCCAAGAAAAATCAAGACCAAGCTGATCGATTACATGATCTGAAAATGCGAGAATTGGATGAACGTGCTATGGAGCTGCAGAAAGCAGAAGAGGATTGTAGAAAGGCCATAAATCATGCACAGACAGATTACAACCAAGCTCTGGTGAGTGCTAATTATGAATAAGCAAAAAACACATACATGTCTTGTTACAAATACATTTTCTTATTTTCTGTACTATTCCTTCTGATATGTATTGTTTTAATTTGGCAAATTTGGCGGATTGAAAAAATCACTTAATTAAATATTTGGCAAAATACCTGGGAATTTCACATGTTTTTTGTTCGATGCAAGTCTGGTTATAAGAAATTTACCAAGATGACTGGAGCCATTTAAATTTAGAAATATTGAACAAATATTTCACTCTATTGAGGTGAATACCTGTACATCTTTCACAAGTGATATTCAACGAAGCCCGAAGGGCAAGTGGAATATCACCTTGTGAAAGTGCTACAGGTATTCACCGAAAATAGAGTGAAATATTTGTTTTATTATATCACTGTCTAGCTAAACATCCCTAATATTATTAAGTCATAGGTTAACATTGAAATACATTGAATCTACTCGGTTCGTCTGCCATTTTGACTTACACTGAACTAAATTATTTACACTGAACGAAAACAAATTCTTTGAAAATTCCCGGGAGCGTGGGATATCGCTAGATATCCCACGGTTGTCTTATCTGATTAGCATTGCCATTGGATATCGCCAGATATCCCACGACATGTGACCCGGTTTTGACCAATCATAGTGTCGCTAGCTAGATAGTGATATAATAATCAAAGATATTGTTAATCAACTAAGATAATAATGAGTATCTTGAATTGGGTTAGATGGGAGGGTGTCCCCTTGAAAATCTGCCAAATTAAATAGAAGTCAATATATCAGATATCCCAAAAATTGCCAAATTAAGTAGCGCCAAGTTAAAGATGAATACAGGGTGTCCAGAACACCAAACAATGTAATAAAGTTCAGAGAACAAAAATGTATTTGTTTTCACAAATGAGAAATGAAAAATGAATTAAGAAACAAGTTTGTTTCTGCAATGTTCATCCTAAAATTTAAAATCTTAATGTATGTTAAACTCAACAAACATTGTCAAACTCATAGAATATTTACTTAAATACGTCTTACACTAAATTGAAAAATTAATTTTTTAATCCCCCAGCTAATAAACTCTCTTATAACTTGTATAATATTTGAGCCTAAGCACTTAAAAACTGGTCTTATCACAAAAATCTATAATGTGGCCAAGATTAACAGGAAATGTGCTAATTTCAAATCTGTCTTTTTGGTGTAAATCTGCAAGGAAAAATTGTTTATGTGTTTATGTCATTTTGTTCCAATGAGGTTCGGATAGATGTTTCATTTCATTCCGAACATATGATACCAAGAACAAAAAAAGTGTCTGATGTGTTTTCTAAAATGATATAGAGAAAAGTTTATATATTTTTTTCAAATTATATTGTTACCATTCAAAAGATGACCATTAAATTGACGATGTGTAAACTTTTCAGAATTGTTTGATGACTGGTTTAAGAGAAACGTGTGTTCAAAAAGTTCACCATATAGATACCAACCCTTTGTTAAACAAGAACACAAATGTGTACAAAATGTCCCCACCTATGGGTGATCCCGTCAAATGGTTATCCTGAAAATGAGTAGACAAGACTTTACCTACACAATTTGAGGACGGAAAATCCAAAATGGCCACCTTAAAATTTACCCAGAATGCCCAAAAGTTAGACAGTTCTAGATTTTCATACTAAGAAACATTAATACTGAAAATTTGAAATTGATCTACCAAACGGTTCACCTGGAAATGCGTAGACAAGACTTTACAAACAAGAATTTAGGACAGAAAATCCAAAATGGCTGCCTTGACATTTACCCAGAATGCCCAAAAACCAATCAGATCTAGATTTTCATACTAAGAATCATCCCTGAAAATTTGAAATTGATCTACCAAACAGTTCACCTAAAAACGCGTAGACAAGACTTTACAGGCAAGATTTTAAGACGGAAAATCCAAAATGGCTGCCTTGACATTTATCCAGAATGCATAAAAACTAATCAGATCTAGAGTTTCATACTAAGAATCATCCCTGAAAATTTGAAATTGATCTACCAAACGGTTCAACTAAAAACACGTAGACAAGACTTAACGGGCAAGATTTTAAGACGGAAAATCAAAAATGGCTGCCTTGACATTTATCCAGAATGCGAAAAAACTAATCAGATCTAGATTTTCATACTGAGAATCATCCCTGAAAATTTCAAATTGATCTATCAAACGGTTCACCTAAAAACGCGTAGACAAGACTTTACGGGCAAGATTTTAAGATGGAAAATCCAAAATGGCTGCCTTGACATTTATCCAGAATGCATAAAAACTAATCAGATCTAGATTTTCATACTAAGAATCATCCCTGAAAATTTGAAATTGATCTACCAAACAGTCCACCTGGAAATGCGTAGACAAGACTTTACAGACAAGATTTTAGGACGGAAAATCCAAAATGGCTGCCTTGACATTTACCCAGAATGCCCAAAAGCAAAAACTAATCAGATCTAGATTATCATACTAAGAATCATCCCTGAAAATTTGAAATTGATCTACCAAACGGTTCACCTGAAAACGCGTAGACAAGACTTTACAGACAAGATTTTAGGACGGAAAAATCCAAAATGGCCGACAATAAAAAAGTGATTATGAATTTTTGCTGATTTCTTTTTACAAAATTATCACATATAACTACTGTTAACAATAACATAGGCTTTTACAACAAAGTACACCTGAAATTATTTATAAAGCTACTAAATAGTTAAAGTATGAAAACTGAAAAACACCATTCAATATGATCAAAGTATTATCGTGCGCTAACTTTTCTTCAAACATTCAAAATGGCTGACATGACTGAGCTAACAGGTCCAAAACCTACTCAGATCTAGAATGAAGTGAGCTGAACAAGATGTTAAAGTTTTAAAAGCAACTGTGAAGCTGTTTTTCTTAAAGCTTGCAGACAAGGATTTTAGCATTTGACTTCAAAATGGCTGACAGGAAGTAGGTATCGAGATAATTTTTTTTCATCCACATCTGTATGCACTCATAAGTTGTCCCTGAAAATTTGAAGGTGATATCTGTAGCGGTTTTTGGAGAAAACTGCCGGACGTACGGACGGACAGACAGACAGACAGACGGACAGACAGACGGACGCGCCTAGGCCGACAATATGGCCCCACACTATGTGGTGGGGACATAAAAAACGTTTTTAGTTTTACATTGAGAGAGATGAATATCATACTATACATGTATTGTATACAACCTAATGTACTTTCATTATTTCAGGCTAGAGAACAAGCAGAGAAGAAACGCCTTGCCAGTCAGCAAGAACAGGATGACAACAACACAGAAATAGCCAATCATGTCTTTGGTGATATTCTAACTGAGAATCCATCCGTAGCCCAGAGTGCATTTGGACCTCATAGGGTAATTACTGACAGGTGGAAGGGAATGAGTCCTGAGCAGATTGCTGATATCAAACGAACCCAAGAATTACAGCGTAAAGAGAAAGAGGTTTGTTAACATTTTTCAAAATGTTAATTCACTTTTAATCAAATCTAAAGATTGAATGTATTGAGACACATTTGATTCACTTCATGTGGTTGCCATGAACTTTGCTGTTGTATGTTTTCATAAATCATTGCATTTTTCTAATATACATGCATAATTATTTCCAATCAGTGCTTCCCATGGCTATCTACGCAACATCTTAAATTCCTGTAGGTCTAGAGTGAAATTCTGCTATTCCCTTCACAAGACTCTCTAAATCTCTAATCGCTACACTGCATTTTCTGCCGATTAGAAGCTTCAAACTCTCATTCAAGTCACAATTGAGATTAAAAAAATATAGCATTGGTAGCTTATAGGATTCAGAGTAATTTTGCAATGAGATCTCAATTTATCCTTTTATTTTCAGCGTTTGAAACAAGAAGAAGAGCTACGAGATAAAGAATGGGAACGTCAAAGGATCGCCAATGCAAGGGCAGCTTTACTATTGGAACGCGAACAAGATCGTCAGAAGAAAGATCTCGACAAACAACAGGCAAATGAAAATAAGAGACTTTCATCAGAGCAGAAAAATCATCTGGACTTTATGAATAAAGAGGTTTATACAAACAGGCCATCTGCAGCGTATTTTCAGCAATGGAACACGACAACTCGATAATCATAATTATGCATACATTAAAAAATTCATTTCGATTTCTCCATCAACAAGGAATTTTTTCTCTCAATGTTTGATATAGACATGTGGTGTCTAAAACTCATTTAGAATTGTTACATGTTTTTTAGTATCCTATTATAAGCCAATGCAATGTTTACAAACGTTACAAATTTACTGTACTGTGTACTGTTAATGCTAAACATCTGCAATCATTAAACAAAAGAACCAATAGATATTCAGGTTCACCAGATTAAACTGTTACAAGTTCACAGTGTCTCCTATATGATTTCTTACTGAGGAATATATTCATGGAGTGTGTCAGCGTGTTTATTAAATAATCATCGGATTCAATCAATTCCATCTAGTGAAAAAATTACGAAAAATAAAGAAAACTATGACTAATTAAATAAACAAAAATTGCATACTTTATTTAACAAGTTACAACAACATGTCATCTAAATACATTATAAGCTTCTATCAGGTTAATTTGATAAACAAGACCTTGAAACAGTTCCACATAAAAAATAGAATGTTTCACTACTGCATTTCATGTAAGCACCCTAATGTACAGGACTAGTTTTTAAAATTTTAGACTTCAGTAAAACTGTGTATGTGAATGGCACAGCTCAGCAATGAACATTGTGTTTAAATGCCTTGTATTTGATAAAATTCTTGGTTTGTAAGTAAGAATTAAATGTCAATTGTTCTTGCATGCCTAAATGTGATAACCATTTTGAATTTTCATACAATCATATAAATTATGGACCATACAATGAAATGGTCTGATTTTCTATCTAACATAAGCATATAATTAAACAACATTCCAAACCTGTAATATCATTATCATACCAAATTTGGAATCAACATACTAAATTAGTTGTACACATATGATAGTATATTTGATACAGGTAAAATGTATATTTGTCATTTGATCACTGTAAATACTGTAAATTATGATTATACATGTTGTTATGTAAATAAAATGATATATAAAAAAATCTTATAATTCTGTAATTTGAATGACGATAATGGGATACTTTAACATGATTTTGAGCTTTAATGAACACCCCTTGTTTCATGTAGAATACTTCCTTTAAAATTACTTAATTCATGAAAATTAACATTTATGGAGAATCATGATACTGTGAGTTTGCCTCGGAGGCATCATAGCTGAGGCAAGAAGCTATATGTATGAGTGAACTCGGCAGTATGAGCAGCTCTATGCACAGTCTAAATGATCACAGTATAATGAGGTATGGTTGGTACTTGTGGTAATGTTTTGTCAATGAAATACTCGTCTTTTAATGATGTAGGCCTAAAAAGATTACCTAGATGTGAGAAATAAAGGTTCTTATATGAGTACCTGTGCAAAATCGTCCATTCTTGATGAGCTTTGATAATTTCAAGTCACAGACGAGGTAAAGAAACATTATCAAAGCGAGTCAAGAATGGACGATTTTACACAGGTACGAGTACAAGAAAGTTTTTCTCATATGACTCTGTATTATGCCATACTTTCTCATTTCATGACAAAACTGGGTGAAAAATAGCTTCAGATTAATGGAACTTCAAATTTCAATTGTTATGACGTCATAACTATATTGTAGAAAATACATAGATACACGTGGCAACAAAGCTCCATTGTTATGACGTCACAGCTTAGTTTTGTAGAATGAGCATGGATACTCTTAGCAACGGTGTATTTGTTGCTATGTTGTTGATGTTTATAGACCAGTGATGTCACAAGTTAACCTTATCTTACATGTGTGACTTTTTAGGATGAAAGATGGCAACATCTTGCATGGGGTAAAGATGGCTGTATCTTGGCCAGTCATATTATGAGAATATTAAATCACAACCATTTGCAACTTAACCTTGACTGAGTAAACATTTAATGGCAGCCCTTTTACTGTCAAATCTTGGAAATAATAAAAAATCTAAAGCTGGCAATCAAGTTTTGGATATACAGTAAAACCTGTATAAGTGGAACATTTGGGAGGTGTTCCTCTTGACAATAGGTCAAATATGTTAGGGGACTTTGAAGTGTTCCACTTATGGAGGTGTTTCACTTACAGAGGTGTTTTCCACTTTACAGGTTTTAATGTAATATGAATATTTCATTACATGCACTGTCAAATCGTGGATAATTTTGATGGCAATCAACTTATCATCCTACAATATTCATATTTTGTTGCTTTCAACTCTTGACTGTATGAATTTTTAATGGCGACCATTGTGGCATTAGTTTTGAATATTATATATTTACATCTAATCTTAATTCTTTTGGATTGCCACTGAATCTTGGATAGACAAACATTTAATGCCACACTCTTTGTCATTGAATTTTGGAAATATGACCATTTAATATCAGTCATCAAATCTTGGATATATGTAAACATAAATGGCACCCTCTTTGCTAAACTTGAAAGGTTGGAATCTCTTAACAACATGAGCTTTACCATTACCATTCAGAATATAAGATCTATAAGATATAGAATATATATCTCAAAAGAGTTCATAATTAAATATATTTGAAAGTAATTCGAATGACTGGCCAATAATAATATTGACTTGTTTTCTGGAGTATGTTTAACTCCATAGACTGTTAAATCTGATACACAGTCAGTGATCTCCCCAGCATTAAAGCAAGTGGGCGCAGCACCCACCTGTGATTTTGAAAATGGGCTTGCACCCACCTGAAAATCCATTTGCACCCACTTGAAAATGACATGGCAATGGCATTTTTCAATGGCATATTTTGACCAATTTTGGTCTGAATTGTGGAAATGAGAATTTTGCACCCACTTGAGAAAAAAATCCTGGGGAGATCATCGACAGTTGTACAACAAACCGTTAAATAGCATTCATACTTCATTACAATATGCATTATTATCTCACTGCCACTACTATGGGGTACCATACCCCATAGTAGTACTGCCATGTCACTCATTCTGTGATTGGTTAAACTCAGGCCAAAAGACAAATAAAAGCTGTCATCATATGCTTTTTCCCTCTGATGGTTACTGTTAATGAAAAGAGTGCATATCTCGCACACTTTTTATGTCCTGACTTAAGAATATGGCCTGCTCATAACAGATGATGTAACAGAAAAAGAAACATAACAATGAATAATAAAACAATTATTTCATTCTCAGGGGATGAAGAATATTTCTAGTGAAAGATCCCTAGGTACTCCCCTCAATAGAACGAAATATTTATTTCATATTCACATCTCGCAAAATTCCATTTTTCGCTATCAAATACCATCAATTTTAACACTTGCTTTATCTACGACCATTCTGATGCTCACAGCATCTTTATCTGCTGAATCACAGATGTTGTCCAGAAATACATGGAGTAGACAGTCATGGCATACCATAATGATCGAGGGCATATGTTATTCAGAAGCTTGTATGAGTGTTTACTGTAGTTCAAAATATGGACACCCATACCAACATACACCCGGGGCATACTCTTGGTCTTTTTCAAAGAATATAATCCGAGTGGCTCCATTGGGGTAACTGTTTCTTATTGAACATTCCAGAGTGACGAATTGATTTCATTCAAGTTTCAAACATATGTTTAAAAGATAAATAGTCCTTTAGGGGTTGAGGAAAGGGTAGATTCTCAATCAAAGGTAATATACTTTTAGAGTCACTCTGCTCCTTTAGACTATCTCTTATTACAAGTCTGGTCAAGGTTTTCAATGAAGAAACTGAATTTGTTTCTTGTTTGATGCGCTCCCATATAATTTGGACAGTGTCTTGTCCCAACATTGTACAGAGTTGATCACGTTGAATATATTTCAGAAATGGTATATTGGCGTTAGTGTCAGCTGCCATGTCGATTAAATCCAAATCACCACTATTCACTAGCCGCAAGAGGATGTCTCCGTGTGTGTATTCCAAATCACAGCCATGGCTTAAGAGGCTTTTACACATCTCAAAATGGCGATCAGTCAGCGCCAATGAAAGAGGATTCTGGATATCAACACGCTGTAACATATTATCCATAGGGGAAAACTTGTATGATAACTTATTTGAGTTCATCCGAGCTCCATGAAGTAGCAACCATTCTAATAACTGTGGACTACCAAGAGAGATCGCGTGATGTAATAGTGATTCTCTTGATCGTGTAGTTGCGTCAATATCAAGGCCAAATTGCCAAAGAATGTCGAATATTTTCACTGAACAAGTTAAGAATGCAGGAGTTAGGCGATCATCCAGCTCTACTTGATTAACATCAGCTCCATACTCTAAGAGAAGCTGAAATGTACATAAAGATGGTAAAATCATCAAATAGTTCAGTTCTAAACCAATACACAGCACATGCCAGCAACAGGGGAGGGAAGCTTGTGATTTTCTCATCTTTAATGTCTCACAGAAAATTCTGACCTTCCCTGCCATTTTTTGAAAAAAACACTTTATGAACTTTATGGACATTTTATAAGTTTTAGAAATGAACCTCTGCCTTGAAACCCCCTTACGCCACTTCTATAAAAATGAAGGTATCATGTAACACAAACAACTTCAACTTGATATATAAAGCTTGACAGATAAAAATTATTTTTTGATACTTTATTGTATTATACATGTATGTACGTACCTGTATAATTTCTATATTTCCTCTGGCACAAGCTGCATGTAGTGGTGTATAATTGTTCTCCTTTGTTCCCTTGTTCACTTTACAGCCCACCTGTAGCAGAGCTTTGACTATAGCTGTACTGCTGCGATTTATGGCGAGTTGTAGAGGGGTTGAGCTGAATAAACGTTACAGACCTACATTTTCATTTATAAAGACAAGTTTACCATCATGCTAAAAAAACGTATACATGTAAATCTTAAACCGAAGCATACATCTAAGCAAGATGTGAATTAAACTCCTTACCCAAAGTTATCAGTAAGTGTGACATCAGCACCACTTTCTATTAACTTAATTGCAATTTCAACATGTCCTAATCTGATGGCTTGACATAGTGGTGGCAAAGTAAGGTTGAACATCTCTATAAGGCCCATCTTGCTCATCATGTCTGGATGCTGTTCGACTAGTTGACCACATAGTGATATGTTCCCCTTTAAATATAAAAACAACATTTTTGAGTACTAGTATAGAGGTACATGTTTAAAGCTTTCGAGCCTTCACTTTTGCTTGAAAAAAGTCCTTGTAACCCCCTCTCCTATTACATGTAAGCTTTCAAGTCTTCACTTTTGCTTGAAAAAAGTCCTTGTAACACCCTCCCCAATTACATGTAAGCTTTAAAGCCTTCATTTTTGCTTGAAAAAAGTCCTTGTAACCCCCTCCCCCATTACATGTAAGCTTTCAAGCCTTCATTTTTGCTTGAAAAAAGTCCTTGTAACCCCCTCCCCCATTACATGTAAGCTTTCAAGCCTTCATTTTTGCTTGAAAAAAGTCCTTGTAACCCCCTCCCCTATTACATGTAAGCTTTCAAGCCTTCACTTTTGCTTGAAAAAACTCCTAATAACCCCCTTACGGAACTTCTATAAAAATGAATGTATCATGTAATACAAACAACTTCATTATCTTTCAATGGCATTGATAAAAACTTGATATATAAAGCTTGACAGATCAAAATTATTTTTTGATACTTTATTGTAAGCTTTGATGTGGTCCGTTTGAGCTGTTGTTGGTGTCAAATCAAAGATAGGGTTCTTATAAATATATTGGACATACTATGAAATTCAAATGTAAGTCTTTATTTTGCCCAAAATTGAACATTGAACATTGAAAATATGCAAAGTGGGCCTTTAAAGAGGTTCATTTGACATTTTAAGTCAGTTGGTCTTGAAACTCTAAAAAGTGTTCCACTTCTAGAGGTGTTTCGCTTTACAGGTTTCACTGTAATTGACAATTTGTTAAAACGTCTTAAAACACAAACCTCTGTGACTGCATCAAACAATGCAGAATTCCTTACAGTGTGTTCTAGCGAGGCAGTTTGATCTGTTAGCCTCTGACTGCTTGAGAACCAGGGTGCCTCAAAAGATGTCATAATTGCCCCATGCAGTGGTCGCTTTACATGTGCTGACATATATACTGAAATACATTTGAATTCATGAATGGCATAGGTATGAAAATCATTATTATACATGTAATTCAGCGCTCAATGAAGGTGTTACTCAGGAACTACCGTATGCTAATTACATATGACTACTGAATGTGTGAGGTGTAGTCCCATGAGAGGGATAGAAATGATGGTAATGGTATGTACTATCTAGTATCAGAGACTCAGATGACATTGACAGGCTTTCATTATTATGGGTTCATGGAGGTTGTATGAGTACACATTCAAGATTAATCTATGAGGGTGTATATACCTTAAAACTGCATTTTTAGAATCATTTAGGTGTTTTCTTCAAATGATGTGACTGACCAAATTATGAATATCTAATAACATGATTCAAGATTATTTCTACTTGCATCAAGTCTATTGTATAAATAGCTGCCACATTATCTGACTGAATTAGCCACCTGGCGTTATACCTGGCATCTTCAATTGATAATGGAGATGATGTATAACCTGTTAGTAACTCAGACAATACACTATACATGATGATGGTTGTCCACAAACTGGAACCAGAGTTTCTTAAAAAAAAACAATATCCTCTCTTTTCTTATCAATGCAATGTTGATTTTTCAAATCACCCCACAACTACCTAGAGCTCCCCAAGATGGGACAGTGAAGTAATTTAGTCAGTTTTAAAATTCAAAAATTGACATTTGTCACATTTAAAATTTACTTGTCATATTTTTCAGATTCATTCCCTTATAGTCAGTCAAAGCATGCAACAATTGGTTTGTTATGTTCCATTGTTTGATTACTGATTAGAATAAGTCCATTTACAGGGGCGTAGGCAGGAGTTACCAAAGAGGGGGAGTGTTCGCACAAGCCCCACGAACCCCCCCCCCCTGCCAACGCCCATGATTTACATTCAGAACGAATTGTCTATTTTTTGATGCTCTTTTCCAGAAATATTTTTGCTTGACAATAATCAGAAAAATGCATACTATATTAGAGTACTCTAGTGTGACCATGGGCGTAGCGCTATTTTTCCAAGTAGTACGCGCCCCGGGAGTATGCCACCACCACAGGAACAAGAGTCAATATACAAAAAACAAGCATTTAGGGGGGTCTGGGGGTTCTCCCCCAGGAAAATGTTGAAATTTGGTTGAATTTGGAGCGAATTTGCAACCATCTGGTACGCCTGTGCATACCCAGCGTACCGGGCGCTACGCCCATGGTGACATATATTCTGCCATGTTCAAAAACTTACGTGACTCACAGACGACGAGAGCGTTCTGGCGAAAGGAGATTGGGATTCCAAATTTTTGGAATTGATATCTATCTCGTTCGAAGAACGTATATTAGACGTCCATGGCGTGACTTCAATTTCTTCAGCAAATGTGTGACAACGCAAAAGTTGACAGGAATGTTCCACTATAATGTCATGACTCATGAGCTTTATTTTCGTCCTGGGTTGAATGCAGAGTGAACACTAGTCCATTTATTCTAAAAACTGCCAGTATATAAAGAGGATAGATGGTGCTGACTGTGGTTGAATTGAATGCCCTTGGCCTTGATTGATAATCTAAGATGTCTATTCAGTTTTACTTCAGTTCGAATTATTCTGTTCACGACATTACAAAATTTATATCAGTACGTAGTCATATGTATCAATAAATATAGACGCATTATATAACTAATTGAACTCTAAAAGGATAAAATGCAACAAATTAAAAGTTACCGGAAGTAGGTGCTACGGCAGAGTTACGTTCCATAGTCGAATCTGATTGGTTCTTTATAAGCATCAGCAATGGCGGACAATGAAACTCTAGTGGATGGGAAATCTTTGAACGAGTTACGTGTAGTGGATTTGAAGAAAAAGCTCAAAGAAAGGGGTTTACCTACTGGCGGAACTAAAACACAATTAGTTGGAAGGCTCAAAGCGGTAAGAAATTGGCTAAAATGGCCACATAATCGATATTGATATGCAGCATTTTATTTTGAAAACGATTCATTCATCGATTCAGATTGAGTGAATTTTCCACGATTTCCATCCTATTGTTTGCACAGTTCAGTCTGTTCAGATATTTAATTTCTTTAACACCTCATATATTAAAATCTTTTCCATCATAACATGAAAATGTATCCAACATTTCTTGCTCAGTTGTACCATGGTCAAGGAGGATTGGCTCCCAGGATCGAAACTCGATATTTTCCAACAATGAAAACGTCGAAATGTCGTTATTTTCTGAAATTAAAACCGACTATAAATTCAAAATAAACAGTTCAAAAGATTCGAACCAATATCTCGATCATTTCTTGTGAGTTTTGGAATTTTTCGTCTGGAAATAAGACCAAAATTCACGATTTAAATGTTGAAGTGAACAAAATGGCGGCTGTTTGAATTCGAATTTTGTATTACGACATACCCATATATGGGACAGAATATCGGTGGTGCACTCTGGGAGCCAATCCTCCTTGTACCATGGTTGTATTTTCAGTATTTTATGGTGGCGCCCTCTGTCGGTAACTGAATGGGGTTGTTGTGTCTTTTCTATGGCCACTGAGTGTGGCCATAGAATATAATTAAGACACTCTTTGTTGTTTTGAATTTGCCTTTAAATTGCCCAGCCGTCTTATTTTTAATGATGTAAACATAACAAACTCACCTTCATTGATCTTTACACGCAGTCCCAGTTCATACATTCGTCTACTTTGCAGGATATTTACTCACAAAATATTTTATAACAAGCGTGGCCATCTTGTCTTTTCGCTATAGCGGAAATAAGGCATGCTTTCAAAGTGGAGAACGGGACGATGTCTATTTTAAATGAAAACGTTCAATATCTATAGTTCACAATAGTTCACGGTGTTCCAGATGGAATCAGTTCTAGCCAAGAATTGGCTAGAGACTCGAGTAAGTTGAGTCAGGCTTTCATGTATGAATGCATTTCTGCACGTTTTTCTTGTCTCCAAGCCTTGATTAGGCTAATGTCCATACCTTTGTGACTACTGAATCTGAAATTCAGAAATTTACGACTTACTTCTGTACTGAGACATTTCCAAAATGTTCCATAATCTACAAATCCAAGTTCATTTTGTAGATACAAACCATATAATAAGGTCCTTTATCAAACTTTTACTAATGGGGCTACCTCGTCCTGGGGCTACTTTGACCATGGGATTATTTTGACCTGGCTAATTCAATTTTCCATGTTTGGCCATCGTGGATTTAATAAGTTCTCGCCTAAAGGAAGTATCGATTTATTTTCAACAAACATAGTGGATTGCTTGGATTGAAGTTATAAGACAGTGTTGAAAAAGTCCCATGGTTAATATTGCCCCATGAAAGCCACCCCATACATTTAATCCAGGACCCCAAGATGGTCCCAATGTGGAAGATTTTCAGAACCTCACATTCACATCTGATCAAATAAGAATTGACAGTAGCTTTGTGAAAATGCATGACCTTTGATTTGATGGAGAACTGGAGAATACTTTAGATAAACTGAATTACCTTGAAACTTTATGGCAAATGTTTCTCTGACAAATCATGAGGTTTTACAAAATATTTGTTAGGACATGATATGTACCTGGAAAATAAATCTATTCAACTTCATATGTTTTATTTTAGCAACTATTATTAGAGCAGAAGCGGCTAGAAGCTAGCTCAGGTGATGAGAGCACTGTTCCCAACCTAGACCTACAAAGCAGTCAGAATGAGTTCATCAAACAATATCTAGCCCAGCAGCAGCAGAATTATGAAAAACAGAAAGAAGAAAAAAATAAGATATATGGTAAGGAAAAGTATGGTCTAGTGTTGTCGTTTCTTGTCTTGCAATTTTTTTTAGGAAACTCTTTTACATAGGGGCAATATTAAGCCAATGATTTATTTGGCTTTTTGTGCAGGGTGAGCCAAAAAAAGGTTATCCAAACAAATGTAAATAACTCAGTCATTCAGCATGTACAGATACTGGGGTCTGGAGGCTAACTGTTTTGTAAATGGCCATAAAATGATGGCCATTGGAGATGGACCAATGAAACTTAAGAGAAGTATAGAACAATGAACAATGTTTAATTGTGCTAAGTCTGAGTTATTAACATACATTTGTTTGGGTTACCTTTTTTGGCTCACCCTGTATATAGACGATTTTGACTATGCTTTACCAGATAAAGACTTTTCTCCATTTGCATTACTTCAGAAGAAGAAGCAAGACGTGCCAGTGAAAGTACGGACCATGACAGCCAAGAGGAGGCCACTGATGACACAGATACAGAGAAAACACCAAATAAAAAAGCAATGGCAAGCCCCATCAAGATCCCTGTGAATTCTCACCATTCAGAAGCAGAAATTACAAGCCCAGTGCGTAAATCTAGTCGCACCAGAAGTGTCACAAATGAGGAAGATAGAGGTATGTTTTGTTTGATTACTGTTTATTTGATTTAGTTGTCATTCATCGATTATTTTTATAGCTTTCCTTTAGCAGGTTAGATGATTGATCATACGTGATAAGTTCCTGACTGTAAAGTTACATCTTCATAGTGGGTAATAAAAAAATGTTGTTTTGGATGCTTTGGGGATTTAATGATTGTTCCATTGCCACTGGTAATTTTTGCTTATATTTTCTACTGGGCTAATAATTATTTACTTATAATTCACAATGATATACTACAATACTGTCATTACATGTAATTTATAATATTATGCTAATTATAGCATCTTCTTGAGTTTTTGGCTGCATTTTTATAGTACTACATTATTTTTTGACTGTGAGCTAAATTTTAATCCTCAAAATTAGCTAGATTGTTGTTAAATTGAATGAAACTCGGAGTTAAAGCTGCTTAAATATTACGCAAGAGTATCAAATTCACTTGCTCTGTGGTCATATACAAAAAACACTCTCTGATTATTGCTTTATTAGGTATTTAACTTTGTACTTGGAATTTACGTTTTACTGTTAATCAGTAAGGTCATATACATGTACATGTAGAGAGATGTAAGGTGTAAAACTGTGTATTAGAGAGGAAAGCTGTGTGAAGTGTGTGTAGGAAGATATACATGTAGGTGATTTTTGATGATCTTATGAACTTGAATAAAGAACACAGAAAACTTTTTGACACTTACACAATCAATAGGCTCAAACATTAACATTCTTTCCTGAAAACATCAATTTGAAAACCTCAACACCGAGATAGCAGTATGACAAGATTAAGATAAAATTGGTTGATGTAATGAAATTACAAGCAGCTTTAGCAATTACAAATGCAGTCACTTTCCTCAATAATAATTTTCCAAAGGTTCAGTATTTACAAACAAGAATAAGGTTATTGACATACACATAGAGATTTCGTAAGGTATATATCTGTCACTTTCAATTTGAATTATTTGTGGTTATTAGGATGAAAATACAATTCAAGTATTGTAGCCCTTTAACAAGATTTCAAATACTTAACTGAACTTTGCCGTACATTCCTGTTCCTGTCAAAAGGTCAAGTACTCAAGTACATGTATTTTCAATCTATAATGTACTTTGAACTGTTTGATTTGTTAATGTTTTCTTATGTAGGCATGATTTGGTTCACCTGTAGATGTCCACTTGATATTAGTTTCGTTTTGCTGTAACATGAACAAATGGTTAAATTCAGCTAAGAATAATGTTGGTGATTGACTAAAATATGTCCAGGATTAATGTTACAGAATTAATAATTTGCATGCAATTTTGAACACATTTTGAACTTATTTTTGAATCATATTCCGTTATATTAAAGCACATTATGCCATTTACTTTATATTACACAACAGAAGCAATGGATCAGTCCAAAGATGCAGAGAAACCCAAGGAAGAAGCATCCCCTGCTGCAACTGAAGACAAAACTAAGAAAGAAGATGTGGTTGAAGGAACTGCAGCTAAGGTTGAAGAAAAGGCTAAACCAGTGGAGAATGGTGAAAAGGGTAAATAAAATTTTCTTCTCCAAATATTTTATGATGTTGCATAAATAACATGATGTGGCTTGTATGGTGTGAATCAGTACAGTACAGTACTTATACTCTAATACAGTTTTGTTAGCACTTTTCATCATGTGGATTAAATCATGAAATTTAAGCCAACAAGCTGTCTATTCCTGAGGTTGGCATTGGGATCATTTCCCATGTTTCTTTTAGGATAGATGTTATTTTGTAGTTCCTGCTAATTCATCAGTTGTCTTGTACTCATTAGGTCCAGGTGATGCTGAGACCCCTCTGCCAGAAGTTGCCCCACCTGCACCAGAGCCTACTAAAGCTGAGGCACCATCCATTCCAAAATCTCGCAAAATTAAAATTAATCGTAAATCTGATGTCAAAACCCCGACCCAAGATATTGCACCAAAGGAGGAGGAATCTTCAAAGGAAGCACCCTCAACTCCAAAAGAAGATATAAAACCTGCAAAAGAAGCAACCCCTCCCCCACAACCTCCCAAAGAGGATAGTCCACCACCTCAACCCCCAAAAGAGGATAGTCCACCACCTCAACCCCCAAAGGAGGATAGTCCACCACCTCAACCTCCAAAAGAGGAAAGCGCACCACCTCAACCCCCAAAGGAGGATAGTCAACCACCTCAACCCCCAAAGGAGGATAGTCCACCACCTCAACCTCCAAAAGAGGATAGTCTACCACCTCAACCCCCAAAGGAGGATAGTCCACCACCTCAACCCCCAAAAGAGGATAGTCCTGACTCTAAGAAGAAGAGATTGCAAAGACGGAAACCTGGAAGACGATCTAGCTCATCAAGGTACATTGAATTAATACTGCTACTTGTAACATAAAAATTGCAACTTTAACCAGAGAAGATGAATATGAACATCATATTTCTAATAATATCTGAAAACTACATTTTCTAGTCATTTGAGTCTAGTAATGCGAAAAGAGGTCCTTCCACATATATTTTGGTTTGAAATTCCATTTTACATACCTCGTTTCAGTTGTCATCTCAGGTTTCATGAAGTGGTTGTATCTTTGACAAGTATTTAAGTATTTTTCTCAACTTTCAACAAGCTTTTTGGTTTTATTACTTTTGGGTTAACATGACACAGGTTGTTTCTCTAATTATGTGTTCATAATTGTTGGTTTTGTAGTTCTAGCTCAGAATCAAGATCAAGATCTCCTCCAAGAGTGAAAAAACGACGAAATAGGAAATCAAGTTCTAGCTCTAGTGCATCATCACGATCCAAATCTCCTCAGATGAAAAAACGTAGAGGTCGCAAGTCGAGTTCATCGAGTTCTGAGTCTAGATCTAAATCACCAGTTCCTAGGAAACAAACACGATCGAGGTCGAGCTCTAGTTCAAGCGGGTCTAGATCTCCAGATCGGAAAGTGAAGTCACCTGTAAGTAAGCGAGCGAGAAGTAGATCTTCTAGCTCAAGTCGATCAAGGTCACCTGTACAGAAAGCAGATAGGTCCTCAAGGTCAAAGTCACCTCAAAAGCCAAGGTCAAGGTCAGAGTCCAGTATGTCAAGGTCACCATCTCCTGCCAAGCAACCTGAACAGGAAAAGGTATTTATGATGCATTGTGATCTGAAATAATTCAATGGTATTTTTTTGACTTTCCATCCTTCTTATTTAAATTATAAATAAAAAATACATGTACTATTGTCTCGCCAACAAAATTGTTACCTAGAAAATGTTGATCTTTTTTTCTTTTTTTTTATTAAAATCAATGTAACATATTTACAGGTTGTAGTGGCTATGACCCCCAAAACGGAGTATAAGGTACCACATAATGGTATTTACAATGAAAGCCTGCATTTTACCTTCCTTTGTCAGACGTATTCATACTGGGTCACATTTTCTTATGTCTCATGTTTAATGACATTATATTGATTTTTAATGTTAAGGATGAAGAGGAGACGCCTGAAGTTGCTGACAAAGTGGAAGGAAAGTAAGTTGTTTGAAATGAAATTAGAATAAGGAATTTAGAATTGTGTTTGGCACTCTGAGAATCTGTTAAGTTGTTCTCAACCAATATTTATTAGTTCAAATAATCTTGTGAGCTATGGCATATTGAAAGGATACTTTGAGAATGGTGCGAGATGGGTTAAGAACTAAAGAGAGGAGTGATTTAAAATAAGTTGATATCCTAACTTTTGAACTTGGTGAATGACAGCATTCAGAAATCCAGTATTGAATTTAAGTTTAAATTGCTATCCTCTTTTTATTTATATATAGAGTTATGTTTACATCGTAGGACACATTGAGCCAATTTAGCCCATCTTAATGCATCATACGAAATCAACTGATATTGTATAAATCCTATTGATTTAAAAGCTTTGCTTTATAATTGTCGTTGGTTCAAATGTATATCTGTTTTCTGTAGGCGCAGTAAAGTTGCTGATGAAGACAGTGAGAAGTCTCGCAGTGAATCTCCAATGGATGCCTCAACCACTGAAAATAATGCAGATAAGAAGGTATTGTGTCACACGTGTCACCAGACATAAGTTTTAACTGTATGAGCACTGTAATGTACTTTGTTTAGAAGATTCAGTGTAATACTTAATAGTAATTGAGCACAGCAAAAATGCAAGATAGCGTCGTTATCAGCTAATCTACCATAATCTATCAAGTTAACCTACACGTATCTTCTTTTAATCCCAAGAGTTGATTATCTCTTAAAATGTAATCTTATCTTCAAAAGTGAGAATATGTGAAAATTTTAATACGTATGTCTTGCATTTTGGCTGTTTAGAGTGTGCTATGTATAGAAATGTGGAGACATATTTTAGTCAAAGGAAAATGTGATTTTGGTTCTTGTTACTGGTCTCCATGGTTTTCTTTAAGCGAACTTGGGTGCAGCGAAGATTTCCTGGCTCCTGATTGGCTACATGTGTAAAGCGTAACAGCAACTGAGTTTATATTATTTCCTGCTAGTCGCAGTATGGCTATGGGCCATCATGCAGTGGAGTCCGAGCCCCTTCTGTATCTTGAAAGGAGATGGAAAATCGAACATTATTGAGTTTGTTTAGTACCTAAGCTCTTAAGCTGAAGTACGCTTGGATTTGAAGATTACAAATCCACCTCCCCGATATTCTGGAGCAGCTATTCCCACATTGCATTCCTTGAGAAAATATCAACGAAAGTACGGACTATGAGTTTTTACATTTTCATTCTCTGTCGTCGGAATACAGAATCGCAACCATTTACCACCGAACCTAGACTTTGTGAACATTTAATGGCAACTATTTCGCCATCATATAATGGATATATGAACATTTCATGGGAACAATCTTACCATGGAATAACGGATATAACATTAACATCATGGATATTGGATATGTTAACGTATATTAAAGTCAACCATCTAACCATTGACCTTGGATATGATATCAATATTCTAAAATTGATATGGACAATTGATTGTAGCCTGTTCGCCATTGGATCTACACGTAACAACATTAAATGTGGTCTTCGAATCTTGGACATATGAACAATAAATGGCAATCATCTTGACAACGAATTCTGGATATGTGAACATTTTACGTCTTGACATGAAAACTTGACGATACGAACAATTAATGGTATCTTGACATCGCATCCTGAATATATGAACATTTAGTTTTCATCTGTACATGAAATCCATGAGATGTGAACAATTATCATCGCATCTTGGATATAGAACATTTAATTTTACATTTGTGCATCAAAACTTGGAGATATGAACAATTAGTGGCAGATCGCATCTTGGATATATGAACATTTGCTTTTACGTCTGAACATCAAAACACAGTTATCTTGACATCACATCTTGGATATATTAACATTTAGTTTTATGTCTGTATAAAACTTGGAGATATGAACAATTAATGTCAGCCATCTTGACTTCGCATCTTGGATATGAACATTCGATTTCACGTTTGTGCATCTGAACGCAGTCATCTTGACATTGCATCTTAGACATATGAACATTTAGTTTTATGTCTACATCTGAACACAGTTATCTCGACATCGCATCTTGGATATAATTTGAACATTTAGTTTTACGTCTGTATAAAACTTGGATATATGAACAATTAATGTCAGCCATCTTGACATCACATCTTGGATTTATGAACATTTAATTTTACGTCACGTCTGTACATCAAAACTTGGAGATCAATCAACGGCCATCTATTCTTGACATCATATTCTGGATATATGAACATTTAATTTTACGTCTGTTCATCTGAACGCAGTTATCTTGACATTGCATCTTGGATATATGAACATTTAGTTTTACATCTGTACATCAGAACGCAGCCATGTCGACATCACATCCTGGATATATGAACATTTAGTTTTACATCTGTACATCAGAACGCAGCCATGTCGACATCACATCCTGGATATATGAACATTTAATTTTACGTCTTCATCAAAACGCAGTCATCTAGACATCACATCGTGGATATATGAACATTTAATTTTACGTCATGTCCACACATCAAAACATGAGACATGAAAAATTAGCGGCAGCCATCTTGACATCACATCTTGGATATATGAACATATAATTTTACGTCTGTATATCAAAACCATGAGATTAACATTTAACATTTAAAGTTATTCATCTCCACATTGAAACTTGGCCATATTGAAGTTAAGATGTTTGAAGATAAGGATTGACATTAGAATAATCATGAATGTTACAATAGGAACAAATTCCTTGGGACATTAATGAAATCTCTGTTTTGCCATCCAAGAAATGAAGAAAATTAGAAAAGAGAAGCGGAAATGCAATTAGAGGAATCAGTCCTAGTTCATCCATTTTAGTGGAAAAGATTGTTCGAGCCTTGTCCCGATTTTTCTCAATATGGGGGGCCAAAGACAGCGGTGATCTGGTATTTCTACACTGTCTATCCATAACCAATGTTTTCTTTCATTTTAGGCTTCCTCATACCTAAGGATCCGGGTTTATAACTGTATGTTAATTCGTTTGCTTTTAGGCTTTACAGACTTGTTTTATTTGCTGTTATATTGTTTACAGGCGTAAGAGTAGGAGTATGGTGCAGGGCTGCTGGCTATATTAGTATTCCAAATAGAAATATCTATATTAAGTGTTGAGTTTAGTCACCTAGTTAGTTTATATTGCATATTTATTGTTTAAGATGGTTCCCCGTGCAGGCAAATTATTAATATAAGAAATATTCATATCAAATGTTTTGTATACTTCACACATTTTTGCCGACTTCCGTGTTTTGTTAAAGTAAGGTATTGTGATTAATTATCATTTTTGTTTTTTGAATGATTCTTGTATCGATTCGATTCTTTACTCTCATCAGTTGTATATTCATGTTATGTATATTTGCCTTAAAAATCTCATCAGTTGAATTTCCTGTTTTTACAAACTTGATGGTTGTTAGATCGTAGTATTGCAAAATACATGTATCTCAGTTTAATCAAATAATCATTTATCCACCTGCACGGAAAACCATCTGATTGAGTGGGGTTTAATTGAGCGTATTGTGCTTTTAGGAAGACAACAAGGAAGATGAATCCAAACCACCTACGAAGATCCAGTCCAGGAAAATATCTTGTAAGTCTGACTAAGTAGACAATTTAACAGTAAATGTAGCCATCATGGCTTTTCATGAGAGTTTGAATACGGAATAGATTCCAGCTACTGTAGAAGTGGAAACTTTAGCGAAACAAAACTTTAGCGAGATGGTCCCTAAAACTCTATTGCCGAATTAAACTTTCCCGGACCAGCAATCAAGAAAATGGAAAATTACTTGGGCGAGCTTAAAAGCTTATTATTAGGTTATAATGATTATTCACCAACACGATTGGTTGCATTTTTGTAAACCCCGAGTTGTAAACATGTATATCACAGTTATTAGCTCTATATCACCGTTATTAGCCCTATAATTAAACTTGCCTTTCGAGGAATGGCGTGTCACCATCAAAGATAAGTCGTTTATGTTTGTGTGTAATCCCCAATCAATGTGCTCAAACCGTACAGTAGGTATTAATACCCGACAAACAATCAAATAAGTAACAAACTCGGCTAATTCACTATCAAACTTTATTCTATTTATTATTATTATTAGGAATAAATACTAGTATATTCTCATAAAATAATCGTATCATTCATGTTAGTGATAAGTTAACAGATTTTGTGATCGAAAAATCGAAAAATTATTTCTGTATTGTTTTCATCATTTAGGGCAACAAAACATGATTGCAAAACAAAATAGGTATTAATTATGATTGTAAATCGATGAGGAAGCACTGATGTATGTATTATTTATGTATTCGAAACGAAATTCAGCATCTGGATGTCGATCCGTTGTATTCTTCACGGTATTATCGCCCACCGATATTTTTCATATTTTTCTACGAATTTTTATTTGGCGTCTCTCCTTAAACGCTAAATTTCGCCAAAGTTTCCACATCGTTAAAGTCCCCGATAAATCGGGCTACGTATACCGCCGTGTTTACATTAGGGGATTAGAAGAGTTTATTTTTTATTTAGGTATGCAAGCTACGTATATCAATATTAGGCCTTCATTCATGTACTCGTGTGCATGTAATCAGCATGCCCTTCAATATTATGTAAACCAGGCAATTCAAGTACTGTATAATGTACACTATTTATGTGTGTGCTACATACAATACAATTCCCTGGGAAACAAAACACAAATACTTTTTATATGTTCAAAATGAGCCATTTGATTGATGCAAACACTAAATAGCTTCATAAATAACATCTACAAAGTATATCTAATAGTAATTTTCAATTTCAATGGTGAAACTTCCCTGATTACGATTATATGGGAAATCATCACGAGACGAAGATCGTTCGCCTTCCTGGCTTACCTCTGAATCGTGTACCTGGTAATCTCTTTATATAGTTTAGCGAGAGCGGTGCGCCTGCGCAGTTTTAAACTTTGGTGCACACTTTAAAGTTTCCACTTCTACAGTGGAACACAGAAATTTGGTGATTGCTGATTGGAAAGCTGTATTTTGATTGACTGAATGTGATTGGTTATGGCTAGATCAATTAATTGTTTCTAATTGAAAATATGTAGTCGAAATTTGTTTTTTTAAGATGATGAATCAATCTCTGAAAAGAGTTCGTACAGGTTGACCCAAAAAAAGCAGAACCTCAACCCCTTTTCAAGGATTTGTGGGTTCTAGTTTTTGGGGCACCCTGTATAACATGTACAAATTTACAAGATCAAATATCATGTTTTCTCAAGTGAACAAAGATGCCAAGAAAGAAGAGGGTGCCACTGCTGAGAAGCCAGCTAAGAAGAGACGTTGGGGATCAACCAAGACTGAACCTACCAAGAAAAAGAACTGGGGGAGCATCTCAACAGATTCACTCAAGGTAATTGAAGCAAATGGATGATGCACCCACTTGACATTATAAAAATTGACTAACTTTGGTAAGAATTACTAAAATAAGATTATATATATATTTTGCTATAACTTGAATAGTGGAGTGATTTAATATGTGATGACTTATAAGCATGGCACACTGTCTTTTGACACTGGCTTTTAGGCTGCCATTTTGAAAATGGCTGACATTTTACACATGTCATTTATGTTTTTTATTATAACACGAAATGTAATAGCATGTTACACTGTATAAGCATGTTACACTGTTTTATGGCACTTTGGCTAGCAACATGGCCATTTCCCATTTTTGCTTGTGTTATTTTACATTTTCTACTATAATTGAAAAAGTAATAGAGTTTAGTGGTGTAGATAAGTACTCATGTAGTCATCGAATCGTCTCGCCAAGGTGTTATAGAATTCGGCTCGATTAGGAGTTCAGATTTCGCGAATTATTACACGAGTCTGAGACTCGCGAATTTGTATTCGTATTCGCGATTTCACAGCAGGGTGAAACTATGTACAAATGATTGTTCCGTGTATCATTTGTTTTTATTTGAATGAATATGAGTAATAAATCTAATTTAAATGAAATATTTTTGAGTCTATTTTTTAATTCCATGATTAATTCAGTCCGTAGAACCGGAAATGAAAGTGCTGCAACAATATGTGGCGGGAAACATAAAATAAACAATATTTCAATTTTTGTTATAATTAATCGTAAGTATGTTATTTAAATCGGTAGATATGGACAACTCTTGATATACTTAGCGTACCTAGGGTATTGTGCAAGTGAACAACATTGAAAAAAGGACTAAAAAACGACCATATGACATGCAATGGTAAGATTTTTTCTTGTTAATTTTTTGATGAAAAATCGCGATTCTTATTCGATCTCAGACTCAAAATCACGCGAATTACTCGATTCCAAAAATCCCCACGAGTTACAACACTAATAGAGTTCATAGTTCACCTGTGACTACATATGAGCAATTTTGCTTAAAAGCGGCCATTTTGAAAAAATGTTGTTATGAAATTTGCTGTTACTAAAATCGTAGTGAAGCAAAATTGTAAAGAGCACAGGCATGGCCGTTTCATTGGATTTGCCACACCTTGGCTCTGCTGTTGTCTAGTTAGATTATGATAAGTTGCAAAATTAACTTCCAAAATAACCACTCTTCTTTTACCACCAAAAAGTGGTGACAAACTGTGAAAGTATTTTTGTTACTATCATTTGGAGTGCAGTTTCAGGGTTGCCACAACTTGTTACCCTGGTGACATTTTACTTTATTGAATATTTGTGTTTTATAGGGTTTGATCCCAGACATTAAAGCTGCACCTAAAGCTGAAGAGCCTATCATTAAAGTGACAGAAAGTGTCACAGGAGACTCTTCAGGTGACGAGGATATGACAAGTGATGCAGAAGACACAAGAAAAGTCATAAAGCGCACAGTGACTCAGGTATGATATGAAAAATAGATTGATCCCTCAGATGAGCATTACTTAGTGTACTTGAGTTTTGAGGATGCATACATTTGGAGCACCCTGTAAATCAAAATTCAACATCCAGAGTTTCTTTCAATCAGTGAATTCCGAATAAATAATTGTGATTTATTTATTTAATTAATCCAGGAAATTGAAAATAAAGATGATACAGAGGTGACTAAAGAAAAGGATGATGAGAAATCAGGGGCCGAATCTGGTTCTGAACAATCATCATCATCAGGTGAAGAGTCTGCCGGGGAGGAAGATAGCAAGACTGAAGAGCCAAAAGAACAGAAACAGCCTAAGAAAGGTATGAAAATATTTATTATATACATTTCAATTGATGAATGTAACTGTCTCTATTGAATTATTTTGATCTTGTAGTGAAGCAAAAGCTTGAGACAAGCTTGAACGCATGTAACAGTATAACATACTTTTTGGTGAAATTTTATTATCATTTTCATATCATAATTTGTATTGACTTTTTTTTAATTTCAGTGGCAACAACCAAGCCAAAGGCTGTGCGTCGTATTGGGAGTCACGTTCCATCTCCTGATGCCCCAGAGAAGGCACGTCACTCCCCCTCCCCACCCAGGAACCCGCCATCGTGCATTGTGCACATCCGTGGTCTGGTGCGTCCATTTACCCTTGGCCAACTGAAGGAGGTACTTGGCCAAACTGGAGAGCTGACAGAGGATGGTTTCTGGATCGATAAGATCAAGTCTCATTGTTATGCCACTGTAAGTAAAGTATTTTCTCGCCATATTACCTATATCATTTTTTGAAATTTTTTCGTCTCAATGATCCCAATACTGCATCATTAGTATTAGTTCATACGAGGGTTGATCATAAAGTTCTCATAATATCTCTCTAATTTCTTTATTTTTCAATATATTCTAATGAAATTTTCACAGAATGTCCATCAAAGAATGTCTTAATAATTCAGCAAAAAATATTTGGTTTACAGAAATATTAAGTAAGAAATGGTTGCCATAGTAACGGGAAATCAAGGCACCCGGGGCAAATAAAAATAATTGAGAGAATGAGCTTTATTAACCATGTTTACATACATAATAAACTCTCATGAATTACCAAACACGTTAAAATGTTAACTTGAATATGTTGTAAAGTGCTTTAACAATTAAATAAACCGGTCGTGTAAATTGTGTGATGACAAAAGGGGTGCTTTCATGCTCCATTAGATGTGATACCAAAGTCTGAGACTCAAAGCTAATGATCAGAAATGACTGAGTAAGAGAACGCGATAGATGCAGAGATCTTCAGAAAAATAAAATTAATACTGATAAAATGTTAGGTTAAGTTTGTAAGATCCTTGGGTCAGACTTAACATGATCTAAAACAAATATATTGCTAAGATATCAACAAAATTACACCCTGTGTGTGGTCTGTACATGTTAAGAATGAACTAAAGGGGCAAAATTAATTTTCCTCGGGATATTTAACAAAACAGTCACGGGGTCTAACAGTCACTTCTAATGAAGCATAACAATCATCCATTATGACATCACACAATTCACATGACCATTATTATAGTTCAAAATAGTCAAGAGCCCATATTATTTGACAATTTGATGTGTTTGATAACTCATTTGACAACTTATATTGTATTTAAACATGGTTAATGGGGGCTATTTTAGCTAGTTTTTTTATTTGCCCCGGGTGCCTTGATTTCAAGTTACTATGGCAACCATTTCTTGTTTAATATTTCTGTTATTCTTAATATTGTTTGTTGCATTAATAAAACATTCCATGCTGCACATTCTGTGAAAATTTCATAGGAAAATATTGAAAAATAAAGAAATTAGAGAGATATTATGAGAACTTTATGATCAACCCTCGTATATGCTGATTTTGTTTTCTTTTTCCTTAAAATTTAATTTTTCTTGATCATTATTAGAACAGTTGATTGAATTATGAATCATTTTGAAACGAACCATTATTTCTTTCTCTGATTGTATACTTTTTACCAATATTGTATTCTAGTACACTTCTGAGGAAGAAGCTGTAGCCACAAGGAAAGCCCTGCATGGTACAAAATGGCCCTCATCAAACCCGAAAACTCTTAGTGTGGAATTTTCATCATTGGATGAGGTAGGCTACCTAACATTATGGAGTTAATTTTAATAAGTAGGATTGACAAAGATACCTCAAAATGGTAATGTAGAACATGAAATGAATAGTTATTACATCTGAGGGAGGAGTAAATGGTAATTTCAATTTTCTACGTTTAAAAGCCTGTTTTCTTGATCAGTTCGATGGTTTGATCCGAGAGAGAACACTCCATTCTCAAGATATGCAGGCATCCACTTCATATGTTTACCAATTGCATGTAAAAACAAAAAAGTTCAAATTGAATCGGTGAGCAAATGAGGAAAGATATTACAGAGCTGAAATGTAGTTTAGCTTGGGGATAGAAACGATTTCTTTGTGAGCTTCTTCAAATTATTATTGAAAACAATTCAATTGTAGCTGCAGTGGAATCGTGGGGATGCACCTCCAAAGAAAGAAGTTCCCAAAGAAGAGCCCCGCAGGACCCGAGAACGTAAGGAATCTGAGAGAGATGGTCGCAGACGTAGAAGTGGTGATCGCGGCCGAGATGAGAGAAAACCCCGCCAGGAGCGTGGGAGAGATGCACCTCCTGTGCGAGAATGGGATCGTGACAAAATAGTCCAAGGGTCAAAATCACCATCTTTATCCCCTGGTCCTAGCCCTGATAAACGACGACGATCAGGTGGTCGTGAACGATCAAGATCGCCAGATAAACGACGTGAAAGAAAATATAGAGAAAGAGGTATTGTACTAGTAACTATGTATTTTTCTGTAACTAGCTGAATTATATGGACAAAACAATTATTTGAGAAAAAATATTATGTAGGATATTTCTTTCGTCAGAATTATAGATTTCTACCTAAACAGTGTTGTGAACATTACATATTTTATTTGGCAATATACAATTTATTGTCATTGTGATAAAGCTAAACAGTGTAATCTTCAAACTGTGTAAACATTGTAGCTCCTGACAAAGAAAATGAGGCTCAACAACCAGCAAAACTCTTGGATGATCTCTTTAAGAAAACTACAACAACACCTTGCATTTACTGGCTACCACTCACAGAGGAACAGGTATGTTTCAATAAATGTTGAAGAAATAAATGTTTGGTGCAGAGCCTTGAGCTAAGGACCAGTCGACTGGTCATTACCAGGTTACTTTTGATATGGACCAGTTGATTCTTTCACTAGGTACAAGAAAATAGCATTGCAACTGGTCCATAATGTCATTTTGATCAAGTATTCTGGGATCCTTAGCCATAGCCCTGTTTGGGCGGGGTGCTTTTAATAGACAAATAAAGTTAAGATTAAATAAGGTATCTCTGGAATTTTTATTGTACCTAAAAATGTTTGATATTGTCTTCAGCTTGGTGGGCAGAAGGTGGTGGTTGGGTGGCGTCTCACTTTCTTGTTTTATTATGTTAAAATGTGTATTTTCAAGATTGTAAAGAGAGACATCCTACGTGCAGAACAGAAGGAAAGGAGAGAAATGAGACGTCGTGAAATGGAAAAGGAAGAACAGGAAAAACAAAAGGCGCTGGAAAGAGCACGACAGGAAAGAAGAAGAGAGAGAGAAAAATATTTGAGGGTCAGTATTCTTCATATATCCCCTTTGTGCTTTTTTATCATCAGCAATGTGACTGGTTTTCGTTCTGCCATGATGATTTAACATAGGTCCAAACATTTTTCATAGATGGAGGGACACCTGCAATATTTATTGATACCCATGTATTTTCTGAAAAGTCATGGCAGTTTAGATGCTAAATAGCATATAGCACTCAGATTATTTTAAGAAATTTAAGAAATCATAATACTGTAATATTGCAAAAAAAATTGGCACAATTTGTAGAAAAATTCGAAATATTCTGCAAGTCAACTTAGAGCTCTTTTTTTCATGCTGGCAACTTTATTTATTATATTTTTGTTCTACTTTTCTAGGAGAGGGAACGAGAAAGGGAACGAGAGAGGCGTCGGTCAAGGTCGGACTCTAGAAGTCACAGTCGGAGGCGTCGTCGTTGATGACATCACACTTGTGAATATTACATAATTCATTTGGGACTCTAGCTATATATAGATGTAAATATGATTGCGGTATAACAGTGGTTTATATGCAACATTTTTGTAGAAATATAAGATTATTACGCATCTGCGTCACATCTACCTAACTGATATATCCATTCAGTTGAATATTCAGCCACACAAGGTGTTCAGGAAATATGATAATTTACAAGATTTCTTAACTTGTACTATGGCCTCTTCATTATAAAACCTTTAGGTAATTTATTGAAATTATTGTAGAAACAACATCCATATCATTTAAGAACGCTGGATCTTATGATGAGAAAATCCAGTTAGTAATTAATTAGGTCATTAGTTGAAGCAAGTATGACTGATTGTATAAGATATATCTAATAGGTAGCTGGTGATAGAGATAAACTCAATGAAAACACAGATGTAGTTTTAGTACAGTATATCCCAGGAGTCTATGTCATGCTCTAGAGCAATTTTCAAAGCATTTTCAGTATTTAGTATAATCCAAGGGATGTGAACTGATTAATAAAATATGGCATCACATTTGATATGTGTTATCTAAACTGTAAATTGCACATGAATGATACCAGTATTACATGATATTTATGAGTCAGGTAACCTTCCTTAACTGCTATACATTAAATTTGTTTAAATTAAACTTGATGTTAGAACATAAGACCTTCATTTTATGTATTACTACAGTTTTTATTATTGATTTTAAATAGTATAGAGTCCGAATGTGTATATCTGTTAGATTTTCCATTGGGGCAGCTTTATCTGAGAATAATACACACAAAGCATCCTTCTCGGCTTCGCCCTTGGTTATGTCTGTAGCTGATAGATGCACAAAATGTACGTGAGGGGGTTGTAGTAATTTGGAACATGAGGGGAAAATGAAATAAGAATATTGGGAATTAAGGAATTTGAGATTCCAAAATAAAGAATTTGAAGGAACTTGCATTGTATAATATGGAACATTAAACACAACACATATGCCACTCCCACCCCCTTTTATAAAGTGGACTGTGAGAGTCATTTTCCGAATTTAATTTTTCTTATATATGGTATTTTATTAGTTTTAATTATTAAGACTCCCTGTACATAATCAATGGAATAAAATAAATATAGAACAAAATATATGAGTTTCTTCTATCAACTGCATGCATGTTGTACTATTAGTATGAATTCACATATTGAATCATCAAATCCCTTTTGAAATATCTTTTTACCATTCTTATTGATACTATGTCCCGATTTCATGTCATTTACAGAAAAACCAGCTAGAAATGGTAAACCTATTTTTCGGGAGACTCTTGAACAATGCATTTAACATGATGCGTAGTTGCATACCATGTAAACCTGTCTCATTCTGCTTAAACGATGACGTTGAAAGAATAAAATTTTAGGTTCAAGAGCATGGTTCAATTAACCATATGTAATGCATATTACAGATAAATTCATGAATAATATATATTTTAACAATTATTTTAAACAAAACTAAACACAGATGTAAAGCATTGCACTTGGACTATGGGTAATTCTGTTGACCTGGAATTGACCATACACTAAACAAATCGAGTGAGTGAATAGGTTAAAATTGTTAGGGTATCATGAAAAACATTCCATGAAATCGAGAGCTTAAAAAGTAGTTAAAATTGATAAAATATCCTGTTTATAAAGTCATGACTGATGCAAAGAAATTTCTACCTTTGTATATTCAAGCCAATATTTTTATGGCGGATGGCTGGCTTTGCTAGAAAATTGTTTCACTTTAGCTCGGTGTTATGCATTCTCGAGCAAATCATGATTTTTGTCTTACCCCAAATAGTACAATGTTCCTTGGAATGTACAGTACTATCCTTGTACTATCAAATAGCTGAATGCTGGGAAAGCCAACACAAGTGCATCCATGAAGCAATAAATATGATGAATACAAACTTAGATATTTCAATAAATAAATTATAATATTTATTAATATGTAAGGTTTTATTAACAGCCAAAGACATGTATACAAACTGGTATCAGGTTCTTCATACACTGCTGAACTTCTGATACAAACAGTTTGCATTACTATCTCCAGCTATTAATTTATTTGCACAATAATATTTGTTATTTATCTTGTCCTGACAGCATACTTCATTCGTTTGATCACAAGGGCTGTCTTGGCATTTGTCGTAGAGATCTTCAACAAGCCAAACCCTAAAAGTAAGTATTCGAACACTTAGAAATTGATACTTAAGTTATGATCAGGTTTCAGTTTGTCTGATAACATCAACATCATCGATTGCCATGCTCGACGGCATGCTAATTACAGGGAGTATAAGGTATCGACAGTGATCAAGGAGGTTAAGTAATACGTTTCGGCAAGAACTTATACTTGAGTTTTCAACCTTATGACCCCTGTGGATTCCAGTTTTCTTATCAATTTGTTTCCAAGAGACCCAATAAGAACTATTTCCTTCAACCTTTACACCCAATGGGGCAAGTAAATAATATGAATGGGGAAACTAACCCCTAATAGAACCACAATTCTACACAGTCACGTACAAGTTCTCTAAAAAATGTGTAAATTAACCTCCCTATTCTCTTTGATATAGCGAAACATGAATTCAGGAGTTATGGCGTGGACTCGGATTCAATGAGTGTGAATTGTCGATCATTGCTATATAAAAGGTGTTGTTTATCAAACTTTGCACGAGATGCGTTGCGTCGAGTGTTAAGTTAGGAAGCAACGCCTCAGTGGAATGAATCGGCCACAATGCATTGAGTATCGGGCTTAAATTCTTTTCACACATTGCAAAATATTTTAAACAATTTCACTTGAAAGATGCGAAATAACTTAAAAGAATATGTATACCCTCGAGGGTATATCATTTTAAAGCGATTACGCAGATGGTATATGAATGAATTACCCGTAAATTGCTAAGAAACAACTGTCTTTTGAATTGTCGGCACAAAACTTAGTGTTAGTCATTCCATCTTTGCAGCATTTTTTGTGTGTATCCTCTGTACACCTACATTTAGATGCTCGAGAATATCTGTTACTAAGTCTAAAAAAAATATGTTTCTGTTCTTATTATATTATGACAAAATTATATTATATATTCTTCACAATTGCTGCCATTTTTCATCGACTTCTCTTGTATCATGTGTCATGAAACTATTTTTTGCTAAAACTATTCACCTAAGTTTAGACAAAATTAGCAATTGAAATCTTTAAGAAATCGAAATTGCCATTTTCATCAAAAAGCCCCGTTGTTCAAAGAACTAAGAGTCTCCCTGAAAAACTAAAATCTCACCCAAAATGGTGCTGTTTAATTAATGAGAATCAAGCGATAAATTAATCATCATTACAGTCTTGCACTAAGCCCCCATGTCACCCCCTCGATCCCAATTTCATAAAAAGATATTATTACAGAGAACTCTCCGATCACAATCACTTTTGTAGAATCACACGGGCTTGATGTCAGAATAAGAAAATGTTGAGTAAAATATTTCTTACGAATATGTTGGGACTGTAAGATAACAGACCAGTAACACTTGTAACATCAGCAGCCATATTAATCTAGACATCTTCAACTTCTGGTGAATTACTCCTAGAAACAGAAAGACAATGTTTATAAGATCTAGGTACCCCCCCCCCCCCGATGAACATAACCCTTATCTCATTTGGCAACTAAAAATGGATAAATACTTGCTTCAAAGATAGATAAAATGACCAGGTTTTAATTAGCAGACCATGATTTAAGAATTGAAACAGGAAGACACGAGAAAAAGAAAAAAGAAATTGAAAATGATACATTTTATAACACGCCTTACCATCGCGTAAGCAGGCGTCACCGTACAGCGTCAAAAAATAGCGGAGTGCAGTTTTCTGTACGGTAACGCAAATTAACTGCTTTGAAGCAAAAACTATGACAAGGGTTTAAAAAAAATTAATTTGATTAATCATGTTAATTAAAGGTTGTTTTTTCACATTTCGTTTGGTTATTATTTTCCCTGCCGGCTAAGAGTATGGATTATTTTTATGAGAATATGTATTTGTTGACGGGCGAAGATTCAGAAAACAACCATGCATTATGTATATTTAAAAAAGATCAAATTTGTACGGTGACGCACCAGCTGTACGGTGACGCTATGCTTTGATGAACTAAATGAGACTAAGATTGTATGAAATGGAAACTCTGGAGTATGATCATTTGTTCATATATAGTGCATGGGCGCTACAGTTCAACGATATCTTCCACCGCTTAATGGAAGGTTACTGGAAATGTATGATACGGTAAAGATCATGAAACCAAAAACTCTCTTGTTGCTATGTTATTGATGTTTTAAAACAAGGGATGTCACAAGTAAATCTCATCTTGCACGTGTGACTTTTTAGGATGAAAGATGCAATATCTTGCATGGGGTAAAGATGGCTGTGTAGGCTATCTTTGTTAGTCATATGAGAAAAGTCTGGTTTAGTTCAAATGATACCAAAGCATTACGTCAACTTTCAAATAGTTAATTCCATGAAAACTAAAAATATCGAAATTAATACTTCCTGTCTGCCATCTTAAATGCGAAGGTGACGGCTGTAACCTTCGCTTGATACTTACCAGTGATAATGTACATGTAGATCTGACGCTTCTTTACCTCTTGTTCGAGCAGTAAGCTTAGAGCATTTCATAAAATCTAAGGAAGCGTCACCGTACAGCTGATGCGTCACCGTAAAGTTCTGATCTTTTTTGAATAAATACACTGAATGATTTTTTGCCGAATAATCATCTGTTCTAAAATGTGTAGATAACAAATACATATTCTCATAAAAATAATCCATACTCTCAGACGACAGGGAAAATAATAACCAAACGAAAAGTGAAAAAACAACATTTTTCTCTCGAGTCGATTATGTGGGCCGATCCAGTCAGAAAAAATCGGAGCAGTGCTCGAAAAACATTTATCATAATTAGAAAGTTAAAACAATTCCTAAGAGAATGCTGTTTTTATTACACCCGAAATTGTATTTATTTTCATCTAATTAATCTTTTTAAAACCCTCATTATAGTTTTTGCTTCAACTCAGTTAGTTTTCGTCACCGTACAAAACACTGTACTACTGTATTTTTTGACGCTGTACGGTGACGCCTGCTTACGCGATGGTTAGGCGTGTATAAGTAACTTTTCAATCGACGTTGGGAGCTATTTGAAAAAGGAAAAAATAGACTGTATGATAGTCATATTGAAATGTTTCTTCACTAACTGTATATTTATATGTAAATATTTTTAATTGTTTTTTTTAGGAAGCCAAATGTTTGGTTTAAAACACAATTGGTCTTGAATCTTAGTCAAATAGGTAGATGCTATTAAGTTGGGCGTTTAGAAAACGTTAGCTAAAGAAAATGAAATCACAGCATTACCCAGTGACAGTCACATAACATCATTTCAAATACACTATTTTGAATACGATGACATGCACATTCAAAAAATAATCGATTGGAAAAAATGTGACGTATTTGTTATATTACTCAAAGAATGTAAGATTATCTAAGAAATTACACTTTTTTTCAAATTTTGCATATGGTCCCGACATAAAAAATATAATTACATCATTTACAAATATTTGAAAAAAGAAAATTTTCAGACTGGTTTAATTAAGGCGAAATGCCTGGAAAAATGTTATAGATGCATTTTGTTTAGATGATGTAACCAGAGATGTCTATGAGCATTTTTAGAAAAACTATTCCGATTTAATTTAAATTTCCTTACCTTTCAACCGTTTACCCTGCTCTGAAGTTAAAGTTGTGAGATCTTGAGTATTGCCAAGATTAAGAGCTGTCCGTGTCTTAACTGTCCACTGGCCAGTATGTTTTATATTATATTGACACATATAGACGGCTATGCAATTAATTTTGCATGACATGTAAACAAATTCGCTTTGTTCTGAAGTAAAATTATTTGATCAAGGCTTGGGAAAATAATTAACAAATACTGCATTCTTTCCCCCTTTACAACATATCTTATTCCTAACAACAGATAAAATCCCGTTAATAGATTAGGGAGTGACTTATAAAGGATTAGTAATAATTAAAAGAATTAAAGGATGTAGGTACAATACAAGGATACGTCCTTGCACGCTGAAGACGATTGTGATCTCAAAGCCTGAAAAGCTTGATGAAGGACACAACTTATTGACGTTTCTATTATAAAGCATTTACACCGATCACAACCATTTGTTGTTAATCTAATTCCATTGGTCTCCATTCATAAATCAACTTTTTTTATCGTGGTTCCAGCATCGAATTACACGAATGCTGTTGTTTTTATTGCATTGTGTCCATGTCAATCCAAAAATGTGCAAACTCAGAACCGATGCTTACTCGTTGTATTCAAAGTATTTCGAAACCATGTAGAAAAGAAACCCGAATTGATCAGGTGATGAAGCCAAGAACTAACTATTTAAAGTGACTGAAAATGATTACAATGAGTACGAAAGGCACACGGAAAGGAAGCACCACCCATCCAGCATGGGTGGACAAGCTCTTTAAGACACAAATAATACTTCGTATTAACTAGAAAATAAAATAAGGGGAACTATGACATTCGATCAAATGCCCATCATCTTTTTCCGCCATCAACACATTAATTAAGTTCATAAGTCAACTGTGTGGCGTACGACAAAGAGGCACCCGAACCTCTATATTCTGTGATAACCTCACTAAACCCAAAGGATTGGTATCGATATGGTGAACTGAATTCAACAATGTTTTCCCCTTAAACCTATTATTGAAAACATTCTGTAAAAAACACAGTCCTTTATGTTATTTTGACTGATTGACAACAATTTCATGCGAAAATTATTCATATATATTTTATATAACTGTTTTAGTTAACATTTTTTTGTTTTTGGTGCAATTGTTTTTTGTTCCTTTCTACCAATTCTTGAGAATGCAAATAAATATCTTTCCGAAGCTTGTTGGAACAAAATAGCATATACAACATTTTCTTAGACCTCTCAATATTATACTATTAGTATATTACTACTAGTATTTATACAAAGGAAATTTTGGTTTATTTTACAAAAAGTATTCAAAAAATTAAAACAAAACTCCCAAAATAGATAGAAATTGAGATAAACCTTTTATTTCATTAAAGCAGATATGAAATGGTATTTTTAACCTACAGGAATCAATATAATTTTTTGATAAATGTATTTGGACATGTTTTCTCATCAGTATTGTAAAAATTATTTCACTCTAACGATCGTTATAGCTGCTTAATAAGCAATATTCGAATTGGTTGTGACGTTATTGGCCCCCACGTGATCTCTCACTGGTCCCCACGTGGCCCATAACGTCATAATGCCAAAATGTTTTGTTTTGGTTTACACTACAATCCTATGGTTGCCGTGACGTTGTGATTACTAAGGAACCAAGAAACCAAAGCTATATTTTGTATATGACGTTACTTATCACGTGGGGGCCAATTTGATTGATCAGTTAGTTTTATTTCGTTATTTATGACCGTTAGCAGTTATCTAACATTTATTTTATAATGGCTATCGCAAGAACTCTACGTTGGGCTTACAATGCAGAAAACCGCATTTTTGTAGCTGCAAGTTGAGAAAAGCTATTTCAGTTGTCCTTTAACATTTTGAGAGTTGACATCTCTTCAAATATCTTTCCTAACTGGCATTCTAATATTTCTTAAAACGGGAGTTTTTATCAATGTAGCATTGGCATACAGACGAACTTATATTTAATCAATGTATAGGGGCTCCTTTTTAAGGGGTACGATTTGACTAAATATCCTTGATTAAATCATCACCAGTGCCACCTATCGTGGCCCGATTTAGATACCATTGATTTATAAGGAAGCTAGAGGCAGACATATGTATAACTAAGCGATAGAGTGTGAACGCTAAGGATACTACAGAGTGTATAAAAATGAGAGAATGTACTAATTCTTAATCAAGCCAGAGTAAACATGTAAGCTGACAGGAGAAGAGACAAGAGAATAGCCAAACAAATAGAAACTTTTGAAGGGAGAGAAAAATGAGATTGAACATGTGGAGTGCATGGAGTGACTAGGTACAATAAAGAATTTTAAGAGTCTCAGTACTTAGTGTTAAGAGTGGGTCTACATGATAAAGCGATAAAGTCGATCAGATTTTTTGGGGTCATCGTGTACTTATAGCGAACAAGTATATTTGTGATACACTTTCTGCACTTTGCCCAGCATACAAAGTCGTTTGAACGAATCGATTGAAATCTAAAATGTTCAAACTTTTATTACTAGCTGTTTTAGTTTGCCTAAATCGGGCAGATGAGATGTTTGGGCAGAGATGCGCCAAGCGGGTCTTCAATATCAAAACGGAAGGTCAGATATTGGACTTCAGTGTTAGTAATTCGCATATGGCGGTGGTTGTTCAAACTGAGAATAGATGGACGGGTGTAGGGCGGATTTTCAATTCACATATAGGAATATACAAGATGGAAGCAGACCGTATAACGGCGATAAAGACAATCTCGAACATTACATCAGCATTGAGAGCAAAATTTGCGCCAAGTGGAGACTTGATTGTACTTTGCGGACCTAACGATTTCTACCAGCAGAACCACATGACAAAGATTTTAGATCCTTTATCCGAGCGCCCGAAGTTTACCGTTCTCTACGCTTCATCCAGTATAAGGTGTGATAGACCTTATTTTGAATCGAAGGGTCCGTTTTTTAAACCGACCTCGTTAGGAATCAATCGATTCAACTATAGCTTCTTTCTATCAAACCAAGATTCAATTCAGTACGTGAAGTCCTACGATCTTACAGGCAACTCGTATCCGTTTTTAAAAGGCAATGAACACATTAGCATGAGATACCATCCATCTTCCTTTGCAATACACCCTGTTGACAATGAGATTTACGTACTTGACCTTGGGTATGTATTAGTGTTCTCTTTCAGTGACGGCTGGTCACATACAACGGCGACATGGGAACATGGGCTTTACCAGTGTAGTAACATACAAGTTGATAAACACGGGAATGTGCTGATAGTAGCTCATGGCCCAGACAGAATATTCATGTATCCTCCTTCAAAGCGTTCTGATAACCTATATATGTCTCCGGATATTCAGTCTGATCAACATACTGGTAGCTTTGAACACAGTGCCGTTGGACCTGTCGTTCTACCAAATAAACCCGATTGCCATGTGAGTCATATGAATAACGGGCTACAGATGCAAAGGGGAGAGTTCATGGGAATAGGCCATGGATACATCGATACGAGTTTGACCATTGTTAACATCGAAATCGACCATAAAACAGACAAATTATACGTGTTAAAATGGTCGAAGGATTTTGGCAGTATGTTCGTTGAAGAGTGGCGCTACACGGAGTCGAAGACTTACGAAAAATCTTAACCATCTTACTTTGGCCAGCCAACTCGTGCGAAATGCAAATTACTTTCCCGATTATGGAATGGAATTGGGCTACTTACTTAGGGCTATACAGCATTATTGTCTAAATTTTGTTTAGAATTCACAAATTGGCTCGGGAGCTCGAATTTTTAATTGATGACACCATTGTAAAAAAAGATAACCTTATGATTAAAAGAACATCACATACTATATCGAGTACTTTGCATTATGGACACTCGCTATTATCTCAGATCACATGTCAATCGCAAGACAGTGGAAAACAGTTCTTCATTAGACATTGTCACTGAATATGAACTGGTGATTTCAAATATTTAATTAGATTTTCAATGAATACCAAATCGATATAACTACTCTGAATTCCGTAAGCACATTTTGTGCATTTATTCGCATATATTGTCCTTTGTACAGTAAAAATGAATTTATCGTTTCATCCTATTTTACCTTGATCTTGCTGATTTCTTAAGTAGCTACTCGTCCTTGCATTGACAGATGCGTTTTTATATATTTAGCTCAAAGTATTATTATCCACAAGTAAATGAAAGCGCTTGAGGTCTACTCTCCTTTCATCCAATAATGAGTTGCCATAGGCCCATTGGAGCTAACCAAAATTTTCAAAAAGGCCCTAGTTACGCTTTTAAGAACCCATATTCTTACTATTGAAACTGGATTCTCTCACATGAATCTACTTGTTGAGAGATTGTATGAATGTAGATATATGCAGAGATGTTAAATCAATGGCACCCTTACTGAAATCCTCAATTTCTCAGAACTCAACTTGATCGAGTCTCAACAAGTATATCTTGTTCATGTGGGAGAGTATTGGCAGAATCCAGTGTCGATAGTAAGAATAGGGGTTCTTGAATAGGACATTGGACTTGGTTTTAGACCTTTTTGCTCTGTATGGCTGAATAAAGCTGAATGAATAAATAGATGTCAGCACTTGTTTTCTTTTGTTTTGGCTGGGCCAGACTGCAATAGATTTCAAACGTGTCACTTGATTTCACGTTTTATCAAAATGTTTTGATTGAATCTGTCTAAAATTCGAATAGCCTACAATGGTATTCCCTTATTAATGTACATATTGTGATAAATCATTAACATTTTGGTTGTTGAACAATAAATCAAGGTTTAAAAGAATTTTACAGGGTGGCCAGTCAAAATTGAAAAATAAATTCCAGAGATTTCCATAAAATTTCAGAGTCGAAGTTTATAATGTAATTTAAATGTATTCTTTGTATTAATGATTCTCCAAATTGTAGGAAATAAAGACTCATATCATATCATTATGCAATATTATGTGCCATTTTTTAATTTTTAAACATTAACAAGGCATTAACATACAGAATGTCACCACCTGCCATTTATTACAGATTCCAACGCCAACCACCGTCCACAAAACTATTACATATGTCAATTTATGAACAGGGCATAGCCAGCATGAGGCAAAATTTTATATACGGTAATATTGTATTGCACGATTGGGTGCTATATTGTGATCAGTTTGCTGGATGGGTGCATGGGTGCGTGGGCATCCCTATTAATTTTGTCTACGCATTTCCAGATGAAATATAATAGTATAATAGTACAGGGTCAAAAACCGGCAACCCTGCATTTCCTCATATCTTTGTCATTTTGGAAATGCTCCAGGTGTGGCCATCATCGTGCTGTAGACAAACTTGTACAAGTTGTCAATGATCCGACTGCATTCTTCAGCATATATGGCCTTGAGGCCTGTAATTGTCTTGAAGTAATTCTTCTACACTCTATCTTTGGCGTATTCGACTGGTACAAGTCAGATACGGAAATTGGACGATGTGTGCACGTTTGCCTACAGAGCAACAGTGGCCATTGGAGCATGTTGTTTAAAATATACTGTAATACAAGGTGTCCAAAAAACAGGACCGTAAGAAAGTTGAATAACTCGGTCAATTTTGCATATTTTGCCTTGAAATTTCAGAATTATTTAGTTCATTCAATGTGAATTTAGTTGTAAAAGTTTGATAATAATCTACCAATTGAGTCAACAGCTCCTTACAAAACATGCCCCAAATGTGACCTCTCCTCTCTATGCACAATTCAATTTGGCGAACAAAGTTGTTGATGATTCTCCTACACACATGTCTTTCTGAATGGACAAGTTTGTTCCAAGAACAATTGCTATACTGGGGCTTACATCCTCCTGATGAAGTGTTGCAGCATCCATTGCATTCTGAACAATGCACTGCTTGGGTGTCAATGAGGAAACATGGAATCATCAGTCCTTTTTGGTTCGAAGGTGACTGGGGACGTGCTATCACCATGAACCAGGACCAGTAAGTTGTTCACTTAGTTTTGGGGGTCACTTAAAGTGTGCGCCTGACCCGGCTACGTATAGCACAGAGTTTATACTGGCGGATTAGACTAGTTCATTTTTTATATGTGTGTGAAAGCTTTCTCTTATTTGCGTTTTTTCGTTTAGTACGGTTTTGTTATAATTGCCGAGGTCATATAACCGGGATAAAACAATGATTATCGTTGACTGCCCACACACAAAACATACGTTGAGTGAACAGTGTTATTACAAACAACAGGCTTTAGAATACAAAGCGTAGTGTGATAATAAGCTGCACACTACCACTGCTGCATGTACATATTACTAATTTACTAGGGCTCCCAAAGAGTGGATAGGGAGGTTGTGTTTGTCACTTTTAAATTTTACATTTCAAAATTGTCATTTCACATGTCATAATTTGTTGGTTTCATTCGTTTAGCCAATCAAAACATTGTAAAACAATAAATTGTCTGTTACGTACAATCAATTTTGTTCAGTTTTGATTAGTTGTCAGAATAAAGTTACGTTCATCTGAATCCATGTATCAAAACAAAAATCCTATTTTCACTTCAAAATGCTTCAGTGAGATGAAGGCTCGGGATTGTCACATGCAATAACTTATTGTCGTATTCGTTATTTTATCTTCTCGATAGTAGCATTTAGTCGCACATTTGATGCCAGGTCACCATGTCGCGTACCTCTTGGGGAACCCCACATTTATGTGTATACTCATGGAAGTAAATTCCCCGGTGTAGCCGAGAGCCACAAACTTTTCAACAGGTTCGAAATGACCAATTTTTCTCATATATACTCTAAATATTTTATTATTTAGCACCTACAAAGTATTGCTAATAACCATATGTAATTTCAATAAGGAAACTTATCTGGCTACATATAAATTCAATATCAACACTAGCTGTTCTCTCAACACGTCATGGCTTACCTTGTGGTGACAAACCCAGGATTCGTTTGTGCATAGAGAGGACAAGTGCCCACGTTGAGCATGTTTTGCAAAGTACTGTAGTTTTTGACACAATAAACAGGTTATCATCAAACTTTTGGTCGTTTTTACCACCCTGTATCTAATTTCCAAAGCTACGATAAGGGAACAACCATTACTTTATAAAGATGTCACACTATACTCCAATGGAAATATTAGCCTGAAACAATGTATTCATTTACATTGAATTATAGAAATCAAACCAATGCGATTCTCATTCTGACAGCCTTTCACTTTAACAAACGGCAAGGAGATCAGAAGTCACTCCGTAATGATCAGAATTACTAGACCGAGTCTGATTTAAATCCACAAGGATTATACTAATTGTACAATGTACTAAAATACAAGACCTGATTTTGACTTAATACTCTGTGCAAAAGTACATCCAATTTGTTCTGCTTGTAAGACAATATATTACTGTCTACATTGATCTATCTAATTGATTAGTACACTCCCCTCCACCAGTTTGGCAACTTTTCCCCCCATAGGCTTACGTGTTAAAGACCCTTGTATTTTTATTTTCATGACTTGCAAATAAAAACAACAACTAATAATGCAAAGGGAAATGTACATGTAACTTGACTTTATTTCTCATACCTTCAAATTTTCTAAATTATCTTCTCAATTACAATAGGTCGAGAATTGATGACTTTTGAAAATCGACATTCCAATTGTAAACCAATGGGAAATGCTAGGTTTGTGGCAAGTTATATGACAAAATATCCATCCATCCGAGTTATCTCAAAAATACAAGTTAAGTAGGAAATTGTATTTGCTCACTTCATCTTACACAAAATCGATGTGTTTTTTCAGGTTTAAAAAGGTTCTAGGTCTTCTAAGTCAAAATATTTTTCAAGAAATCTCTCTCCCATTGAAATAACACAGGAGGTGAAAATGATTTCCAAATCAGATTTTGTAGCTCTGTAACCTTAATTTTCACAAAGTAAACTAAACAATTAGCATGCAAAACGTTCTACAATTTAATTTTCTATACAAAAATTCATCAATGTTTGAAAGAAAATGAAAAAATGGAGGTAAAAGAACTAAAATCAAGTAATATCTCCGACTTCATTATCAGTTTTCAGGTTATGAAAATAAATATACAAACATCGAGGGGCGTTAACAAGTAAGCCTATGGGGAAAAGGTTGCCATCGATCACACGATTTCCTTAGAATTGAATAAAAATATAAATATTTGAGGGATGTTGAATTAATCAAATAGATTTTATTTACATTCAGTAAAAATGTAAATCACATTACCAGGGAATTATTACATAAGTCATTTGGTTAATTGGATCTTCGAAATCATGTAACACGAGTCCTCTTCATTCACTTTTCCATATAGTCTGTTTAAATCATAATACTGGGTTTCTTTACGTGCTCTTGGTGTGTCACTAACTCGTGTCCATTTCCTCCTATGTTCATTGCAATTACGTTTCGTATATGCTCCATCTGTACCAGTCGTCCAGTTTTAGCACAATCCACAATATGGCTTTTTAGACGTAGGCTACTCTTGAACTACCACGTTATAGCGCTTTAAACTCTTGCACCATTCGCACTACGGATTTTCAAACTCATGCACCATTACATCCATATTATTGCTTTTCAAACTCATAATACCCTTCATATCCTGGCGTTCCAACTCTTGCAATATCATGGCGTTTCAAACTCTCACTATCCTCATTATGGCGTTTCAAAATTCTGCACCATCCAGATTCAGATTATGACGCTCCAAACGCTCGCATAATACAAAAAACTAAGGCGCGATCATCACGTGACCTAATTCAGTATTCAAATGAGAATTAAAGACAATTTGCGAAATGCTATAATGTAATGTAGACGTTGAAAACTTAAATGAACACATTTTTAGACTTTCATCAATCTTCAAGGATACCCAAGATGTATTGAATTCTGTGTCCAAAATGACTCTCCATTGCCTGGACATCAATTGGGAAAATGAAGAAGAGCAGGACTTTTCTTGATATCATTGCTGAAGTATTGATGGTCAGTCAAGACGCCAAAATTGGAATTGGTGTTTTCTGTGGTTAAAATAGAGAGATTTCGCAACTCATTTATAGCATGTTTATTATTTAGACAATTTAGTTTAAGACAATTTATTTCCATTTGAGAAGTTACACAATAGATAGTGCAAGCTGGAATAACGTGTCAGTAACAACTACAGTAACTTGCCAGCAAGGGCAGATACGCGCCACTTTGTTAATATATTAGTTAGTACTTTAAAATGTTGGATTCACTTAAAAAGTCACCAGTTGATTTGTATTCATTCATATTTAGTAAACATGGGGAAGATTTAAACGGATCGGGGAATTTGAGCTTCTTTTCATTTATCACTCGGATGTTAATATCCAATATCCAATGTTTACCATCTTAATGTTCTCATATTCATGTTCAAATGTTTAAGAAAAATTTATTTCCCAGTTGATTTTTTTGTAATTATTACAGATGCAATATGGATATTCATCATCATTTCACTCGACAAGTGAATGATCTCCCTCTAATATCAAAACCTCAAAAAACACCCCAGCCTCCTAAGCAGGTGTCCAGAATCCGTACCTCCTTCTTCCCCCCTGCTACCAATTTGGAAGCGCCCGATTTAACTGAATCACGTGATCTACGCAACGACTTATACATGATTTCTGTCGCAGTGTTGCGACAGCCAATCAAATTGCGAGTTCTTAATCGGGGAAATGCTAACTGCTTATCGCAGGGGGTAAAAAGAAAGAACCGTGCAATCAGATTTTATCATGTCATACTATTTAATCATGTAACATTGAAACTATATATTCTCTTACTCTACACATTTTTATTGCTTACATCTGTAGAAGAGACCTTTAATCATTTCCATATTAAATCATATTATTTTTTCATTATATACAATATCATACTTTACACAATTATATGTACATCTTTTATAATATATCACAAAGCATTGTGA